CCAAAGGTCCGTCAAGACAGACCCATTAAGTCCCATTTGAGTAATAATGACACTTCCCCCGTCGATGCCGTGTGCATTGCCTGGACGGGGAAAGGGTCAGTTACGCTAGGATCAGCCGCGAGCAAATGGCGATCTTGCCCGGGCGAGAAGGATGATCCCGTGTTCGAGACTCCCTCAAATAGGAGAGGCGGAACGCGCCGGAGCATTCAGTCCAGAGACAGCGCTTGGTTCGTCTCGTTTGTGGAACAGAATTCTTCATTCCAGAATCCGCTCAGCCGCATTGTGAAATTTTTCGTGAATGCGGTGACAGAGCCCGAGAAGAGAGCTGACGATGAGCACATCGTCTGCGATCGTCAACGCGGACAAATCGCCGGAGCCTGTCGGCGAAACACTCGGTAAGCCAATAACTGCGGTATCCACTGTGCTATTTACGAGAGGCGAACGACAGTGCCGGCTTATTCCACGGCCAGCCGTCTTGACTCTCTCCGGACGTTTGCTGAGCTCTTAGGAGATCCAATATCTCCCGTTTCGATGTTCGTAGGATCCGCGGACGAAAGAGCTAGCTTACAGAACCCTATCAACCGCCTTCTCCTGCTAAACACACACGCAATCATGGTGAGAGGATGCCGGGATCTTCCTTGGAATAGCTCAAGCTCCTGTTTGAATCGGGGCGGAGCGGTTTGTCATCCACGTGTAGCTGTCTGTCTGGGCCGGAATGCTTGTGTTTGAAAACTCCGCGGAAGCACCTTGGCAGGCTGAATCTTGTCCCAGCGCCAAGCGCCTGCTCGGGTCCCGAACCTCGCCGCTTCGACTGCCGACCGATGGAACCGCTCCTCATGGTGAGAAGCGAGGCGATCGACGGTCAGCATTCCCCCGACAGAAGTCTGCCGGAAATGAGCGCCTCCGGGAGCGTGGAGAGGAACGAATAGTTTAAAACGCTCGATTGAGGTCATGGTCCACGGGGGAATAATCATCCAGCCAGCCGGTTCGAAGATTCAATGAGCGAATCTCACTCAGAGACAAGTTCTCGAATTCGCCGTCTGTAGGCTCTCTCAGCCCGATCCTACTGGATTTTTTTTCGCCCTCTCCCTCCAGCCCGTCGGTGAGGGGTCCGACTTGTCTGTGGCGGCGCCAGGGCGCGCAAGTTCGCGGGGGGACTCGATCGGCCCGGGAGTGCACGTACGCAGCGCGCAGAATCCTCCCACCCAGCTGGCTATCTTTCGCTGGGAGGGACCAGAAGGGGCTCTGAAGCTTCCACGCCGCTGGAGAGGAACAGCGCGCCTGCTCTGATCATACATACAATCCAATGGAAGAAAATCCATGCCAATCGGCTAATCTACTGGTCGGATCCTCCTACGACTCCTCCCCTAAATATTCCAGAAGACGGTTCGCACACTGACGAGTGCACAAGTGACTTGGCTGTCAAGGTCGGGAGTACCTATGACGAGGACGATGATCCTAAAAACTGCCGGTACACAACCACGAAGAGTAATCTCTGGGACAGACTGTTCTTTGGATTTCTCACTCGGTGAGTATCATGTGACAGTTGATCATCTGCCTGACAGTTGATCGCTGAGGCAGAGAGCGCAAATCGACTCTCCCATATTCAGAACCTATGGGAGCCAATCCGTGCCGAATGCATGCTACCAGGATTCCCCCGGTTTGTCTCTGGAACCGAATCGCCCTAATAGGAACCCGAGTGCAGACTGACGGGGAACGGTCCTGTAAATTTCAGAGTCGTCCTCCGGGGCGCGAGGCATCAGCTCGAAGCGAAAGATCTCCTTCCTTTGCACACGTTGTTCACAGCCAAAGAGACGGCTGCTAGAATCCTGCGTCTATGGAACAAGAGACATGCGAGAAAAAGACCACAAAACGCCGATGAGTGCGTATCTGTCCTTTCAAGCTTATAGGAAACGTTATCGAGATTTCGGCAGTGACCCCATCGTCGGGTCGGGAATTCGGATTCGCGTTCGGGAAACCTTCTCATTGCCTTGTTTCAGAGAAACTCCCGAGACGGATGACGCTACCCTTATCCGCCCTGAAGGCACGAAGAAGTCCGTCAGCATGTTTTCCGTTATATTTGTAGCCTTTTGGGCTGACTTACTCTTCGCAGCCATCTTGTATTTCCTCGCTTCGTTCGTGTATTTGGTCCCACCGTTCCTCATTGGGTGAGTAAGACACCAGAAACGATCCCCGTGTATCCCGCCGATCGTCATGATGAATTGAAACGATCCCGCATTCCAGGAGCCTGGATGATTTCTTGAACAAGAAAAACCCGCCAATAACAGAAGGTCTCTACATCGCGGGAGTACTCTTAGCATCCCAACAAATATTCTCGATCTTGCGGTCGCACACTTTCGGCACCCTATTCAATGTGGGCATCAAGCTCAAATCGGGCTTATCATCTGCAATATACCAAAAGGTTCGACAAGAGAAGAGCTCCTCCGGAGCTGCTGTATTTCGACCTCCTCCTAAGTCACGTTATCGAAGAGATTAGCTCCAGAAAAAGTAAGATCCCTTTCTCCTATCAGTGTTTAAGACTGTCATCAAAGTCTTCGAAAGAGTATCCGACCGGCGATATAGTGAGTTTGATAACGATCGATGTCGACATCATCCAATGGGCTATGATTCAGTCCAATTATGCCTGGGGAGCGCCCGTATCGGTGAGTTACAAGAAGTCGAGACATTCGGGATGGGACTTTCAGCGTTCCGTGTTTGTAGAATCCTTCCGATTGAGAAACCTTCTCTATCCAGGTAGTATTGACCTTCGCCCTCATATACCAATACCTCGGGGTATATTGCTTGGCTGGGGCGCTTGCGATCGTGGCATTCACGCCCGTGATCGTCCTCATGACGAAAATCGAGAGCGCTCTGCAAACGAAACACATGAAGAAGAAAGATCAGCGAATCGAGATGGTGACTGAGGTTTTCAACAATGTCAAGGTAAACTCCTTGGGGGTCACGTGGAAGAGCTCATGAATCCACAAACGCTGGAGGACGGCAAACATTCATCGCTCCGAAATTCGCAGGTCATCAAATTGTATGCTTGGGAGAACTCTTTCATGCAAAAAATTCGCAAGCTCAGAGACCAGGAATCCCGGCTGATGTACATTTATCTCGGAGCTAGCAATGCATTCGGATTCACTTGGAATTGTTATCCGTTTTTCGTGAGTAATCCCCCACGCGAACCACGTTTCGATCTGGAGAATCATTGACACAGTTTCACGATCTCAACCTTGCTTCCCGAGGGTTTCGACGGCGGCGATTGGAGCCTACATTGTTCTTAGAATAAAGAAGGCGTCCTCAACCCGAAGACTCGTCCTGGTTTCGATCGCATATTTCAATTCTCTCAGGGACAATCTGATCACGTTTCCGTATTCGGTCTCCTCGCTGGCCAAAGCTTTCGTCTCAATGCGGCGGATTCAAGGCTTTCTCGAAGCCGATGAAGTGAGTGCTCCCTGATGCATTTTACTGCTGGGCTTCCAGATCGTTCATTCTGTTCTAGCCGCAATATTTCCGAATGGAAACTTTCATCTGATTTCCTCCGAATCGCCTTTATCTCTTCTGATACCATTCACTGTGGCCACAGGTCGATCCGAGCATCATGAAAGAAGAACTCAAAGCCGATGAGGACATCTCATTCCGGAACGCCAGCTTCACGTGGGGAGATGACGAGAATCCCGTTCTGAAGAATCTCAATTTTTCCATAAAGAAAGGGGAACTGGTCGCCGTCGTAGGTTCCGTGGCTGCCGGGAAATCATCGCTCATCCAGGCGATCATCGGTGAACTCATTCCCACCTCTGGGTCAGTCAGCCGGAGAAAAGAGGTTGGTTTCTCTCGATCAGAATCTCCCGTTCGGAGCATCCCCTAGAAGTGCCGTGTGATCCGAAGTTCCTGTTTTGGAGAATCTAACCCCGACTCCTCATTTTCAGCGTAAGATCGGCTACGTTCCGCAACAAGCCTGGATTTTGAACAGCACGGTACGGAAAAACATCCTCTTCGGATGCGCCTACGCAGCTCGAAGATACCGGGATATCGTGAAGAAATGTTGTCTGCTCCCCGATTTGAAAATCCTCCAAGCCGGTGATTCGACGGAAATCGGGGAAAAGGGAGTAAACCTGTCCGGAGGCCAAAAGCAAAGAGTCTCTCTTGCGAGGGCGGTTTACCTGGATGTGAGTGTGCATGTTCAGAGCTGAAGTTGGCATCAAGATTGCCGGCTCGTTCAGTGAGATTCTGAGTCCATCTCGAATTTTCAGGCTGATATCTATCTTCTGGATGATCCGCTCAGTGCTGTGGACGCTCACGTAGCTTACGACCTATTCAATGACGTGGTCGGCCCGAAAGGTATCCTCAGCGGGAAGACGCGTATTCTCGTCACCCACTCGGTCGCCGTTCTGCCCCATGTAGACAGGATCATTGTCTTGGAGGACGGAGAGGTCACACATCGGGGCACGTATGATGAGATCATGAGCCAAAACGTTCGCCTCAAGGAGCTCGTCGAGACACATGCGAACACGGGCAGCGAGAACTCCGTCCACGATGAGGTTTCACGAGGCAGCGACGAGCCGTCTACAAGATTGTTAGTACGGCTAGCTCATCCTCCTTCGCCTGATGGTGGAGGCAAGCTCTGTCTTGGAGTACATCTCTGACTTCCCACTTGATAAATTACAGCCGAAAACGCACGCGGTCGGTCGACAGCGTCTCTTCGAATGTCAGCGGCTGCGTAGAGCGCCAAATGCCCGACATTCCTTTCGGGAAACTCATCGAGGAAGAAGAAATGGAGGTTAGGAGGACCCGAACTGCATGATTTGTTTATGGAGAATGTCATCCGACCCATTATTCATTCAATTGAATTCCGCAGGTTGGCGTGGTTCGATGGAGAGTTTATTTCGAGTTTCTGTGGCATTTCGGTATCATCGGAACTATCCTGGGGCTCACTTGTTATGCCCTCTCCAAAGCTGCCGATCTCTGGTCGCTTCTTTACATAACGACCTACAGCAAAGAGATAGAGAGTAATATCGAGTTTTCTTATCGCTGAATCCACGAGCGAACTTCAGAAATCATGTATCAATTATTGCCGAATGATATCGCGATGAAATCTAACTGACGTCTGATCCCGATCGCAGTAAAGAACGGAACTACCCCAGAGGACATGTGGTCCCACATGCAAATATACATCGCCATAGGATCTTCCCAAGGCGTAGCGATGCTGGCTGCCCTTACAGCCCTCTCGTTGGGCTGCATCTGGACTTCGACATCCCTCCACAACAAGATGCTCGACGCGGTGATGAAAGCTCCCATGAGTTTCTTCGATGCCACGCCAACGGGTCGAATTCTGAACCGGTGAGTCCGAATCGGAAGAGAGAGCTCTGCCAGGACACTCCGGAACGTTTATTCCGGAGAGGTTCCTTAAGCTGTATAAGTCAGTTGAAGTGCTGGGTGTCGCTCCCGGAAGACGTTTCGTGCGAATGCAGCATTCGGGATTTGAATAGTTCACGCCAGAAAGTGAAGGAAGCGCCAAGAGAACCGTTTCCAGAGGGAGAGCCTGGACTTTTCGAGTCGTATACCCGAGAGCGTCATTTCCGAGAAATGTCATCGGAAGCACAGATTGAAACCATCTCTCTCAAGGGGGAAATCCTGTAAAAGCGAATAATCGCTTCCCGCCTATCTTCCAGGTTCAGCAGAGACGTCGATGAGCTCGACGTCAGCCTTTATAGGAACGCCGACGGCTTCATAACAACTTGGACGGTTTTGCTGGTCACCTTGATTTATATCTGCATACACCTACCGTATGTCCTGATATTCTTGATACCCCTATTCGCCTTTTTCCTGGGCATTCAGGTGAGCTACAAACAAAAAAAAAAACATCATCCATATCCGGCAATTCGGTACCTATGTATATCATGCTCACTGCTCACAATGCTCGGTTCATGCGTGCTCGGCTAGCGCTACGGCAGAATCTCAGAAATCTATCAAAACTCTTGCAGAGATTCTACGTGGCCTCATCAAGGCAAATCAAACGCTTGAACGCGGTGACCAAATCTCCAGTCCTGAATTGCTTCAACGAAAGCATAGCGGGAACCACGAGCATACGCGCCTATAACGTCCAGAATAGTTTCATCAGTAAGCACATGAGGCTTCTCGACAACAATCAGAACTGTCTCTTCCACGAATTCAATGGCTACAGGTGAGTTCCCTTCCATTGCGTGGATTCATTTTAATTGCAATTTTCCGATTGCGGGCAAAGGATTACGGAGGCAGGGCTATCGCGACGGCTCTCGCGGATCTTCTAGCTGAGCACGAATACTTTCGTAAAACAGATGGCTTGCCATCCGGCTCAATGTAGTGGGATCATTCATCGACGTGGCAGTCTGCGGGATGCTCATCTATTTCCGAGGCTCGATGCCCACCGAGATCGCTTCTCTGCTGTTCACCTGTTCCCTTCGAGCCTCTGATGCTTTCGCGTGGATCGTGAGAATGGGTGCCCAGGTGATTGACGCCATTCATGAATTGTTGCGAACGCCTTTGAAGGCCTAAGGACGCATCAAATTCCCCATCGTTGACGGTGCGGCCACTGACCCGGATCTGCCCACAGGTTGAAAACTCCTTGGTCTCGGCCGAGAGAGTTATGGATTACACCAAGACGAAACCGGAAAGCTCCTTGGTATCTCGACCGAGAGCCCGAACCTGAATGGCCCTCAGAAGGCCAGGTGCGTTTTGAAAATTATTCGACGAGGTATAAAGAAAACCTCGACCTTGTTTTGAAGAAGATAAACCTCGAGATCCTGTCCGGGGAGAAGGTTGGCATCGTCGGACGCACAGGAGCGGGAAAAAGCTCCCTCACGCTGGCCCTGTTGCGAATTCTCGAAGCAGTCGAAGGCAAGATAACGATCGACGGGACCGACATCTCCGAGTGAGTCACTTCGAAGTTTTCCGACTCACAAGTCTATCGAGCGTAGTTTTCCGCGCGCTTGAGCGTTAAGATGACTCTGTTCTCCAGATTGGGTCTCAATGCTCTCCGATCCAGATTAGCGATCATTCCACAAGATCCAGTTTTGTTCGGTGGGACTCTGAGAGAGAACGTCGACCCAGAAGAGCGGTACTCGGACGAAGCACTTTGGGCTGCATTGGAAAAAGCTCATCTGAAAAGCGCGGCCAAGCCGCTGTCGCACAAAATCGAAGAAGGTCAGCCCGGAGCTCAAGTCCTAACATAGGGTGCATTCGGACGGTTGGAGCACAAACGGACGCTCGCTCGCTCGCTCAATAAGACGACAACACTCATTTCAGGGGGCTCGAATCTCTCTGTCGGCGAGCGGCAGCTCGTTTGTCTAGCTCGAGCGCTTCTGAGGAATTCAAAAATCCTCATTCTCGACGAAGCTACCGCCGCCGTCGACTTGGAGACGGACGCGCTCATCCAGAAGACGATCAGACATGACTTCGGAGGCAGTACCGTCATAACAATCGCTCACAGATTGCACACAATAATGGATTACGATAAGTAAGCGGCTAGACGACTGGAGAGAGCGATTTGGACTGAGATATGCCTGGACTTCAATTGATCTGAATTTCCCTGACAGGATCGTCGTTCTGGACCAGGGAGAAATCAGAGAAGTCGGTTCACCCAGAGAACTCCTTCAAGATCCAGACGGAGTCTTCAGCTCGATGGCCAGAGACGCGAATATCCGAATCGATTCGTGAAGCGGCATCGTGGTTGCTCATTCATGTGATTCTTCCAGGACCGGCCTCAGAGGTCGAGCAAACGCGCTGCTCGAAATAAGTCGGATTTCCTCCGATCCCATTTACGTACATTCAATCGAGCGCGATGACGGGCGGAGTCGCGGGTTCCGACTCGAGCCACGCAAAGATCATGAATAAATTGAAAATGCTACTTATTATCGGATTTTCTTCTGCTACTCCCGATGGAAGCAGCGGCGGCGATCCAATACTGACCTCGGTGCTTTTCTGAGGATCCTTAAACTGGACTCGCGTGCTCGGAGAAACAGTATACCCAACAGAGATTACAACGGAAGGAAATCGTAGGCTCCTGTTCCCCCGCAGCGGTCCCCGGAACATGTTTTACACCGATCTCCTGGAGCAACTTCGATACCCTCAACGCGACGAGTAAACATGAACGCGGTCAAATGAATGATCTTCGGGAGCATTTACTCGCTCCGAATATCGGAGCTGATTCCTTCGAGTGTGTCATCTGTTCTGCGGAAGACAGCGATGTAAAATCATCGAGCGGCTCCGGATGCCTCTTCATTTCTCCTCAAGCTCGCCGAGACACGCGGGATGGTCTACGTCTATGTACCCGCTATGATGTCGGGGGAACTAGCTGGGCAAACCCTGCGATCGGTTCGATAGAAATTGGATGGACTCAAGATCACTTGGGAGCCGAATTTTTGAATGAAGAGCCATTCACCGGGTTCGGGAACGATAGTATGCGGGACACCTTTCCAATGAGGCTCTGCTCACTGGCGTAGAGATTTGCAAGAGGGTCGAGTGCTCAAGGAGGGGCACACTGCGAAGATTCAGGAGGTGTGTTTCAGTTTAGCTCATGAGCTTTGGACTCATGAGGCCGCAGTTATTCATGATGACTCGTCACGCAGACTCAGCGGAGCCTCCAGCCGGAGTTTCGGAAGACCGCGCTCTGACGAAGCTTACAATCACTAACACCAGGTGGAGCCACGTGTATTGGATTTGAACCGAAATCTCTCGCGTAACTTAGGGCTATGCCGAGGCGAACAGCTCTATCGAGGGACCGCCGGACGCCCCGAAAATGTTGAAAGGGATTGTCACTCTTGTTTCATTGACGCTGTTATCCATCAGTCATTGCTTCGGAAGCAAGCAAAGTAAGTCTCATGGTAGCACCCGTGCATTTATCCAAATCAATTGACCTCGAAGAGCGCGATTCTAGGAACGAAGACGGTTGAGTTCTCAATCGTTCCGATTCGAAAACAAGGAAAATTTTCCCTTGTCTTACAGCATTAAGGGTGAAGCCCTTCGCTTTCTCGGACGAGCTGCAACTGGGTGACAAAATTGATGCATTATGTAGCGCCAAATACTCTTCGTCGAATCTGGCGTTTTCGTGGCTGAAGGACGGAAGACCGATTAATTCTGGTTCCGGAGGCATCCTGGTCGAAAACTCACATCATTTCGCGGCTCTCATCATCAGTCATTTACGGGTCGAACACATAGGAAACTATACTTGTGAGGTGAGGAGCGCGACCGGTGACCAGGACCGCTACACGGCTGCACTCGTCGCCAGAACACCTCCAGCGTGGTCGACGAAGCCCAAGGACTTTAGATCTCTGGTCGGGGATCGCGTGGAAGCTCTGTGCGACGCGACAGGCTACCCTCCGCCGAACGTAACGTGGTTTCGTGAAGGTGAGATCCCGAGAAGAAAATTCGAACGTCGGGTTTCGATATGCCATTTAGGCAGCGACTCGAGGATTCCTCGGCGTTTTCCTGGAGACCGCATCGTTCTCAGGTGCTCTGGTGAATTTCGGCAAACTGTTGGTTTTCGAGAGAATCCGAAAATCATCAGCAGGTTCATACTCTTGCCATGTGTCCAACGGAGTCGGACCGGATCTCGCCACAGAGTTCACCATCTCTCTGACATGTGAGTGCAGACTTTCTCGCAACCAGCCCTGCATGCTCTCCCGATTCTCTTGAGAGCTACCCTCTCGGCAGTCTCCGCGCTAATCGGAATTGAAATGAAATTTCCAAAGCATATTCTTATGTCTATGCCCAGCCGTGAGATACAGAGGTCTGCTTCAGTCTACGAGCCCGTTTATGAGCGGTATGCTGGCGGTGGTGTGAAATTATATCGTCAGAAATACTTGAAAGTTTCCCGCCATCTCGAGCTCGTAGACTGTAACGCCAGGTGGCACCACGTGTACCGATCAAGTCGCAAATGTTGAACTCATAGCACGATTGTAGGAACTCAATGTCGCCATATTTGTTCACGACCGACGATGATGGGCTCGATAAGCCGATTGCTGTTCGGTTTCTGCTTGATGCAGAAAGTACCGAGCGTGATTTGCAGACATTCTAGCGAGTTTCGTCCGGAACCCCATGAAGAACTCATCGCATACGAGATAAAAACGACACTAGTGAAGCGCCAAGCATCGGTGCCTCAGGTGAAGAACTTCTCCTTCCCCGCTGAAGCTCAGCTCGGTCAACGGATCGAAGCCCTGTGCAGCGTGAAGTTCAACGTACCAGGATTAGCTTTCGCGTGGCTCAAGGATGGGAGTCCGATATCGGAGAATAGCCACGGCATCGTTCTGACAGAGACTAGAAGCTTTCTTGCGTTTTCAATCGACGCCTTGAAACCCAGTCACACCGGGAACTACACTTGCGTTGCTCGCAGTCCCTCGGGGCGGGACAGCTTCACGGCACCCTTGGTCGCTTACACAGCTCCGTATTGGCATACGGTCCCGGAAGATACCTACATCCGGACAGGAAGCACCGTTGAGCTGAAGTGTGAGGCTGAGGGCTATCCTCCACCCGAAGTAAAATGGACTTCCAGCGGTGAGTTACATAACTTCCCATTCACGGAAAGGCCGGCCGTGAGGTCCCTGAACGGAGCTTTTTCCAGTTTCGAGAGACACGGTCAGAGGGAGCCGACTACTATTCGAGAGGATCAGCAAGGACGAAGCGGGGGAATACACCTGCAGAGCCGAGAATGGAGTCGGCCAAGCGATCGAGAAGACCGTCTCGCTTATGATTTCAAGTATGATCTCTCTAAAGTATGCAGAGTGCCTACAGAGCGCGCCATGGTTGGCACCGCACGAGTTATTTGATCGCGAGAGCTTCGAAAATCGTTGATGAGCATCTTTCTCATGGTTATCTGAATCCGAGTATTCCTTGCGAAACTTATGCATACATTCAAATGAATCCTTGACTCCAGACTGAGTTCGAACTGAGCGGCTCGATACTCCTTCCATACATGGGCGATAGGTGGCGCCTCCAGTACTATGCGATGAAATCATTGGTGTTGTTGGTACCGAGAGAGATGTGAGCAAATCCGGGAAGCCATTTTGTTGTCCAATCATGGCTCCGAAAATCGTAAATTTATTCTTGGGTTCTCTCGTCGCCGCGATAACTGTAGCGGAGCCACCGAGAGTGCAACCTTTCCTCCTGCCGTCTAATCCGGAGATGTGCGATGAAATCAATGTCATGTGCAGCGCGAAATCATCGACGCCCGTGGAGCTCCGATGGTTGAAAGATGGCAAGGACGTAAGAACATTTATGTTTCCAAATGCCACGATTTCCCGTGTCGGAAACATTCTGTTGATGTCAGTGAAGTGCATATCTAGCGAGCACGCCGGAAATTATTCATGCGTCGCCGAAAATCGCCACGGCGAAGACTCGTTCAGCGCTGCTCTGAGAATGTCCATCGCTCCGTTCTGGCTCGACGGATCGGTCGAGGACAGAATCGTGAAAGCATCGAGAGGTGAAAACGTGGAGCTTCGGTGCAACGCCGGAGGTTTTCCTAAGCCTAACATCACTTGGCACAGGGGAGGTACGTAAGACAATACCGTAGCGTGCTGTATGTGTCCTCAGGAACAGCGAGGCTGAATCTCACCGCCCACATTTGCAGCCAAGTTCCTAGCGAATTCGGATAGGCTCACCCTGAAAATCAAGGATAAGTTCTCGGGTGGAGACATTACTTGTCAAGCTGAGAACAGCGTCCCGCCCAGCATCGAGCGGAATTTCGTCATCCGAGTCATTCGTTAGTGATCAATGATCATCATCAGAATAATTTATAGTCGCGGAATAGACTTATGTGATAGAACCTTATATAGCTCCGTCTGAAGTCGTCAGAGTATCGTCTTCAGAGAGGTACAAGCGCCTCTCGCCGTTAAAGTCCCGTGAAAAAAGTTCCGGGCAGAAATTATTCCCGAATAAGTCAACAACCCTCATTCGAAATAGCCCGCTGAGCAAGTGATTGGCTTCAATCGCCGATGGATGGCGCCACGCGTACCGTGTGAATTTCCTGCCGCTTTCATTTTCACTGCCTGATGACGCCATATTTGAACTGTTCTGGTGGAGTGGACGCTCCTTACAGCACTCACGATGAGATGCGGTCTGGCACTTTCATCGATATTCTACCTTTGCATGAAATTGACGTCTATTGGTAAGCAGCCTGATGTTGGGCGGCTCCGGGAAACGCCTCTAATGAGGGGAATTTCGATTCGAACCCTCACCATGCCAATACCCCTCCTCTCATGAATTTTGTTCCAAAAGGTGCGTCGAGAGTGTCTCCCTTCGGTTTTCCCGAATTCAGCGCACCTGGAAGTCGAATCAAAGTCGTGTGCTCAGCGAACGAAGGAGCGACTCTGTCCTGGCTCAAAGACGGAGTTCCCCTCGGCACTCGCGCGAACGGAGTCGTTCTTGAGAATGTGGGTGACTTCCTCGTTATGCTCATCGAGTCTGTGAAGCCCAGTCATTCTGGGAACTACACGTGCCAAGCATCGAGTACCGGAGGAGTGAGTTCATACAGCGCAACTCTGACTGTCATTGCTTCCCCGGAGTGGGCGAGTGTTCCCGCGGATTTGTCAGTCAAGCAAGGCAATGCCCTCGAGCTCGAGTGTCTTGCTGATGGGTCTCCAGAGCCCAGGATTGAGTGGTTCCACGGAAATGGTCAGTGAGCACGGGACGGACGGCGGTCAAAGGCGATACTCATGATTTTGATCAACATAACAGAATTTCCTGTCGATAGAATTGATCGCGAGAGGTCGAGTCTTGAGACTAGCAAATGTCGGTCGGAAACAATCAGGAAATCTCAAATGCTCGGCCCAGAATGAGCACGGACTAATCGAACATTCCTTTCGTCTGGCGATCATCTGTGAGTCCACAATTCGTTCTGTTCCCATGATTTCGGTACTCAGAGTCGCCGATAGCTTCACGAGGAATTACGAGAGGCTACATAACACGAATCGAGCATTAGACATATGCTAGCTTTATTGAGAGCCATAAGCGGGACTCTAAGAAGATCGTTGTGATTGCTGCATCCGCGCCTAATAGGAACAAGAGTCAGGAGTGACCGTTCGTAGGATGGGTCGTCCCGTAAACGGCATGTCCTGGAAATCGCGGGGTAATCAGTCCTCCAGGATCTGGGGATATGGGTTCGCGGCCGGGGACGCGGAACCACGCACCGTTTGTCCACTCCGGAAAATCGTATCTCCCGACGAGCTTGAAGATCTTCTGCGCCTTTTTCTGATTATCCATCACCAAAAATCCAAATGTAGGCGCCCTTCCCTCATAAGGTTTTTGGCCGGAAGATGGCGCCACATGTATCGCTGATTACCCTCACGACGAGGCGAGTTCGGCACAGGATTTAGGTCCGCCATCTTTGTCTATTCCCCGATAATGGGGGGTACTGTGGATTTCGTGGTGTCGTCGCTCATGATTTTATCCGGAGTTGGCCATGTACTGGCAGGTACGTATCGTGAGTCATCGCCGGATAGAATGGAAGGGTTCGCCCCGCTGAATGAGACGCTACGTCCGAATTGCAGGAGATCCCAGCGTGCCTATATTCGCTATGCCCCAGGAGATCACTCTCGGCTCGGATATAAAAGTGACATGCTTCTCGTCTGGTGCGACCAGTCTGGAGTGGCTCAAAGATGGAGTGATCCTCCATGATGGTCAACGAGGGATTGAAATCACCAAGTTGGGGGGTTTACTGATTCTATCAATCGATAAGGTTCTGATCGAGCATTCTGGGAACTACACATGTGTCGCTCGTAATGATGAAGGCAGCAGTAGTTTCACGAACTCCCTCTCGGTGGCTGCGGGACCTTCCTGGCTGAGGAAGCCCGACGAAAGCGTTGTGGTCAGCGGCAAAACATTCGTGAATCTGAGATGCGAAGCGGAAGGCTCTCCGAAGCCACTCATAACGTGGCAGAAGGACGGAGGTTCGACGTCTTCAATTTTGCTCGAATCATGCGACAGATATTCCGAAATTTAGGTCAGTGAATCATATCATAATACATCCACCGCAGAAACCATTTGGTCCGCTGAAACTCTCCATCTCAAAGATGTTGGCAGAAACGACGCCGGTAGTTACGCTTGCATTGCGCAGAACATACACGGACTCATCAGGCATGGATTCAGCGTTTCGTTGAACCGTGAGTTGGAAGTCGATAGCCTTCGGACAAATCGGATCGCTTGACTCGCTTCAGACTGCTCTCAGTAAGCTCGGGAATGCCGAAGCTGAGGATGGTACCGCGTGTATATACTTCATCATAATTATTGAGACATTTTATCCTCGGGGAAGGGCTACTGTATAACCTATGTACATACAACGAGAACGCTGTTGCCAGCAACGGTTCGTTGAAATGAATATTGGTCTGAGCGAACTTCTTCGACCATAAGGTCTACATCGTCGATGCCGACGGGTCCACGAGTTGAGAGATCTCGGCCAAGTATTTCGTGGCGCTGATCAGACATGGAGCTTCGCGAAATGATGGGAATCACTCTCACGCCGGACATCCATATGGCTCTGGAACAACTCGGATATGACGACACTGTTCTGCGTACCCTATGTGAGGCATTGCCCGAGAGCCCCGAAACCGTACGCGGCTGGCTTCCTTGGCGAGGTGACTGAGGGGCGTGGTGCCTTTCGGAAGATCGCAGCGGTTCGCAGAACCGACAACGGCAGCTATCCGGGGTTGACCGTGTCCCTCCGACTCGCCCGCTAATAATTCGAGGGGAGCTTAGGTGCATTAATGGGCACTGGGAGTCGATTCGAGCTATCCGGAATCCCCCGGCATCCAATTATCCGTGATTGAGGTCCGGATGGGGCTGGAAGTCTTCCTCGGCGGATCTGAACTCCTTTCGGTCTTGGCATTTGAATTACCGGAGGGTTGAGAGATGGAGTGCTCTTTCTCCGCCTTCGCTCAGGTTCCTTCCGAAAATCATCGAGCTCGGTGGTCTCAGAGATCCTCCACGAACGAAATAAGAGAATTCCGCTCCCAATCTAGCATCTAGTAGGGGTTTAAATCAAGCGCCATGACGAGGCTCTCTTGTGATCGCCGATGGTTGGCGCCACATGTGTTATATCGAGGAATCTCTCTGCCGCCAAGGTGGTCGCCATCTTGGGAAGATCAGAAGAATTTCAGGATGCAGAGCCCAGCAGTGCTCATTCTAGTCACCTGGTGCCTTCGGTCTTCCCGCGCCTCAGGTGAGGCAGATTTTTTCGAATCACGTTCGTGATACTCGATCAGATGGCCTATACTGTTCCGCCTTCCAATACTGAGTGAGTGCTTCCATAGGTCCACCGAGCGTTTCCCCGTTCGGCTTCCCAGATCAGAACGGTCTTGGAGGCAAAGTGAACGCTTTCTGTACATCCAATGATCAAAGTAGCCTGAGCTGGATGAAGGATGGTCGAGTCATAGAGAACGGAGACTTGTTCTCCGTGATCAAGCTCGATGGAGCACTACGCCTCGTTATCGGCGAACTGACAGCGGAGCACAGCGGGAACTACACTTGCACCGCCCGTAACGCTCACGGCAGCAGTAGCTACAGTGCAACGCTCTATGTTGTATCTCCACCGATTTGGAGTGAAATTCTGGAAGATCGAACCGTGACCCGGCACGGGCCTGTACGGCTCTCATGTGGAGCCAGTGGTCGCCCCAAGCCAAATATAACCTGGAGCAGAGATGGAGGTAGCATGAATCGAGCGCTCAGACCGAAAACTACCAAGTAAGACAACATTCTACAACAGGAGTCGATCATATCGTGATATAACTTCCAGAGCAAGTCCACAGCGGAAGCGTATACAACTTGCTCGCGAGTAAAGCGACTAGCGGGATCTATACGTGCACAGCATCGAACGAATACGGCGTCATAAAACAGAGCACAAAAATTTCTGTCTCCTGTGAGTTCGATTTTTGGCGCTCCCTCCCTAGTTGGGGTTATTGGCCGACGGATGGCGCCACATGTACCGCGCTGCTGTTCATACAGCACCAATAGGGACGTTTGTGAACGCCATCTTAAAATTAGTACCTATCTCGATTCACGATGTGTGAGATTAAAGTGACGCTGCTTATTGCTACATCATGTTTCCTGCTCGAGTCGATCGTTTCAGCAGGTATGATATGCCAATTCAATCATAAGAGCAATGTATCCCCATCGATTCGATGCCACGAAAGGCCCGCCGAGCACCCTTTCACTCACCTTTCAGAACTCCCGAGCGTGCCCACCATTGCCATACCCGAGAAAAACTGGGTCGGCTCGGAGGTAAAAATCACATGTTTTTCGTCGGGGGCGAGTAGCCTAACGTGGCTCAAAGATGGCGTCGCGCTCGAGGACGAACGGGAGAAGATCCGTATGACGAAAATGAGTGGCTTACTAGTCCTATCCATCGACAAACTTCTTGTAGAGCATGTGGGAAACTATACTTGTGCTGCCAGGAACAAGGAGGGTACGAGTGCGTCGAGTGGCGTCTTGAGCGTATCCGCGCCGCCAACCTGGGTGAAAACGCCCGGAAATGTCCGTCTCGCGGGGAAAGCCCCGACCAGCGTTAGGTGCAGAGCCGACGGTTATCCTAAACCAGTGATATCGTGGCTGAAGAATGGAGGTTAGCAGGGGCTCATTGTTCTCGATCATACTTACTCGCATCCAATCCATCGTGTCATTGCGCATCATCTCGGAAGTGTTTTCCAGAGAGAATCGGTTCCGCTGACACGCTACATTTCGAGAAAGTGAGCCCGAACGATGCAGGCTCATACTCTTGCATCGCGACCAATATCCACGGAGTCTTGAAACATGATTTCGACGTCCTCGTATACCGTGAGTACTCCTCTCGTGGCTTCGGGCCACTGAGATCGATTCGCATCTCCCGCCGATGTTTTAGTGAAGATTTTGGCCGATGGGTGGCGCCACGTGAATCGTGTCAGAAATCCAAATTCGAAAGCATCAAACGGACCCAGGTCCGCCATTTTGATCGGTAATGGTCTCTCGCCGTCATGAAAGGATCGAGACTCTCCCTTGCGAGTGTGTTTCATGTTCTGTTCTTCGCTTTCGTAAAAGCAGGTATGTGCCGATACTGAGAAACTCCTCGCGAAAATCGCAGACTTCGGTCTAATCGAGCGAGACCAATGTCGACGACGGTCTATTCCCACAGGAATCCCGCAAATCGCTCCATTCAGATTCTCGCAGAGGATTGTCGGAAGTTCGGCGAAAGTTGCGTGCGTTGCGGATGATGCGACGTCGATCGTCTGGTCCAGAGACGGTCGACCGCTTCAAGATGGGAGGAATGGAATCACTTTGAAGCAAGTCGACGGCGTCGCGGTGCTCTCCATTGAAAGAGTGACGCCCGAGCATTCTGGCATCTATACGTGCACGGCCCGGAACGAAGAAGGAATCTCGACCTTCAGTGAAGCACTATCCGTGTCTGCGCCGCCTAAGTGGCTGAAAACTCCTGAAGACACAGTCCTATCAAAGTCACACAACGCAGAACTCGAGTGCGAGGCATCAGGATTTCCTGAGCCAAATATCACGTGGTCCCAAGCTGGAGGTCAGTTTCTGATGTCGGAGACGGCAAATCTCAGCTCTGACGTCCCACCGACGCCCCTAAATATAAGTGCTTGACGAGAGCCTAATTCACAGAAATAATCCAGAGAGGCAAGAGTATTTCTATCGGACTTAAAGCGCGAATGTCACCCGGGATTTATACGTGTGAAGCTTTCAATGAGCACGGCAGCATCAGACATTCTTTCGAAATCACGCTGGTCTGTGAGTATCATGGACCGTGGTCCTGAGCTTCAGAGTCGCCATGTGTGCCTTCCGTGGCCTGGCTAACGAAGTGTCGACTCCGCCGGGCTCAATTGGCCTCATGTCATTCAAATCATCGAGTTGTAGATAAGACCGGTGAATACTACCGAGGATGAATAGTATAATCAAATATTGGCGCGTAAAATTAGTTCCCATTTCGGCCGAGATATGGCGCCACATACACCGTATCCGGGAATTTAAATCACCGGATGGGTGTAGAGCAGTCGCCGACGCCATTTTCATTCCGAGTGATGAGCAGACCTGTCGAGTGCGGATCATGTTATTCAATGGACCTCTGTCAAGCGTGATCGTCTTCATAAGTCATCTTGTGACCTGTCGAGCAGGTAGGAGAACCTCGTATATGTCTCCTGAGGGAAGCTGCGAGAGGAAGGAAGGGAATTCCCGACTCGGTGACTGCATATATGTTTTCAGGTCCCCCGAAAGTCTCTCCATTCGAATTCACCGAGAACTCGGTCGGGGGAGAGGTGAAAGTATTCTGCGTTTCTAGCGGAGTCTCCTCGTTGTCCTGGAGTAAGAATGGTCGCGTCTTGCAGACCGGGGTAACGAATGATGGAATCTCTATCAAACCCCTCGAAGGCGCCCTAATGCTCTCTATTACCGATTTGGAACCTGGGCACTCTGGAAACTACACATGCACTGCAAGAAACAAGAACGGAATGAGTAGTTTTAGTGCTCTGCTCGAAGTTGCGGCTCCCCCAAAATGGGAGAAAACCCCTCAGACGACGATTCTCCTAGGTGCTACGCCAGACGCAGAATTGTTGTGTGAAGCGTCAGGATTTCCCCAGCCGGAGATCGTCTGGAGGAGGGACGGCGGTTAGTTTCTCGATCGCCCTCAAAACTTCTCGAGCCCTGCATGGAAAGATACAACATTCTCGTTGATCATGGGCGGAAACGGAGACTAGCCGATGCCTCCTGATATTCCAGAGATCGTCCAGTCTGGCCGCTCATTGCGGCTTACACAGGCTCAGGACCCCATCGCTGGCGGCTATAGCTGTCAAGCGTCAAATGCTCACGGCAGCATATTCCATCAATTCAGTGTCTCCGTTGTTTGTGAGTCAAATCACCGTGCCCTTGCGAATCGTAGGTAATTCTAGCCGCCATTTTCATCATCTTCGTATCTCTTTCTGTCTCGTTCGCCGCACGGTCGAGCTCCGGTCGACGTGCGCCTCATGTGAATGAGTGCGAGATTAGTCAAGAATGCTGAGCCGCCGTACTGCCTATTTGTGGAAGGCTCCCCTAAGGAGCGTCGACTTCGAACTCCGTCCTGGAGTCCGCAAAGCTGCGATTCTTATTAGATTCGACTGATTCATTTGAGCCTTCGAACCAACAACCCTCTGCCGAGACGATGGGAACCAGCTTTCCGAAAGAGCCGCGTTGTTGCGAGTTCCCCAAATGGCCGATGGATGGCGCCACCTGTATCATATAACACTCCAGAGCTGGGGACGGTGCGAACGCCATGTTGATTTTGCTCCTCGCGTCGCAGAGAGAGTGCGAGCTCAGTCATGTTGCTCATCCTGGTATCATACTATACAATTATTATAGCAGGGTGCTCGGTGCTCGCAGGTATGTTGGCCGGGTGGGCGTATGCGTATGTGCGGTCAAACATTCGTTCCTCGCGATGAACGAAATAATTGACCGAGTGGTGAATGAAGTGCCCTCCCTTTTAGGAAGCCCAGAAATATCGCCCTTCGGTTTTCCCGAGACTCCGTCAGGCGCAGGAGTACGAGTTGTTTGCATTCCTTCTTCGGAAAGTACGCTCACTTGGTTCAAAGATGGCCGTGAATTACGACATGGTGACGATGGAGTCGTTATACAAGAATATCAGGGTATGCTTGTGTTGTCGATCGGAAGCGTGGACTCGAAAAACTCAGGCAACTACACATGCACCGGGAAGAATCAAGACGGAGTTGGGAGCTTCAGTGCGTCTCTTTTCGTTCCTGATCCACCGCGATGGGAACATAAGCCCGAGAACCGCGTTGTCATTTCACAAAACTCTAAACCAAAAACACTCGTGTGCGAAGCGTCAGGGTTGCCGGAACCGCGCATCAGCTGGACGAAAAACGGAGGTATTCGATCGCCATACAATATAGGTAGTCTGACTGGCATACGTAGGTGGAAAGGGTTGTGAGAGGTGCGACGTGCGACCGAGTTTCGGATTTCAAGTGGACATTGGATCCGGGAACAAGCTGGTACTACACACAAAGGATCGTAACAGCTCTGGTTCATACGCTTGCCGAGCTTCGAACAAGTATGGGAGCATTGATCATCGTTTCTCAGTGTCCATATTCTGTAAGTTTGCGCGGTGAAGCGCGTACTGAATCCTCCTTGGATCTTTTCTGCTCACTTAGTTAGTTCATGGCGGCTGTATGGCACCACATGCATCGCTCCTTAAAATTCATGTGTGCTTGTGCTCGGAGCTGGCTCCAAGCGTGGGGAGATTTCCATATTCCCGACCCGTTCTCGTAGCCCCGAGCAAATACTTTCGGGACCGTCCGACGGGCGCTGCCATCGAGGAAAGCCAGACTTCTAGCCGTCTCTGCGGCTCACCTCGGGCGGGATATTGCCCCGGACAGACTTCGAGCAGCCGTTCTAGCTCAGACATCGGGGCAATTTGGACAGTGTTCCATAGAACATCCCCGATCCTAAGCGCTCCAGATACACTGTTACACGGTGACCGTGAGTCTGTCTAGTGACTAGACTCTAGTGTCTCGCTGGAAAGTCCACGTTGAGGTCGATCGAACGAGAAGCCTCTCAGTTCATAGGAACATGTTCGACTATCCTAATGATAGCAAGTCCAGGCGTTCCAAAATGCCGCGAAAGCGATAGTTCCTGAAATGGCCGACGGATGGCGCCACCTGTATCATACGATCACGGCGCTAATGATGAATCAAGCGCCATGTTGATTTCGACAGACGCATCACTGAAAGAGATCCCGTCGGGTCATGTTGTTTGCTTTGATAGTCTACGGAATCATCGGAAAATGCTCGGGCCTTGCAGGTATGTTTCTCCGATGCGATGCACAATCTTGGAAGGTCCCTCGAAATTTTTAACTGCGTGGCCATCGAGACAATGTTGCTTCTAGGAGGGCCGGAAATTTCCCCGTTCGGGTTTCCCGGAGCAGCTTCAGGAGCCGAAGTCCGGGTTGTTTGCGTACCTTCAATCAAGAGCACACTTGTGTGGCTCAAAGACGGACGAGAGCTTCGCGACGGCGACGACGGTGTGGATATTCAAGATATCCAAGGCATGCTAGTGCTGAGAATCGGGAGAGTGTCTCCGAAAAACTCGGGCAACTATACCTGTAGAGGAACGAGTCCGAGTGGCGTTGGAAGCTTCAGCGCTTTCCTTTCTGTTCCCCACCCACCGCAGTGGACGAACGTGCCTGAAGAACGCGTAATCGTTCCCAGACGCTCGGAACCCATAGCGCTATCATGCGAGGCATCCGGATCACCGCGCCCGGAAATCTCTTGGATGAAAGAAGGAGGTATTTCGTTAAGAGTCCTCGCGCCAAGACTATTCGTAGCAGGCTCGAGCGAGGAGATGTGATACTCACCCGAATTATTATCATCCTAGTTCTCGTAGGATCGGGGAACGAACTGCTGATTCGAACGAAGAACCGGAACAGTTCCGGTCCTTACGCTTGTCGAGCCGTGAACAACTACGGGAGCATCGATCATCGTTTCACAGTCTCCATATTCTGTGAGTGCGCGAAAGGGTCTCCTCGAGCTTGGCTCATTGCCGATCTCCCGATAGTCGGCACTCGGCACCACATGTCTTTCGATGAACTCTCGTCGGCACTGAGCCGACTTGTGATCACCCGATCACTCCTTAGGTACACTATCAGTATGCTGCGTCTATACCATCAATTAATATCGATCTAAACAGGTTAGAATTCTTATAATTAGCTTCATGTCCCGTCGCACTGCTTCCGATGAGTTGCTCCGATATCGACGGAATCCTCGAGTTCGCTATCACATGAGCGCCTCGGATCCCTAAAACTTTAGTCATGAACCCCCTCATGGCAGTTCCAAGAGATAACCGGGAGCGTGAGTTCTGGGGGTGAGAAAGTTTCAATTTCCATCACGGCCGTTCTACAGAATACGACGATTTAGATACTGCGAGAGAGAATCAAACCGCTCTCGAGAGATTCCCCTGAGAAGCTCTATCTGATCGCGCTCTTGATCTAGGGGAGCATAGACACCCTCCGGCCCAAAGGGTCTCGATTTTCCAATGCATCAAGGCGATCATCTATTCAAGGAAAACTGCTCGTCCGCGAGACGTTTTCGACCGGACAGGAAATCCGTGCCCTGTGCCATATTCGAATTTGAAAGCTGCCGCTCTCACTGCAGCTTCTGCATATGGCCTTTGGATGGCGCCACGGGTACCGAGAAAATCGCTCTAGAGAAAATCGCCCAGGACGCCATGTTGAATACAAACGACTAATGAGAGTCAGTGAGTGAGTTGCGGTCATGTTGCTTCTCCTGTTGGTTTGCCGACTTATAGGGTCACACTTCGTCCTCGCAGGTATGGATGAAGCCGAGTCGAGTGTCTTGAAGAGAGATTCTTGATTCTCTTATTTGACGCCATAGCCCTACTCGATGTGAATATTTCTAGGGATACCGAAAATTTCCCCCTTCGGCTTCTCGGAGACGACAGTCGGAGCCGAAGTCAGAATAGCTTGCATTTCTTCTGCAAAAAGTGCGCTCGCGTGGTTGGTCGACGGTCGCGAGATACGCGACGGCCATGACGGTGTGCACATCAGCGACGTACAGGGTATGCTCGTTCTGACGATACGCGACTTACGCCCGGAGCACTCTGGCAACTATACCTGCACCGGATCGAACACTGAAGGCGTCGGCAGCTTCAGCGCTCCGTTGTTGGTGCCTTATCCTCCTCGATGGGAGGAAACGCCGAACGAACACGTCGTAGTGGCGAGAACATCCAAGACGAAAACTCTGAAGTGTTCAGCGCTCGGCTCTCCTGAACCACAAGTTACTTGGTTCAAGAATGGAGGTAAACTCAATCGATTCATTCGCGGATTCGTAATCTCGGAGCGAGGCTCTATTCGTAGACTGTAGTCTTACCGTGATCTCTGACTTGTTTAAGCACTCATCCATGCTGGAAATAACTTGTCGTTCCGGATCGACAGCAATGACGTATCCGGTTCCTACGTTTGTCGAGCGTCCAATGAACATGGAACCATCGACCGCGAATTCCGAGTGTCGGTTTTCCGTAAGCGTAAACCATTCGATGGTTTTGCATACCTGATGGATGATTTTGAAAAGGCCGCCGCCAAGTGTGTTTCCGCACATGGCCGATACATGGCGCCACATGTATCACCGGAGACGGGCATAAAGACCTCTGTCTATGACGCCATGTTTGGATTCAGATATTGGTGTCAGGTTGAACCCTTGAATATAAGTTGTGTGGCACGGAATGGGGTTAAGAACAATCGTGCTCTCCATCATCGTGCTCGTTCCCCAAAAATGTCATGCAGGTATTTTCACGCAATTTCTTGGACAATCTTCCCGCATCGCTGGAGCGTGGGACGCTCATGAGCGACTATCTGCGAGCTTATGAGGTGTTTTTCAGGCACTCCGAAAATCGTCCCATTCTCTTTCGCCGAATCTACGGCCGGCGGCGAAACGAAGGTAGTCTGCGTTTCCATGGGGCGTAACAGCTTCTCGTGGACGAAAGATGGGGACTATCTCGCTGACGGCTCCGGGGATTTCCACATCCAGGAGCTTCAGGGGATGTCAGTGTTGACCATACAGAATCTGAGACCCGAACACTCCGGTAGCTACACATGCACTGCTCGAAATGTTGAAGGGAGCAGCAACTATACAGCTACCTTAGAAATCGCGTCCCCGCCAATGTGGGTCGAAGTGCCCGCAGATATGAGACTACCCGTCGGAACAATGAAAAAACTAACCTGCAATGCATCCGGTTTCCCCGAACCTCGGGTGGATTGGGTATATAACGGAGGTTCGTGCATTTTCAAAGAGATTCCGGACAGGGAGGGAGCAAGCAGGTTGAACCTCCCATACGAATTTTGGATTCCAGATATCATATGGACAGGTCATCTTTTTCAAATCAGCATGATCTCTAGAGCCAACGGCGGGTCGTATATGTGCAGGGCAGAAAACATTCATGGTACCATAAGTCACAACTTTCTTCTCACGACATTCCGTGAGTTCGCGCTCTCATGTTCAGAGAAATGGAAGCTGCATTGGAGTCCGATGGATGGCTCCAGGCATCGCGTGATGAGAATGGGATGGAAATTCCGAGAACGTACCTAGGTAGCTCATGGTAGCGGGTCACAGCTCTCTTCTCCTTAAATCCTGCAAGAGAGGATTCGAATTTCGTGATGATGCCGCTGCGGATTTGAACCCGACTGGCTCACCTGGTGGAGCTTCTCCGCTCAGCAGTCTCCTGATTCTCACTTCGCCGAGAGCTAGGCAATCGGCTCATTGCCGACTGGGCATCCCGATGTTCGAGCTCGGAGCAGAAATCTCTTTGAGAAAAAGCCCTTGCGGAAACCGTCACGCTATCCCGATGAACTTCACTCTCACCAGAAGTCGTTCGGCCGAGCAACTCGCTAGATGGAGATTCATTGAGGGAACCAGGTTCGGAATCTAATAAGCCACCTCGTCCTTAAAAAGCTCCCCCATTCGTGACCGTGTTCTATCTGATGGAATCGAAATGCCCGCTTTCCGAGGGTGATACTTGAAATGGCCGATGGGTGGCGCCACATGTACCGCTAACAGGGCGAACCTCGTGAAGCAAGTCGCCATGTTGGCAGCGTCCAGCTCGGAGCCTATAATCTGTATTCGTATGCAGAGGGGGAAATTTCGTCTAGAACGATGGAAGTCGGTGTTGTGATCATCTGCTTGCTGTTATCGGCGATAGAGGGTATGTAACCAATATGGACGGAGACGGAGCTCTTCTTTGGGATCGATCACGCCCGAGGATCACCCTTGATTCCGATCCTTGCAGGGAAACCTCCCATTTCCCCCTTCGCTTTCCCTGATAGCGTAACGATCGGGAGTCCCGTCAAAGCAACGTGCGTCTCAGGATCTAATGTCCGTCTGGAATGGCTCAAAGACGGGCGACCGCTACCAAATGGGCATGGAATCGAAATCAGAGATGTTGAAGGCATTTTAATATTATTGATAGCCCGAGCGCGACCCGAACATTCCGGAAACTATACCTGCATCGCGAAGACTCCCAAGGGATTCAACTCCTACACTTCATTGTTGAACGTCGCTGCTCCCCCGGAATGGCTGACGGTCCCAAAAGCTACATTAGTATACGACAGACAGGGTCCGAAAGAATTGACGTGCGATGCTTCAGGCTTCCCTGTGCCCAACATAACATGGGTTTCGGAAGAAGGTGGGGGCCGTCACCTCATTGCAATTTTTCCGGAGGATATTCGCACAAGTTTCAAGAATCCCGATCATTGCAGAGATCTTGCACTCCGGGAAACACTACGTCTTCGAGGGAGACCATAAACAGCGAAGGAGGAAGTATTCTTGCATAGCCAAGAATTTACACGGGACGATACAGCATGATTTTGAGCTTTCTCTCTTCTGTGAGTTCTTCCATTGTGGAATCCATAGTCCATAGAACCGCTGGGAGTCTCGTTCGAGAATAAGGGATGGCACCACATGTATTTCCGTTCAAAAATTTTTGGAGACTCCCGTATCGATCTGGACACTGGTGTTTCGAAGCGATACCCGTCTCCAGAATGCTGTGTGAATAGTTCCTCGGCAGATATTGTACGACAATATCCGGAGAAAGCGGTGCACGGGCCTATTTATGTCACCGGTCTCCGACCTTCGGTAGGGGCCTCGACGGATGTTGAGCGTCTCGAATCGAAAAGAGCGCCGTGCTCGTAGTTACATGGGATGGCCGGTGAATGGCGCCACATGTATCAGGAAGAAGTTTGGGTCGAGAAGCCAAATCCATCCTGAAGGCTGCCATTTTTGTTTGAAAACAGAGTGTCAGAAAGGATCATGATCCGCTGGTTCGCTCGAGCTCTATTTCTCGCCACGCTTGGCTTCGCCGAAGCAGGTATGAATCCGATATGCACATTCACGCTGAACACGGAGACAACAGTCTTCAGGTCTGCGAATCTTGGCCTAAAATTGTGGATGCTTTTAGGCTCGCTCCCGATAACGCCCTTCAGCTTCCCCGAGAGGAATATCGTCGGATCCCAAGTCAAAATAACTTGTTTTGCTGGAGGAGGTGGGAAGCTGAGTTGGCTCAGAGACGGAGTATATTTGAAAGACGGCTCGGACGATTTGACCGTGCAGTACTTCGATGGACTCTTAATTCTGTCGATCGACTCCGTGCAGCCGAAGCACGCAGGGAACTATACGTGCCTCGCTCAGGGACCGGACGGTAGCAGCAGTAGTCACAGCTCTTACTTGGCCATTTCTGCACCCCCTGAGTGGATTTCGGTCCCGGGAGATCTCGTGATCACGAAGTGGTCGAGTGATCAAGAACTGGAGTGCCGAGCTTCAGGTCATCCCCGGCCAAACATCACTTGGGCGAAAGGAGACGGTCAGTTGATTATTTCAATTAGTTTCGATGATGTTTTCCGACGATGAGTCTCAAGGATGTATCGGTGATTTGCAGAACCTTTTCATTACGGAACCGTTGTGAGACTAGATGGAACTGCGGGGCAAGGTCCCTACTCTTGCGAGGCGACCAATCGCCATGGAAGTATCAAACATGACTTTAAAGTCTCCGTGTCCAGTGAGTTTTTAGTCGCGAAATGTATTTAACTCGCCGAATGGCTCAAACTTGCCGCCTATCCCGAGTAGTTTGGGAAAATGGACGACGGATGGCGCCACGTGTACTGAGTCAATGATGGGAAGCTGCGGAGGTCGCCATGTTTTCTAAACCAAGCCGTATTAGTAATATCTGATCGAGAACCATGCGGTGGTGTGAAGTCTCATGGTCAGTCATTTGTTTCTGGCTTTGCGCGGAATCTACGAGTTCTGGTACGTGACGCCTCCTGCTTTCGAGCGAACATCAAGGATCCTATCTCGAAGCTCAATCGGAGCCAGAGTGCGATGTTGAGGCTTATTCTAGGGAAGCCCCCGATATCTCCTTTCGCGTTCCCCGATATCGTGTCGATCGGCGCATCGGTTAAAGCAACATGCGTTTCGGAGTCTCAGAGCGTGCTGCAGTGGTTCAAAGACGGAACGCCGCTGAAATCTAGGACCGAAGGTATCGACATCAAAGATTTCGAAGGCATCCTAGCGTTGATAATCAACAAGGCGCAGCCAAATCATGCCGGGAACTACACCTGCCTTGCCCGCAATAGGGAACGATCGAATTCGTTCAGTGCATTGTTGAGGGTCGCGGTTCCCCCATCATGGATTTCAATCCCCAAGAACGCCACGCTCGGTGACGTCATGAGCGGTAGGGGATTCATTTGTGAAGCTTCAGGATACCCGGAGCCGAAAGTTCGGTGGTTTGCGGAGGGGAAAGGTAAAATTAGCTGAAGCTTTGTCGTGGCGCAGAGGAGAGACGAGATCTATCTTGACGCGAATTCTCTCGCCGTAGAGGTTTTTTCCGGAAAGCGATTCGTCCCTCTGAAGTCTTCGCGTTCTAAGCCTCTGGAATATACCTGTGAGGCGGAAAATGCCTACGGAAGAATTCAGCACAGCTTCGATATCGACGCTTCCTGTAAGTTGTAAGGCCTTGCTGGATTATTGATTCCAGCGAGTTCCATGAGATTCTACATACATTCGGGGATCTGTGCTGTAATGATTCGCGACTCGGAAAGAGTCAAGACCGATGGATGGCACCGGTCGTTCTATGTTGATTCATCGTAAACCAGGGTCTCCGGACGGTCGTGGGGCGGAGGTCAGCGAGCCCAGATTTCCGAAGTTGACCTCGCCGTGGCCTAAAGTTGGGAAGAAATTGTCTTGGAAATCAAAGTGTCCTCAACGTATTGGAAATGTACGAGATCCCGTATGCCTCCTGGTTTTCTGGCACGTGCTTTTCATGTGGCCAGATATAGGCCGCGTATCACTTAGCCGCGGCCCGCAGTGTACTGACCACTGGTTCGGGGTATCGGCAGGCTATATCGAATCGAGCGACGCTTCCGAGTTAGCCCATGGCTCTCGAAGCGGGTGGGTCGCAGTTTATATTCGTGAAACTTTCTTGCGTCAATTCGATCGTGGATCACAAACGGCAACGCGTAGGAACAACTCAATATGCATACTACCTAAGCCATGAAGTGGAATTTCGAGTACGCCGCCGCTTCTCGAACATCGGCAAATGGCCGACGGATGGCGCCACCGGTATCGCGGCTCCGGCTAGCTCTTGAACACGAGCGGCGCCATGTTGGCATCCATTGCATTGAGAATGAGCTGAGCTCGGTGTCTGCATCATGTGGTGGTTCTCGATACCCTTCATTATTCTGTACTCGACTCAATTCTCAAGAGCAGGTAGATATTCGACGGATTTCACCTTTCCCATCTGACGGTGTATGAGGCATCCCTTCACTTATCGCGACAACTCTATAGCGAGGCTCTTTCAGGAGTCCCGTCGATATCGCCATTCGGCTTCCCCGACCGGAATGAGGTGGGGAGCGAAGTCAAAGCTACGTGCATATCGAATGGCGCGAAGACTTTGACGTTATACAAGGACGGCTCTCTCTTGCGGAGTGGCGTAGACGGAGTTGAGATCAAACGCATAGAGGGTATCCTGGTTCTCGCAATCGGCTCTGTCGACGTGAGGAATATCGGGAACTACACCTGCCAGGCTGAAAATACGGACGGAGTGAACTCCGTGAGTGCCTTTCTGAACGTCGCAGCTCCTCCGAGGTGGATTTCCAAGCCTCTGGGAAAAATCATTGTGTCAACAGCGACTGAGCAAGGCCTCCTATGTGAAGCCTCGGGTCACCCTAGACCCCACGTATCATGGATCTACAACGGAATCGTAATCCATCGCGGTGTTCATCTACCTTTCGGCAAGAAAGTAAAACGTCAGCCTGGCGCTTACATTTGCGTAGCTGAGAATCAGCACGGGAATATCAGTCAAGTCGCTCATGTATCGATTCAAAGTGAGTTTTGTCGGTCCCGGGAGGAACGATTGGAAACGCCTAGTTGTCATTCGAATCGTTCGATGGTAGATAATTGTGGTCTGCCAGCTTCGGCAAGCGAGGGAGTTTGCGATGTGACATTCGAAAAGAACCGCCCGAGCGAGAACCTATAGGAATGGCCGGTGGATGGCGCCACTAGTATCGGAGAAAACGAATTGACTCAAAGCTGGCTGACTAGCTTCGGCATGGGAAACGCCATTTTTGATCTGGATCCCGAGTCCCCTCTGTCCTGAGGACATGTCTCCGAATAGAGCATTCGGTTTGATGATGGTTTCGATGATTCGAATGATTGCCTCAGGTACGTGAGCTCGCGACATACACCATACCATTCGGAAAGGGGAGTAAAGCCGATATGGACGTCGAGTTTCTCTGCTGAGCGGCAATCTTGGTTGTGGTATTTCAGAGAAGCCATCCATAACTCCCTTCGGATTCCCCGATAGGACGAGCGCGGGCAGTTTGATCAAAATCTTCTGCTATTCAAGTGACGCCGAGCGGCTCCTGTGGCTGAAAGATGGGACTCCGCTCCAAGATGGCTCCGAGGGCGTGGAATTGAAAACCTTTGAGGATTCCCTCATTCTCATCATATCACGCGTTCAGCCTGAGAATTCAGGCAACTACACCTGCATCGCTGAGAATCGAGACGGGCAGAGCTCCCACAGCGCCGCTCTGTTCGTTCCCTCGGCGCCGGAATGGAAAAAACGGCCTCCGGATCGGAAGATAGTGTCTTCGAAGGAAAGTGTCGGTATTCAGTGTGAGGCTTCGGGATACCCTCAACCCGTGGTCGAATGGCTCAAGGACGGGCAACGATTCCGAACGGGTATTCAAATTGAACTGCAATTCGATGCCCACAGCCAGAGGAGTGTGGCAGGGACCTACTCTTGCATCGCGAGCAACGATTACGGTCGAATCCAACACGACGTACAAGTATCCATCGAATGTGAGACATGGTGACTTTTCAAGAATTGCGCGTCTGGGGACTTTGAAGCAAATGGCCGGTGGATGGCGCCACATGTACCGCTCCGATGGGAAGTTTTCCAAGTTGTAACAGAGCGGTGGTAATCGCCATATTTGTTTCTCGATGCCGATTTATCGAGAGACATGTCTTGTGGCATGGAATATCTGATGTTGGTCGTCGCAGTAGAAGTGGTTTACGCAGGTTGGTTGGTTTCCGCTTTATGAGCGTTCTCGCGACAAAATTCTCGCATGGCCGGCCGATGGATGCCAATATCGACCTCCCGTTTCGGAATCGTTCTAGGGAAGCCTGTCATCACCCCGTTTGGATTCCCAGAAACGAGCGCCGTGGGTAGCGTGGTGAAGGCGACATGTTTCTCGAGCAATGCCGACACGTCGATGTGGTTGAAAGATGGAACGGAGCTCAGGAGCGGCACGGATGGAGTGGAAATCGAGAATTTCAAGGGAGTCCTCCTCCTCTCGGTCGGGAGCGTTCAGCCCGAGCATTCCGGGAACTACACATGTAGGGCGAGGAATCGTGACGGATACAGTAGTTGGACTGCGGCTCTAATTGTACCGTCGATACCGCGATGGAAAAGGAGACCTCCGGATCGAGTCATTCTATCTGCGGCGAATGCTTCAGAAATCCGCTGCGAGGCTTCGGGTTATCCGCCGCCGCAGATAACCTGGCTCAGAGACGGAGACGCGTTCCAGGACGGGGATACGCTACTGCTCGGCAGGATCGACGGTTCCGCAAGAGGGACATACGCTTGCATCGCAAGTAATGCGAACGGGCGCATTGCGCAAGAAATCGCGGTTTCCGTCCAGAGTAAGCTCAGAGAGTAGTCGGATTCGAAGTTTTGCGGGGGACAGCACGATGCTGTAAATGGCCGATGGATGGCGCCACGGGTACTTCGGTTTCAACCCTGAAGTTTATCTCGGACTTCGCGACGGCGGCCATGTTTCTCATCGTTCGAACTTGACCAGGAAGATGCTGCTGCATATATTTGGAGTGTTTTTGATCCTGTTTGCACCTCAGGCGTGCTTGTCAGGTTTGTGTCGATGCGTCTGGGGACGAGACTATCAAGAATGATGCAGAATGCGGCGCATAGATCGGAACGCGTCGGAACTGATCGCGCTTTTTCCAGGCGTGCCCTCAATATCCCCTTTCGTCTTCCCGGAGAAAAATTCGGTGGGGAGTCTGATCAAAGTCACATGTTTCTCCGCTCAAGCCCAGTCTCTGACGTGGTTCAAAGACGGGAGACGACTCGTCAGCGGAATTGGGGGGGTCGATCTGAAAGACGTCGAAGGTGTTCTTCTCCTGGTCATTCAGAATGTGCAACCGGAGAATTCTGGCAACTATACATGCGTTGCCCGAAATCAGCACGGTACCGCGAATTACAGTGCCCTTCTAAACGTGACGGCTCCCCCGAAATTTCGGAACATTCTCAAAGACAGAACTATCACATCTCCGGATGAGTTCAGTCTGGAATGCGACGCCTATGGCTTCCCAGAACCAGAAATCACCTGGCGTAAAGATGGGAAAATCCTCAAAAGATCGAGACTCCTCACTTTCGGAGGGGACCTTCGATCGCCAGCCGGGCGGTACAGCTGCTCAGCAACCAATGAATATGGGTCAATCGAGCAAAGTTTCACCATATCGGTATCAAGTAAGACAGTTCCACATTGAATTGACGCGCTCATTTTGACTTTACCTCAAACGGCCGGAGGGTGGCGCCACATGGACCGTTGTTCCTGGGGGGAAATCTCATAAATCGCAGCCATATTGATGCGAATCAAAACACTTGAACATTGTTGGACCTCTGAGTGGAGAAAATGCATTTTATGATTCATGTGCTCATGCTTAACTTCTATCTACGGAGGACTCGGGCAGGTCAGTGGCCCGAATTCACTTCGATCCGACATGTTTCCCGTTCAGATTCAGTGTGGAAGAACGATCATGAAAATGACTTTCCTCCTTTTTGTCAGCTCCCCCTACGGTCGCCCCATTCTCGTTTCCCTCTGACGTCCCCGTCGGAACGAAAATCAAAGTCATGTGCTCTTCCCTCGAGGAAAGTTCTCTCTCGTGGAGGAAGGACGGCCAGAACATTCAGAATGGAATCGACCCCAGTATTCGCCTGCAGCACGTCCAAGATGTGTTATTGCTATTCATAACTGAGGTACGGTTGAAACACGTCGGCAACTACACGTGCTCAGCGCGGAATCGTCTCGGCGTCTCCGAATTCAGCGCGTTCCTCTCGGTCGCCTCCCCTCCTGTGTGGAAAGTGAAACCCTCCGACCTGAACGCGAGCAAAATCGGTCAAGTCGCTGTCTGTGAAGCTGAGGGTTATCCGCCACCCCAAGTGGTTTGGCTCAGAAACGGAGGTTGGTCTTTGAATTACTCCCGAGTGGTCACGAGTGGCATCCCGCCTCCACGGTACCAACTGGAAGACGGAATGAATGAACTGGATCATATTTCCTCTCGTTCCGAGCGGTCGTTGAGCAGAGCAAAATCGAATTTACAGAAGTCGTACGCAACGGCTCAGAGCTCATCTTGACGGATCTGAGCTCGCGGATTGCAGGGACGTATACGTGTAACGCGAAAAACCGATACGGATCCCTGAGTCATGACGTGGAGATTTCGATGACCTGTAAGCATACCAGGATGAGAAGCAAGAGACGTTGCTTTCGAAACGGTGGATTCAATTCAAGCGGCCGATATGTGGCGCCACAGGCATTGCTGGACGATTTCATGCCGGGGGCTCAGATAGTGTGCTTGCACAGACCTGAATTTCCGTTGACGATGGGGCTCCCTGCCCTGATCGATGATTCGGATAATTTTCATATTTCGATTCGACAATAACTAACCCCAAGCTCAAGAATGATCATCGTATTCCGAAAGATAATTAGGCAGAATTTGTCCCATAATGACTGATTTTGAGCTGATCGCTTCTGTAGATAAAGAGGTAGGCTTTTGGCTATGACATCATTTGTCTGATTTGAATGTGATGGTGAAACGTGCATTCATGAAAGGAAGGATTTGACCGAGCGAGCGGGCTTGCCATCGGATGCCGGTAGAGGCTCTCCACCCTGAATCGCGAAAACTGGGAGCGGTGGTAAGTGCGTAGTTTCACAGTCCAAATACAGCGAATCGCAAGCTGAGAGCATGATGGGAGGAAACACGGTGACCGAAACTTCATTCCTTCCAGGCAGCGATCAGTCAGTCCCGCTCTCGCAGGGAGGGGTTGGAGACTGGAGACGACGCGACGCGTGCGGTGTTCCATGCAAATAGGCCTTATGATAAGAGTTTCGTTTTCCTTCGTCGGTCTCTACTCGCCGTTTCGGGTGTACGCACCGTTCACGATTCCTCGCAGCTGGAATCTCTGTTTAGTTAGGGTGCTTATGCAATGCGCTATTTCGAGTGCGTTTGAACAAAGCTCGCGCGCTCTCACGGATGACCCTCGAGTGACTATTATCCCACAACCTCAGAAACACACTCCATTTTATCTGACGCCGGCGATTGGCGTTGAAGAGGTGTCTTATTCTTCCCCGTCGAGCGCACAGTGATAAAAGCGCTGTCTGCCTCTGTGTTCCAAACACTGGCATTATTCGCAAAAGCTCGCCTCCTTGTACCGGTGGCTCCACACTCTGTGCTTTTCAAGAAACTCACAAAAGTTGGCTTTCCTTAATTCGCGTGTGTTGTACTTCATGGAGCCACTTGTCCTATTCGGGCTCTGGACTTGAGGATCGCTGCTCCCCGATTGTCACGAGTCGGCTTGTCAGTGCTCAACGATGACAGCCTTTCTGTGCGTTTTTTTCCTAGTTTCCGTGGGATTGCCCCCAGTGAAAGGTTGGTACCTTTGTCCCTCCATGGTGCAGCAAATCAGCTCCGCAGGGGGAGATTTCTAATTCTGTGCCATTGCAGCGTCCGCGCCGCGAATCCAACCCTTCACCGTTCCTGAGAATCTATCAGTCAACGATTCTCTCAGTTTGTTTTGCGCGATTACGTCCGGTGCTAAGCCTGTGACGTTTTCGTGGAAGATGAACGGACGTGCCGTCATTGGTGACAGTGTGACTCAGAGCAACGATCGCATTTCTGTGCTGGAAATCAACCCTGTGACCATCGATAGCAATGGGAACTACTCGTGCGTTGTCCAGAACAGATTCGGCAGAGATGAATACACAGCGGCAGTCGCCGTGAAAGGTGAGTTTCCAATCTTCCCTGGATAGAGGAAATCTCCGCTCTGTCACCGTCGCCTTCGGAGGGGATATTCTGTCAATCTCCACCTTTCTCCGATTCGAGAACTTCACCGAGACTCTGCTTGAGGAATACTTCCGAGAATCGCGTCCTTCGCAAATCTCTGCTCTATCTCAATGTCCATGAGGGACGATCAATCGTGCGTTGACTATGCCAGCCGTAGATGCAGCAGAGTTCAGGTTCAGCGGTGGTTCAACCATTTTTGGCTAATGGGTGTAGCGGCCTCCCTGAATCGGTCCGAATGTAAACAAACAGTCATCTCAGCTCCGAACGATCTGACAGCTCAGACGACATCGGCCGAGGCGAACGGGGAGCACAATGGAACAGCCAGAGGAATGAAACAGATTCCTCTAGACGCTGCCAGAATAAACGCGAGCAAGCCCAGTAACCTATTGAATTATTTATGAGCGTGACGCTTCTTCTCTCTCCCTCGGCTGATGACCCGAAAACGACTCCGTTCCCCCGGAAAGCATTCGAGAACGAATTTCAGCCGCACCTGCGAAGAAATCGACTATTCGGACCACCTCGAGTTTTCGGTTGAGCTTCATTAGGCCTCAACTTGAGGCTCCTTCATAAAGTAATTGGTGATCGAATCCTTTTCAGTTGCTCCTTTCTGGTCGAGATCTGACATGCCTGCCGAACTGTCTGTCAACGTCTCGTCTGGTTCGCCGTTGGAAACAATCTGTTTGGCGAAGGGCAACCCGGTACCCTCGATCTCTCTGTACAAGTGCGGTCAAAACAGGATATCGGTACTTTCCGGTAAGTTCGATTCGAGACCCAATTTTTTTTCTTTTTCTTCGGACCATGTGGACTCGTCTGAGGAGCAAGTTCTCTGTTGCAGATGTCGACGTCCACTGCCGACCCGTGAGAGGTGTGGATTCGGATGGAAAATACACTTGCGTCGCGAAAAACGAGATTGGATACGTCCTCCATTCTTTCAGGCTGAAAACAAGAGGTGTTACGCTGTTAAATAAAATCGGCTTATTCGGGGTGGGGGCTTTCTTTCTGAGAATGACTCATGGAACGGCAAGACTCTCTCCGATGTACATGTGGTGCCATCTATCGGCGACTCTGAAGCTTCATGGCGGCTAGATAGCTATCTCATGTTAGATACTGCATGCTCCCCCGCAAGCGATCCCCGCCCGCGGGCATGTAGCGTGCTGGGACCGCTTCTCAAAATTACGAGGCGACATATCTAATCGAATTTCACAATTCAGTGCCACCGAAATTTGAGGAGAAGCATTCGGTAGTCACTGCTCGCAAGGGAGAAAACGTGAAGCTCACTTGCGAACCACAGGGCGACACGCCGCTTCACATCAAGTGGTCGAAAGGGAATCGCATCATCAACAAGAAACCCAATGACAGGTCAGTGGCTGACTTTCTCTTGCTCATCTCACCGGAACCTCAGACCGACGCGCTGGCCCCCTGTCGAATACGCCTCATTGAGGGGAAAAGCATATCCCAGGGTTGCTCGTTGCTCCCAATGGCGGACTGGGAAAAAGCGGTGGCATACGGAGGGGAAAGGTCTGGGTTCTCACGCCTCGAGGATCAATGAGTCGAGGGTCACACTTGGATACTCCACGATTGTTCGAGGTTTCCACAAGCATCGGAATTCTGCCCAGTTCAAGAGGCGATGAGATCGCTCCTCATCAGTCCAGAGGAGCGGTCGCGCTCGAAGAGGATCGTTCGTCGAGGCGGTGCTCGCGAGATACGGCCGGGGGCAGTTCTTCTGAATTAGCGGAGATGGAAATCAAAGTAATTAAATCATTGGTGAAAAATGAGGGTGGGACCAACGTGATGGTCAGAAATCGGGGGGTCCAGCCGTGGGGTGCGCAATTCCCACCTTGGGATGCTGCCACCCAATCTTCATCGTCAACGATAGAAGGATTGAAGCTAGATCTTCCGGGACCCTCATCCCGAATAGTCCCCGGGCAGTTTGACGAGTGTACCAGAGATTGAGGGGAAAAATGAGGGGGATTCCAGCCGGATCCAGCAGGGATCCGGGAATACGGGTATACTCGTGAACCATTCGGAATCAGGTTCCGATTACAGCCTAAAGATGGCCGCTTTCAATCGAGCCAAATCGAGCAAATTCTCGAAAAAAAAGAATCGAAGAAAGCGAGGCTCCGTTGCAGTCTCGGGAGCAGGCTTTCGTTCCGAAATGCTCACATGCTACCGAGCTTGGTCGGTCGGTTTCCCTCCCCCATGTCCTGAGAGGCAAGGGGAGAGTGCGATCGGCCTGGCTGATGCTTCACCCCGGGAGCCACTCTCGTCTCGACAAGGAGGTAGAAGCAGACCCTGGGAGCGCTTCGAATCGAGGAGCGGCGGTACAGAAAAACACACGGACACACAGAGGACAACGCCCTCAGAATGATTGTTGTGATTTTTTCGCGAGTTGAGGTCGCTAGAGGAGGCGATTTCGAGTCTCGTTCGCTCTGGGTTGCAGGCACGAGATCTATGAAACCTACCAGGATCAGAGCATGAAATCAGAGCTATTCATCAGCAACACCGATCGGAATGACGGAGCGATATACACCTGTCTGGCTGAGAACGAGCACGGCCACGACGAACGGACCATAAAACTGCTGATCATCGGTGAGTTATTCAGGAAATTCCTCTCTTTCCTGCTCTATTTCGACGCGAGTCGATCCTGAAGTGACGCCTCATTCTTCCCGTTCGTGCAGAGGTTCCCCAACCACCTCGAGACATCAAAGTTCCGGAGACATGGAGTCGATCCGCGAGCATAAGCTGGACCCCTCCGTATTCCGGCAACTCTCCGATAACAAAATACACGGTTCAGTACTGGCGGGTGTCCACTTCGCATCGATTGGAAGAAATGGAAGTGAAGGGTACGCAGAACTCCGTGTTGCTGCAAGATCTCAAGCCAGGCATCGCGTATCAGGTCAGCATCGTGGCCGATAATGCGGTCGGGAGCAGCCAGCCTTCGAGTGCGATTAATTTCACCACGAGCGAAGAAGGTACGTCGATGAATCTCAAGTTTTCGCTATGAGTTCCGCCTGAACTCGCTTGTTCAATTCTGCTTCCGGAAACTCGTCTGGAGAAGATAGATCGATGATGAAGCGGACTTTCAGAACCGAGTGCGGCTCCAACGGATTTCCACGTGGAGCCTAAGGGACCGCATACGATTCGGGTGTCCTGGAAACCGCCGCCGCGTGATGAATGGAACGGCGAACTGCGCGGTTACTACATCGGCTACAAACCCTCGGGCCACGGGCCATACTCGTTCAAAACGGCTGATTACAAAGAAAATTCGACCAACGAGTTCTTCTTGACGGGGCTGCAAAAAGGAACAGAATACAGGTAAGATCCATCTCTCCCCCTCTCACCGAAAACGTGAGGGATCTTTTTCCTCAACATCGATCAACAACTAGAAGACTTCTCCGACTTTCAGTGTTGTGGCAAAAGCGTCCAACGGAGCCGGAGTTGGAATTCAAACCCATGACCTCCATGTGAAAACTCTCGACGGAGACATTCCACCTCCCCCTCGGGTATGGACTTCCGGGAAACCGGACGCATTCTACGCAGAGACTGTCTCTTTTTCGGAAGAAATCCCTCTGATTCGATTCTCGTTGACGGCCTGCTACTGATGATTTTATTCTTGTACAGAATGGGTTCCACTATTATCGATTTTTTTCCTGATATAACCTTGTGTTCCTTCCAGGTGTTCGTCGGAGCCACAGGAACCAGCAGCATCACAGTTCAATGGGTCCAGCAATACCAGAGCAACATACGATCGTATATAGTATTCTACAGGCCGGACTCTGACCTGAACCTGGGCTGGCGAGAAGTTCAATTGGATAATCGGGCCTCTCAATTCACTCTCCAGCAACTCCTTTCCGGCAAGTTTCCCCTCGCTGTTTCTGTAGTCTTTTCGCGACTCAGTCGCGGTACGTGCGACAGGATTTCCATTGACTGACCAGATTTCTGTCTCCGGCACTGCAGGGACTCTGTATCAAATTTACGTGAGCGCCACGAACGATTTCGGCATCGGTGATCCCTCGGAAATCATTTCGACTCGAACACAGAAATCATTCTCCTCGGACGTATCGAAGATTCTCACGAATGCAATCTTCGGAGACGCCAACTCCCCCGCATACCTCAATATGTTTGTCTTGATCCCGGTTCTTGCTTCGCTGGTCACAATCGTTGTAGTGATCATCGTGACTTGGGTGTGTCTTCACAGAATCAAAGCGAGACACGCACGGTCGATGCTCGCTGGACAGGTACGTTTTCCATTGATCGATATCCGATCCTGATCTGGGGCGTCGGATCGAAGGATCATTTCCAGCAAGGGATCCGTCAATCTCTAAGATCTATTTCGAACCGCTCAGGCGATTCCGATGGATCCGAAGACTTACATGACGATAGCTCGATCTCGAATGGCGTCGATGGATGGGAATTGTGATCCTCCAAGTAAGCTGTTCCTTGTGCCAATGGGTTCAACCTATTCGAGCTCGTCCTCCGCGGGCTCGTCTGCACCATCGCCTCTTTGGGGCCCGCTGTCGATGAGAGCGCCTTTAATCCCAAAGACACGGGGGCCGCTTCCCCCAACACCCGACGACAACATACCGAGCATGAATGTTCACCAGGGTTTGTTTTGTTCGCCTACCAGAATTTTCATTTCTCCCGAATCCTCCCGGAGCCCAGCAAGCGTAGAGCAAACCTATACGATTTTCTCCCCTTGCGTACTCCCGAGCGGCGAGCGCATGCGCAATCGATATACTATTCGATCACTCGCCGATGAACTAACCGTCCGATTGTTCAGTGCAAACCGTCGTCCGCACGTTGCCGGTCGGATGTGCGGCGCAAACATTGGATGGCAAACAACTCGTAGGACCCCAGCAGACCCCCAAACAAATTCCACAGCCTGAGTACGGACAAAGGTACGTCACCCTACATCCCGATCGGGTCTAAGCCGACGTCGACAACATGATGACTTGAACTGAGGGAATCAGGGGGAAGAAAATGAAAATATTCAAAAAGTAAGTGGATGAATGAATGCCGCTTGATTTATTACTGATTGAATCGAACTTCATCTCATTGAGTGATTGACTGACTGGTTGGTTTGAAATGAGTTTGACTTAACGGCATGGATGCATCGAAAATCGACGGACACTCCTCGAATATTGTGCTAGTCCTAACACCGTGAGTTGGAGAAAATCGCGTGAAACTCTGAGAAAGGAAAGCGTGCGAGAAGTGAGGCATGGATGGTTTTGTGCGATTGGAGCGCTGGATAAGAGACTCATGAAAGCATTCAAGGTCGCGATGAGCGGCGAGAGCGGGACTGTCCAGTGTATGATAATCTCTCGTCTCAGCTCCGGCGAATTCGTCCGTTCCTGATACCGATTTTGCATTCAGATATGTGGACATACAACAACCCCCGCCGCTACCGCCAGACCATCCCGTCGGACCTCCACCAAATCTTATCCAATTGGATGACATCGAGGCGCTCAAGAGACAAAACGTCAATGAGGAGATGAAAACCTTCCTGATGAACCATAATGGCTTGCCCGGCTTGCAGATACAGCAGGCTCAACAGGTTTGTGAGTATCTGTTTCATGTGAGAGTTTCGGAAAAAAATTCTCCACTGTCATAGGTCTCCTGTTCTGCCTGATCGCGCGTGTCGGTGTCTCCCGTCGAGATTCTCAACCTGGCACTTCGGTTACTTTACAGAAAGTTGCGTTATAGTTTCCTCCAACTATTCAATTCGTGATGTACGTACACTACACGGCTACACGGTACGTACACTACACGGCTACACGGTGTGAAGCAGCAGTCGGTGATAGCACAGTGCACTTGAGCCAAATTCTGTCGTGCGTCGGTCCTTGGTACGTGGCTAAGGAGTTTGTGCGACGCATGTCAGTTCGGGGGAGCTAAATCCTCACGACACAGCTATTTTTGAATCCAGGAGCCGAAGGAATCTTCAGGATCGTGTTCAGCTCCTCTGGTGTCTCGGAATCCCTCGTTAGTGTCTCGGATAGTCACCGTGAAAGTTCCTCCCCTGACGTCTCCTGTCATAAGCTCAGACGGTGCTGCGGAAGACGTCGAGACGCCCTCCGCTTCATCATATTCCTCGTCAGACTCGCTGCACATCTACGACGCTGCCGAGGAAGATTGAGCATCCCGAGCTCATCCAATCATTTACTCCGTACCGTATTCTGGTCAACCATCGACGCTAAGAAGCACCGAGAAAAAAGAGATATCGCAATGTGAGTTTCTAGGGTGCAAATGACCCGCCGAAGTTCCAGTCACACGCGCCTCTTTCCACCGGTAAGCAATGAATGCGAGCGCGAAGCGTTTCAATGTCGAGCGGTATCCCAAATATAGTGAATGATTGAGAGAGTCTTAGCATGAGCGTCGCTGAGTGATGAATGAGGTGGAACTAGCGGTCGACCACACAATCTCGATGAACAAAGAGGAAATACCTAGTCTCGAAATCCCTGGATGAGTGGTGTAGTTAGGTCTGGAAGGTGCTTATGGTCGAACGGACTCTTCCGAGATCCGGTCGCCCGAGTGAACGATCGTGAGAGCGCGCGGAAAATTTCCGGAAAAAAGTCCTTGTTATCAACTGTGGAATGGGAGTGGAGCTTCCGGGAGAGTCAAGAATCGGAACTGTATTGGAATACTGTGAGGATCTCCCAACAGTTGAGGTAGAGATTTTACTCCCTCGGTATTCAGACCCCTCGATAGGACGACAGCGAATCGGTTCAATGAGCAGTGAGACGTTACGAAAAGAGGCCGAATATTCCAAACTAAAGGACTCCCGTATGGACGCGAGAAATTTCGGTATCTCTTCTTCAATTGTGAATATTGTAAAAACATCTTTTACAGACATCGATCCCGGAATATTATACTCTTCTGCTCAGAAATACCCAAGATATCGTGTAGATAATAGTGCGCCGTATTATAATTAATTTATTTATGGGATGATAATCTCTTATATGGGTAGTGACGAGTTGGGCAGCTTCCGTCTAGTCATCAGAGAAGCTTTTATCCATGAAGATCTCTGCTTTCTGTCATTGACATCCAAACGGGAGATTCCGGAGACCAGGCAAGAGTCTGACATTGAGAGTTTCTGAAAACGATACACTGACCGCGAGCGGCATCATTGATGATCTCTCTGGAACGATTCTGATACCAATAGAGTTCCCTGGAATTCAGTGTGTCATTGCTAGATTTTTGAATCATTCATAGGTAAGGGGGACGGATATTAATAAACCGGATGTAAGTTGAAGCTCATCCTCTCGTTCTCAATGTCTATGAATCGTAGTTTTCTCAACTCAACGCTACCCATTATTCGGGTACAGCAGGAATTACTCTCATCATATCGCCGGAATCGTCGCTCAGAGCAACGGGAGGAGCATCGACAGCTTCCGGCACGAGGAAACATGGATGAGGAAGCCCTGAATGGCAGGGAACTGCGTGATTGCCTTGAGCGAGGTCAGGAAAGGGAACATGCAAAAGATACGCAAGATATCCCTTAAACGGAAGTTTCCGCCATCTATCAACGGATGATTCTCCTGAGTAACCCCGCTTCGCCGGAGCCTCACATTGGGCCTCCATGCGAGCGGGATCCTCGGTAGTTGGGGCGTCAGCGCTGGGACGATCATAATAGTGAAGAAGAGGTAAGACGCGGACGAGGGAAAACCACATCGAGCAAGTCGAGCGAGATGCTCTAATATTGGCACCCTCGGCGGAAGGCTGCGACGGCGCTCCTATACCTTGGGTTTCAAGGTCACAGAGCAGCAATGGATGCGCATGCTATAAACTCCGCTTCGTACTAGGCGGGGAATCGTCTACTTCCGGTATCTGGAGTCTGAATTCAGATCCACAGCCTACAGAAGAATATTGGGGTGTGCGTCCGAGGAACCTAATTTGCTCGCATGGAGGAGATCATCCGTACGATGAGGCTGACTGGAAAAAGGGGAATCCCATCAGAGGGATACAGGGGATGAGATTCGCCTGTTCCACGATGAGCATCGGCAACTTCAATCACCTGTAAATGTCTGGCGGAAGAGATACCCTCAGTTATAAATGGGTCATTCTCTGAATCCGCTGACCAGTGAACTTCTCTGCTCCAGCAGCGCTTGGAGCCGAATACTCGAGAGTCAAAGCTAATTTGAGCTTTTTCCGATACCCAGAGGGAGACGCAGGAGGCATGTACAGCTCCGCTAGATTCGTCGTCGATCTCTCCGATCGAATCCACCTAATCTCTCGCGCTGCTCAGTTTCATCCCTCCAAGAAGTTATTCCAGGTTACGGAGCGCCCATAGAGCATCGTATCGGAACAAGTGGGCGGGTGGATATGGTGAGTGAGGCTCAATGAAAACTCGCTAAAGAGCTTTGAGTGGCTTCACCGAGACAACCGGCATGGGTGTAGACATTGACACACTTCACCGGGATCGGATGAGCAGCTGAAACAGCACTCGAGCTCAAAAAGCCACTACACCTGACGCGCGCTACCGCGGTGTTTCGACAGCTAGGGAGGGTACCATGGTCGCGGGTAGGTTCTGTTTGTTTCTCCATTACAAGGTTTCTAGCACCTGATTTCAGAACAGATGCGTGCACCAGGGATGTGACAGTAGTAATCACATGCAAGCAAGATGAAATGTGAAATGTTACTCCCGGATTCTGAGAGAGTCCGGAAATAAACTGAGAACAGAAGGCAATACCCATCACAAGACGTATCCCTGATCATGCTTGAGTACGTGAGGAGGCGTCACACACAGCGAAGCAGCTCTCGCTTGTTCATTCAGGCTGTCGACACAATACGCTAGTGCCAGATCCGTCCTCGTCGGGTCAGGTTCGCGCATGGTGTAAGTCAGCGACACATTTCCACTGAGGCCTGAGGCTCCGGAGAGACGGGAGTTCAGGAAGGACTCGTTGGGGAATGCCGAGTTGTCAACTCGTTTGCGCACCTTCCGACATCCTGGTGCTACATAAACAAAGTCGCATACAAGGAAATGAGCGTGATGTTCGAGAAGGCGAGATTAGCAGAGCTACCAATCCACGAACTATAATTGAAACCTTAAAGCCATTATATAACCTGAATTCTCCCTTCGGGATTCCATCATACGGAATTTCCGCAGAATCAGCGATAAATTGTAACATCTGGGAGATCTCGGAGACAGACTCCTGAATACGTGAAACTGACGGATCCATGCTCGAGTTCTCGCTCTCGTCAATGAAAACAATGTTAGACTCTTTCTTTCCGTCCGACAGTCAAGATTTCAACGCCGACACCGCTTCTACAGCAAGGCTCCGAAACCCCCGGGACCAGAGGGAGGCGGAGCCTGAGCGTGGGCGGTTCGCTCGGCTGGGCGGGGCCCTCCCACAAGTTGATTGCGAGGGATGGAGGTTCGCGCACCCACAGCACAAACACACTATCCTCAGTCACTTAACATCGGTGTTTCTTCGAGATTTCGTTCAGCTGTGGTTTGGAGAAGTACTTCGAACGGACTGTGGAGGGCACAGATTCAGGTTCTGGAAGTCATTTTGTGAGAGCTCGTAGTGCTACAGCGAAGACGACGCCACAGCGAGAGCCCAGAGGAGACGGTGGTTCGACACTCGGTCTCTGGATGAAGTCGAGATGGTTCTAGCCTTTGGTTCGACCAGCTGCAGCGAGTTCCTCAAAGGCCGCGAGGAAGACTCATTTCAAGGAGACCTCCGAGACGGTGAGTGCTCAGGGAGGAAACAACTTTTACTCAGTGAGTTATTCTCGCCACGAAGGAATTCATATCTCGTGAATTCGGTGTCCTCCGCCGCTTCGGATCGAGAGGGTGGACGGAATGAGAACGTGAGCCCGTCCGAATGTTGTTCCGAGAGCTGCGAGGCTGTAGACCACCTCGAGTTTCGGTTTTCGCGGTCTCCGTTTGCGACATGAATCCAGGCGATCAGCCGAGGGTCGCAGGCCGAATCTAAAAGTCTGTCTAGAGCCCGTCTCTCCGATCGGGACCCTGATGACTTCTTCGCTGGTCTCACCTGACCGGAGCAGAAGCCGATCCGGACCACCCGCTTCTGTGCAAATAGGGTCGGGCGAGGCCTTGATCCGATCCGTCGGTCTAAGAAGACCACACTGAGAAGCTACAGCCGTCACTTTGCCCCAATGTTGCTCTGTCGGCCGGGCCCGAGGAATAAAAATGTCTCAGCGTAGCATTCCTCCCTGGATCGATTTCTGGAGCAGACAGGAGATGAAAACGAAGACCAAAATCCCGAGGCGGGAAATCGACAATCAGTCATCTGGGTAGATTCCTAGAGTTGTCCTCTTTCTCTCATCCTAAACGGGACGATTGACGTACAGGAAGTATGGGCAGGGGAATGTTTCTCGACGACGATTCAATCTCGATTCCGTTGGTGACTCCGAGTTCAAATAAGCCATGTAGATCCCCTATCATCCAGAACCTGGGGGAGCTCCGCCATCTGAAAGAAAGCTGAGCTTGTTCTCCACAACACTGATGATAGTTTGAAGTTGCTGTTCAGTGCTTTATTGCTCCGATAGCACCACATCGGCTGTATTTGACGCACATCAGACTCGCTCGAAGCCATTCTCTGAGGAGTTTATATGACAGCATTTTATAAAGAAACAATGTGTGTCCCCTTTTGTTTTCGTGTATATTGCATGGAAGGCAGCGAACGAGCGACCGACCCACAAATTCTGTTTGAACGATCCTCCGTCGAGATCGACAACTTCTGAGAATGTTTTCCTCTTCGGTAGACTTCTTCCTCTACTCGAACCACTCGTTCGCGTTTTTTCGAGAGATGTGTTCTGTCGACTTTCCAGAAGAGCACAAGTTGCCATCCAATAAACAACAACTGCTACACCGAAACACCGAACACCGGGAGATGTGAATTTGAAGATTTAGGAGGCCCAATGTCATAATTTGTGTGGGTCTGTCCAGTGTTTGTTCGTCTGACTATTTGTTTTCGATGCCCATTCTATACGAGTTCATTAGGTTAGGATTCCTCTTCCCATTCCCGAATACATTCGGCATAAACACAGTACATCGAGCAGTATCGTGAGAACCACCGAAAACAGCTCGGTCGTTCCATATCAGCGATAGAGTACATACAACACCGATGGTGTCGTTTGTCCGAGATCTTTCGGTTTGAACCCAGCTGATCGTTTCGTGGAAGGTCCTCCTCCGGAGATGCATGCCGCGCTCAAAGTGGTTTTAGAACCACCTGAGCGACTTTATACGCGGTGACTGTGGCCTTTACGAGCAGCAGGGCACATGATTCATCCAATCGACTCCGCGAGTCGACACTGTCTTGTCGACCATTAAGTCACGGATACTCGAAATCGTTCACATATCAACGATGCTGATGACTTTAATATTGTTATCGTGAGGGAGGAAACAAGACATCTCGGTATGAGTCGATGTCGGCAACGCCGGATGCTGAGGGTAGACGCTGTGACGATTTATATTTTTCTCTAGTAGTCGGATGCAGCGAATGGCATATGGAACTAAGAGGTATTAAGGGTTCTCCCTCATGGAATGATAGTCTTTGATTGAAGGGCACCCCTTCTCGGCGCCATAGTATGCTGGTCCATGGATGAGACGGTAGAACCCTGGAGTCTTCGAGAAATGCACGGACAAATTCTTGTCGACGGGCTCTTTTTCGAATAGCTCGAGAAGTACGGGCGAACCCCTCAGTCAATGGAAATACGGTCCCCACATATTTTCGATGACGCGGTTCCGTTCTACTGTGGTCGTCGAAACGAGATCCATCGGAAGCTAATCCGTCGTGCTGCACTGTTGGGCAAGTCACCCCAGAGAACTTGGTCTCATCTCGTTGTTCCCAGTTTGCTCCTGCTTAGAAAATGTTTGCGTAGCGCAGTTATGCGGCGGCACGTTTCTCTGCTAAAGACGCCGGCGCCTCTCGCTCGCAGGTATTCGGCTTCTGTTCCGATCGTGAGCGCTCGCCTAGGGTAGTCGTTCTAGGATTCCGTGTCTGCAAGATCACCAGACGCTTAACGCTTTGTACGTGCGATGATGTTCCCAGGGAGAACGATCCTAAATCAACAAACTGAGTCTTACATAACCAGACGGACTTGGTTTCAGAACGCGACGACAACAGCTCCTCGTCGTCCCCACTCTCGTATTCGGTGACCTCTTCGCCCGTTTGTGGAAGATATTCGAAAATGAAGGAAAAGTCGAAGAATGCCGCACGCTCGCGACGCGAGAAAGAGAATGCCGAATTTGTAGAGCTTGCGAAACTTCTACCGCTCCCTCAAGCGATCACAACGCAACTCGATAAGGCGTCTGTCATTCGCCTGACGACATCCTATCTGAAGATGCGAGCTGTATTTCCTGATGGTGAGTCTCTTCGATACCTTTCCCCAATTAGCTTGCCCTATTCTAGCCGTTTCGAACCTCTGCAGTCAAGTCTATGCATACGAGACCGCATATCCATGAACGCGATTTCTCTCCCTAAGTCAGTGGAGTGGAGTCAGCCGATGTCGTGCTTGTACCCACTCCGAACGAGGACGTGTTGTTCCCATGTGTTTGCCATGACTATCTCTCCTGTTCACACTCGGCAAACGCAAACCCCAAAAGCAAAGAACGCGGTCCTCCGCGAATAATCCGAAGAACCGAATACTGATTGATGAGGCTTCTGTCAATAACCGAGAAACATCGGAGCCACGCAGAACTTCATGTCCCAGGATTCGAACTCGAGAAACTTTCCAAGTCTCCTTTAAAGTTCCTCGCGGGCCTCCCCATCATTCGATGAACGTCCCGAGCATCGGAGCGGAGCAAATTGTCGCTTCCGCCCTATCGCCGTCCACGTCGATCGTCCGGGAATCAAACTCCGCACTTGATCGGAATTTGAATATTTCAATTGAATCAAGACGGACGCAACTCGATTGATGTTCTCTCACGGACTTTCGGGGCGCGCAACATCCACACAACTCTCGAGGATCCCCCCCAATGACGGAGAAGGGGCCATGGATTGCGGGATTTCAACTTTTACGAGGCGTTCGATGTCTGAAGCTTAAAGCAGCCGAAATTATCAATCATTGTCTTGTACGGGTCCTCTTCAAACACAAGAACAAAATGAGCCGCGGCACCTCACCGAGAACTCGAACTGGGATGTCACCGCGTGCTTCTCTAGTGTGCCGACTGCGCTTCGAAAACTCCATAGGGAAGAAGCAGGCAGGCTGATAGAAAAATCGAGAGAGAGAAATGGTCCTACGAAACGCGATGTCTCCAAGCCGAGGCCAAATACAGCTGCCACGGCTCCTGTTCTGGTGCGAGGATTAGGTAACAAGCCATTAGGAAGAGAAACAAATAAAGTCGGTCGGAGGTTACTTTAAGAGAATTTTTCGCCTCTCATTCAACTGAGCTTTGCGGCGAGGACGTGGCGACGGAGTTATCGAGAGCCTCGCGCATACGACGATCCGATGTGTCGCAGGGCATCGTTCAGCCCGGGGTGAGTGGCAATTGACGACGCTTTTTGTTGCCAGCGATCGCGACATCGGGAAGCCATCCCTCATGTGAGGGGCTTCCTTATGAAAGAACGCGTCCGCATTATCAAAGAAGAGATGGTCACCACCCGCGCCATACCTGTTTCTGATCGCCTATATCCCTAGTTACTCATTGATTCAGCCGCTCAATGAACCGGACAGTAGCCGGCATGGGTCATGGGTAGGTTCGGGCTTTTTCTCTCCGATTGATTCTACTATCCCACGTACTTCGCGCGAGATTCGTACGCTGCCTAGGTCTCGGAAAACCTGAGCGTCAGCGCGACAAAAAAATAGAATACCGAACAATCTGCAGAAATATCCTGTAGTTTGCGGTTGCACAAAGCCCAGAGCCACAGAGGCAAGGATGTTTGCTGACTGATTGGCGAACCCACAGCCTGCTCGTCTGGCTCCCCGCCTGCTCGATCGGCTGCTTTTCAACCCGCATGAGAGAAGCTCTTATCAGGAGGCATGCTCCTTTTCCCCACCTCATTCTGCGCCAACAAGTACCGTCTGCTCGCAAGACCATGTTTTGTCACGTTCCACTACTTTTCAACTCGCCCCCAATTTGTCCCTCAGGCGACCCTTCCGATTCGCTCCTCACGCGATAGCCATTCCCGAGCTCCATCCTTCTCCAGAAGTTATCGACTCCATCCGATTCACACAGCTTCTGCAGGCAGTTGGACTTCGTCCGCCGTCGAGTGGGAAAATTCCCCAAAAACCTCCTCCGACATTTGAGCCGTCTCGTCGCATCAGAATAATGAGTGGAGAAACCTATTGATGTTTCTTGATCAGGTTTCTCCTTAGCAAGCTGAGTTCACATTCTCTTGCTTGAGAGGGGACGGAGTGGCAGTATCTCCATCCTGGATTAATCATGACTCGGGAGGCAGAAAGATAGTTTTTCGAAGGGGCGACCGAAGCTTGAATTCGTTACAGCCCATCGCTGCCGTGTACCCCGAGGTGTGGCCCTCTGTTTTCCGCCACAGCTACCGAGCCTGATTCGCTCGATTGTTTTGTAGAACGATATTGACGTAGGGCCGGTCAAATACTGCACCCAAAGATGAGAAGTCCACGGGAATCGTTGACGAGGCAGCGAACGGAAGCCGGTAGTTAGCGAAAGTGGTTTTGCTTGAGAAGCATCGAAAACACGATTCGCTTTGCCTGATGGTCTACACGCTACCACAATTCTCCGAGAAATACGTTCACAACATTTACTTTCAAGACTTCGACTGTCGATCGGTTTACTCCGAGAACCGCTACGTCCCTAATACAATAACAGTCCGAAGCACCCAGAAGAGTCGGAACGGGTCGGAGCTCGAGGCTCAATAAAATGACCACGGATGGAAAATCGTCGAGTAATGGAGAGCAAACCTGAAAATGAGATATCATTCGCGGAGCTCGGACTCCGGGCCAATATTGAAGTCTTGCCACACTCTCCTGTTGAAACGTCGCTAGCGAGGTTCCAAGGGTGGAGGAATATCTTGGTGGCGGGCATCCGAGTTTCGCGGTATATTAAAGTCAAGTCCATTTAAGAATTCTCCGAATGACAAAGACACGCACCCTTCGCAACAGATTGCCTTTCATTCTTTGTAAACAGATAAATTCCCCGGGCTTTTATCATCATCACTGGCAAAGTTGAGAGCAGAGAGGATCATCCTCTCGATGCGGAGAGTCTGCTCGAGGTTGTAAAATTCTCGGAATCAGAGAGAGCTTTGTCTCAACTCGCCGGAGAGCGATTCTCGACTCTGAGTTGAAAATTTAAATTATGCCCTGTTTGAAGATCTGTCTCGCCACCTGCTGGCTTATGATCGCGCACGTTTACGATTGTGCCAACAAAACTCCGAGCGGAAAGACTTTCGGGGAGTGTCTAATTCGATAGGAATCGAGGACCGTCTCCGAGAAGATCTCAACGGCTTGAACTGCCTCCGGAAGTCCCTCATGGATTTCTCGCATCGAAAATATTCCTCGAGTTTTCTCGAATCAATCAACCGCGGGGAGTCACCGCTGCTCTCCGGGAGCGACTTGCTCCTGAGAGAAGACTAAAATCCAGAGGACTCATTCCCATGCGATTGCATGCTAGGTGAAGTGGAGAGCGAGGGACCTCTCAGCAGGCTCTTCAGTGGCCGCGTGTGAGCCCTTGCAACAGGCTCCGCTGAGAGACCCGTCTCTTCTTCACGAGGTAATTATTGCGTTCAAAAGAGTCAACAGCTTCATTAGGGGTGGATAGTTCGGCGGATCGGGGAATATGACGGCTCGTGGATTCCGGAGTCTGAGCGGGGAATTTCCGGAGGAACGGCCTCTCGATGAGCTCCTTGAGATAGCCGAATAATGATTGGCGATCCATCCGACAACAAGTCGGGAACATTTCCGATGTCGACTCGGTTCATCATCAAGTAATAAACCACTGCGCACCTTCTGGTCGATTGTGGAAGACATTCAAGAAGCGGGATGAACAGAAGAAGTTCATAAATCTCGATGGAGATAGCTCCCACATTGATGAGGCATATGGTGAGCTCAGTCCGCTCTGCTCTGCCGCTCGCTGCTGCTCCCCTCCCTCGTCGCACGGGTGGTTTTTGGTCGCGTGGCTGGCTCCCGGCGAAAAGAACTCCTGTTGATTTCTGCGATGATGACTTCATAATTGGGAGTGAGATGGAGCAAGGCGAATCACAGTTCCCACCATAGAGAACTGCCCGGGGTGTCCGTGGAAACGCTCCCAAAGACGTTCACAGAAGTCTCATCTTGCGCTCAAGGAACGAATGTTCCAAGAGCGGAGCCTCGTCTACTCATCCCTGAAATTTCCATCCCGTCCCGAAGGTCTTCCGGACCGTCTCGCGTATGTCTCGAACAGAATACGTTCCGAGTTCGGTGCTCCATCACAATCAATTCACCAATCAGGCTCGAATCAGTCATCCGGTAATGAGAACAACACTTACTAGCGTGGACCCGAGGCGTCCGGCCACATGTTCGTCGGTGTCGGGTTACCGTCGAAATCGACACTCTTCGAGCAGATGGGTATTGCATACACTCCAATGATATGGGAATGGAGGACGTCTAATAATTTACATGGACGAAGTCTGAGGACCGACTCATGATGTTTATTCGACTGAGCGATCGGGAGGATCGATGCGAGTGCCAAACGAAACACAAATCAATCACGGATCGCATTTATCGCAAGCCTCGCCCGTTCGTGTCCTTGGATTCCAAAAAAACGCGATGGAGACCGTGGAGGGCAAGGCTGTCGTAAGAGCCGAAAGAATTTCGTACGGAGCGCAGGTCCTGTCGGAAATTTCGTGGGTGTAGCTGCGCGGTCGCCGTCGGTTCATTTCTCGGTCCGCCTGTTTGTCCGTTACCCGGTCTCCGTGGGCCGAGTGAGGCGCGGACGCCGCTTCGGCCACCGCTGCTGCCACTGCTGCTTATGCCTCACCTCTCTTTCGCTCGAGCACGTTGCCCCGGAGTGGAGCGACTTCCAACTGACGGCGGTACGGTTCGCCCCGCCGAGAGAGCTTGAGCTATGGTACGGAACACTTTTACAAAAATTATTTGGACCTCCGAATTCTTCGCCATTTCTCGGTGTTGATGATGGTTCTGTTTTAGGCCACCGGCGAAAATATGATTTGGGATCCAGATGGTGGTTTTTGTTTCTCGATCCTGGGTGGTATTCTTCTCCGGGGCGGCGCCGCGGTGTCGAACACGTTCTCATTCCTTTTTTCGGACCTTTTGTTCAACATACTCTCGCTGCCGAGTCACCTACGTGGACCGCCGAATAAACACTCCTCGGAGGATGACGCTCGGAATCGAAATCGACGATGCTCCTGACACTCGTCTCCGACCTTCGAGTCTGAGAGCTGAACGTCCAAGTCGGAACGAGTCCGACACCTCGTATCCGAGCCCTACCGGGTCGCTCGAGGACTCCAATCGTGCGGACCTGAAGTCTAAGTGAGAGAGCCTTCTCGACACTAATCTCCGCTTTAGCATAATTAGTCGCTGAACTCGGTCTCGAATCCTAAAGTAAATATGAGAGATCGAGGATGGATTAACAGTTGGATGAATTCGATATGAAGCGTAGGACTCCGAAACCCTTTCAACACTGTCCGCGACGATCCGAGCGTTTTGGAAACTCTGTCGAGTGCTCGACCATCTCTATGTATTCAACACATACATGAATAATGCTCACTCAGAATAGTGGTACAGCATTCCTGGAAGCCGGAGAGTGCGAAACATCATCGGAGCCCAGACTAAAAGCTCACAAGCGAACCGCTGGTGCTTTGGGGCCTTAAAACGGCCGTCGTGAATCATCGGGATGAATCTGCGAATATTTCCTTGGCTAGAACTGGGTGCCATGAATCTTGTAAAACGATCGCACTTTTTGATATCTCTCGCTCAGAACTCTCAAAGCGTCCACGGCACGTAGATCGTTGGGTTTTTATGTGTTTTTAATCGCATCGCCGCCGCCTTGCTTTAAGGGCTCGGAGACAAGTGGGGAGCTGAGGTGGACCGCGAACGCTCAGACAGCGCCGGAATCCGAGAGTTGGGATCACACCTCTTACAAACGTTGGACGGTTTCGTGTTCGTGGTTGCCCCGGATGGCAAGATCATGTACATTTCCGAAACGGCTAGCGTCCATTTGGGTCTTTCTCAGGTAGGTCTGAATCCGGATGGTTGATAACTGAGAGTGTTGGCGCAACATTTGTTTCTACCATCTAAGTCAATTTCGTCCATCAGGTGGAACTGACCGGAAACAGTATCTACGAATACGTACATCAGAACGATCACGACGAAATGGCTTCGGTGCTCTCATGTTCGTCTCCTCCCGAAGGGGGTCAACCTCGAGGATCGCAAGGGGAGCTAGAAATCGATCGTTCATTTTTTCTAAGAATGAAGTGCGTTCTAGCGAAGCGAAACGCCGGCTTGACTTCTGGCGGATACAAGGTACACGAGTGAGCAGGCCGATCTGTTCCCTCCCACGGGAGCGAGAGTCTCGGCTCGTATTCCGAAAGGCTCCGATCCCCAGCTGTATGAAGAGAGTACCGATTGAGCTCTGTCTGTCTCTCGCGTTCAAGGTGATTCACTGCAGCGGCTACTTGAAAGTGAAACAATACTCACTGGAATCCGCGCCCTACGAGAGCTGCTATCAGAATCTCGGGCTCGTTGCCGTTGGGCACTCACTACCGCCGTCCGCGGTTACCGAAATAAAAATGCACACGAACATGTTCATGTTCAGAGCATCTCTGGATTTGAAACTGATCTTCTTGGATTCGCGAGTGAGCGCCCTGACCGGATACGAGCCCCAGGAACTGATCGACAAGAGCCTTTACCAATTCGTCCATGTTTCGGACTGTATGCATCTCCGTTTGGCGCATCATCAACGTGAGTCTATTTTCACGAATGACTCTAAACGAGCTTTCGAATATCGAAAGAATACGAAACGACGAATCCATGAGCCCCGCATCTGAGGGGTCGTATTTCTTGTCGCAGTGCTGCTCAAAGGACAAGTCACCACAAAGTACTACAGATTGCTATGCAAAGGAGGCGGTTACGTTTGGATGCAGAGTTACGCCACAATCGTCCACAACAGCCGTTCTTCGAGACCTCACTGCGTCGTCAGCGTGAACTACGTTCTCAGCGACATTCACGAACGAGACATTGAGGTTGAGATCCAACAAGGAGTCTCGCTCAAAGAACCCAACGGAGCACAGCAGCCGGTAGAGCAGACTTCCAACGGTGTCGGAGGATTCGAAGAGTATCCCTCATCCCACAGTCCGGGCAGCAGGACTAAGAAACGTAAGCGTAGAACGGCGTCCCCGTACGACGAGGCAGCGGGTGGAGCATCGTCATCGCTCATGGATTACACTGTCCCTCCAGGTAAATGACTTTTCCCACCGTTCCCGCCCCAAGTTCGGCGGAGCCACGGTGCCTCCTTCGGAAGCATCGAATCACCCAGTGCCTGGGCTTTCCCAGGAGTATTTTCCTCCCGTTTTATTCATAACATCAACTTTTCTAACAGTCGCGGCCCCATCCGATGGTCCTCCCCGCGTATCTCCGGCGCCCTACGACGCCCAGACGGTGTGGTATCCGGCGGAAGCCGATCGAAACTGGAATTGCTACCAGTTTCTACCCCAAAGCAAATATCCTCTGAATCAACTGACCCCGGCTGGTTACTACCCTCAATTCGAGTCTGTGGCGCCATCTGTCGTTCCAATCGAGCAGCTGTACCCCCCGATGCAGCAGCGACCGTATAGGTGAATATCCCGTCAGCTCGGAATACTTTTCTTGTTCTCGGACTCATTCGTCTATCCCAGCGTCCGGGCAAATCCCCCCTTCTTCGACAATTTTCTGATCATCATCCGCAAATGACGGAGTTTTCGTTCGACTTGCAGTAATCACTCCGATTCCACCACCCAATCATCCGATAGCAGCGGATATCCTCCTTGTCCGGTGTACCCATTGTACGGCTCGCCTGGCAGGTCGTCCCCCAGAGGCGCGGTCGTTCAAGATGCGGGAATGTATCGAGAATATTACGACTCATACGTCGTCGAATATCCGCATGAACCGACTGAAGAAGCCGCAGAGACGTACACGGAGTACCGCAATGACTACGTTCACTCGTAACTGGGAAAGTCCCGTCAAGATTCGAAATCGCCTCCCGCGAACGAGGATCCTCTCGGTCGGGAACGATCGATTGTATCTATAAAATGTAAATAGACTCTGTGCAATAGGCGGTTTCGTGTATCTGAGTTCAAGCCAGATTTGAACTCGAGGAACCTACGCCAAATCACCCTAATACGTCTAGAATCATGAATACCCGCTCCCAAACACACTCTGATGGGAAAGATCTGCAGAGTAAGCCCTCCATTGTATGGTCCGTGGGCATACCGATGGACGCTTCCGAATTGGGTGAATAAAATCTCGAGCTGAAATACCGATTGTCGTGAGTGATCAAAAATGCTCTCGCATGGAAGTTGTGCTGGAAACTAGACTTGGAAAGGATGGACCCTACCGCGATATCCGTACCTATGTATGATGGCGAGAGAAAGCACCCCGATTCAATCCTCACCTCATACGACGGCACGTAGTAGCCGAGTTTCTCTCGGGTCGGTCGGAAGACAGTCTCTTGATGAAAAATGCACTATGGAACTTACGTAATCGTGTTGTCTGGTGACGGATATCAACCTGAGTCTGTTTCGTTTTTTGTATGCCGCGCTTCTCTAAAAAATGGTTTCCTCCTCTAGCTGAGCAGGTCCTACGTTCTATGAATCCATTTCGGATGAGTGGCAGGGTGGCAGAACTTTTTCTTCCGCGTAGATCCCAGGGGGCTAGAATCTCATAAATTATTGACCGTCCCACTGATCATTCACGTTTATCCCATCCGCTCGGGAGCATCTTGTCGGTTCGGACCCCGTTGTCCATCAGGCGATATCGGTCTAGGTGCTCTACAAGCTCGAGATTCAGCGATTTCCGTCCGAATGTCTGGAAGACATCCCCTACCGGTTCCTTGACGCCCTTAAGATTGACGTGAGAGGCTGACGTGAAAAACCTTGGACAACGCTCTTAACTTGGTCGGAACCGCAAACTAACACAAGCCATCCTTGTAACGTGTTTCTTTGTCCTCCACCCACACGCTCCACGCGAAGGTTAACCCACATTCTCGACGTCACGGCATTCCCATGTGGCAAACATCAAAGCCAAGTTGACGCGTCAAATGCATCCGATGGACTCCCTCCAGGTGGAACAGCGGGACCGGGCATCGCTCCGATGATGATTGGTGATTGAAATGAGAATATCCAGGGATCTATGGGTGATTCAATCAAGCTACTTCTGATCCCAAGGGGGATCCAATTATCTATTTCTCACCTCGGGCCCCTCACGCCGGCTTCCCACCGAAATGAGACTGGAATTCTCCCATGAATAGTCGCCATCGCCCCAGAGAACAGAAAGTGATCGCAGGCAACTGAGCTAATCCCATTGTAAAAACTCTCGGGACCGTATACGCACTTAATCCTTGGCAACGGAAAGCGTAAGAAAACGACCTCGCACGAAAGAGATCCATCCGATCTCCGCGAGAGACAGCTCTGAACGGAAGGCAAGCAGTGAGCGAGCCAGGGATTACGGGACAAGCTCGTATCGGGAGCTCCCCGGACCAAAATGTGGTCTCTTCTGCTGAAGAAGGCCATTTTGTGTGTTCTGTACGTGTTATTACTGTATTGCGACGTGATTGTACTGTCGCAGCGACTCCGTGTCTACGACATCTTCGAGAGCAACGATATATTGACGGATTACAGGTGGGTACATCTAATTGAGAGCTGCTTAAGATTTCGAGCTCCGTTCGCGATTCTTTCTTGATTTGGTTGATTCGCTCCCGTTGCTAAATCACGGTCCCAAGTACAAGTCTGCTGCACTAGCAGCGTCTCCAATAGGGAAGTGACGCGTTCGGGCTTGAATTCCTTCGATTTACCGCTGTGGTTTTCTCTTCTTCTAGATCTCAGTCCTCGAGAAACTCCCCCGCAGCTCTCTCAGGAGCGAATGTCACTACGAGGAGTCCCCTTTTGCACAGAACAAAAGCATCCGAAGATTCCCAATACATCCATGGGATGACATACAAGGAGCACAAAAAATTCGCTGCCGCGTCGGAGACGCAAAACCTGTATAATCGGGGTTCTGGGTCGTACGCGAAGGCTCCGAGTCTTGCATCGTGGAGAATAGCTAGCACTACTGGAGCTCCGACTACCGAGAGCACAACTGTTGCAGAATTGCCGTATTCTTACTTTGGGACAACGCGAAAACCCCCGAGCCTCGGATCCCAAAGCTACTACCCTGATCGCTATGGCTCGGGAACCCGGTCCAAACCCACGGCCCGAGTCGAGTCCGTTCTCAACTCCGCCTTCGGACAGGCACGCATAGAAATAGGACTGAAGCCGCTAAATCCGTGTTGCGACAACGACACGGAAACAAGCGCTGACGCTAAAGGGAAATTCCGATTCTACAACAGCTTCTCCAGGGAACGCGGTTATGCGCCCCATCGTGCAGTTCAGTACGTGACAACGACCACGACGAGTACCACCGAACGTCCGCGGTATAAGTTCGGTGATCGATACAGTCCGTCGCGGTCTCAGTACTACGATAGGGCTTCGGAGATGGGACTCGGCTCGTCGGGACGGGTCGTCGGCGCTCGGGAGAACAACGCAGACTGGTGGATTACCACGAGAAGTCCGAGACGCCTCTACACAACCACGTGGGTTCCGCGGACGACAAGAGACCGAATCGACAATACGGTACTGAACTCGTTCCGAAACAGACATTCTCTGTTGGACGTTGAACCTAACCCTACGGTGAGATCTTCACCAAGATCCGGCTTTGACGGAGTGCGTGGGATTCGTCCGTGGGACGAACGGCCCATTCCGACATCGACGACGACTACCACGACAACGAGAAGACCCGGCACTCTCGGCGGAGCGGATGAATACGACTATTACGACGAGTTGGAGAAACGTCAGACATCCACCGCGACTTACCCGTGGGCTAACCGTTCCTGGAGGACAACGGAACGTCCGACGACGCAGAAGATTCTCGTCACGACTGCTCCTCGGACGATGGCGTACGATCGGTGGATTTTCCAGAGTCCCAGCACAACGAGCACGTCGCCCTCTCCGTACATCGAGTACCCGCCCGGGCCGATATACAAGCCCTATGAAGAAGATGATGACTTTAAAGAATGGAAATCACGGGTCGAGAGCAAGGTTCAGAGTATTCGAAAGCCGTCGAGTAGAACCCACACTTCTGGGAGTCGGATGAGGGTGACCGGTTCCCCTTCGCTGGAAAACGATCTCGTCTCCCTTTTCAAAGTTAGCGGTGTTGAGGAGGAAGATTGGAAATTCGTCCACGAGACGAACAGTCTCGAGGACGCTTTTCAGCCTGAAGCCAAGCGAGACCACGGTAGGTATAGGTCGCGGTGGAGCAATAATATGAATGCAGCCTGGGATATCGACCGTCGTGATTCCAAATACGACCAATTTGACACAACCCGACGCAGCACGAGAACCACGGCGTCGTCGACCACGACCACCACCACCGAATCTCCAACGACTAGGGCTCGAACCTTCTCGCAGACCCCACCAAGTACTTCTATGGCCGAAGCCACTACGTCCGCTCCAAAAGTGTTCGTGTTACCAACCAGACGTATCGTTCCGAGGAAACCGAGTGCTTTCCGACGACGTACGACTTCTAGACCGAGAAGCGGCCCGAGTTACAGATACAGACTTTTCACCCCGTCCGAAGCTCCGACGGGGTCTTCGACTTCGACGGAAAAAACTTCCGTGGGGCTGACCGGAATCTCTGCCGCGGAAAAAACCCACGAAAATCCAAATGACGCCGTCCCGGGAACGAAGCCTGAAGAGAATCGTGTGACTGCGTCGGAGTATCCCATCACCGATGCTGGTCCTGCGATCGCTATGATAACGAGTGGAAGCACCACGACGAGTACGCCGGCTGGACCTCACGGATCAACGTCGGTCGGAACTCCCAGTTTCACGACGACAATTCCGGTATCGACCTCACCAACGAGTACGACCACTAGTCCATCTCCACCGCTACTCTCACCGACGGCGAATCCCCCACCCGTGGTGAATTGGTATACAACGAGGAGGCCGGTTTTCGGAGAGGGAATGTCCATCGAAGAACAACTCGCCGAAGCCATGCGACGTCTCCATGAGAGACAAAAGCTCAAAGAGCTCGAAAGGAAGAAGATCGAGGAAGAAGCCGAAAGGAGGCGAGCCGAGAAGCCGGATCGCTTCGAAGGGAGCGGAGATTTCGAAAATGAGATCATGAACGATGCCCCTATCGTCGTGGAAGCGGTGCCCGAAATCGCAGATCTGAACCTACGAGAGGACTTCAATGTCGAGCACAGGGTGCGCGAGAGAGTCGCAGAAGACATGGGAGACGCTGAGATCTACGGGGAGCTCATCAACGAGCACGTGATGCAGGTGAATCTGTGAACTTCTTCCTCAACTCAGTATGAAGCATTATATACAGACATTATTACAATTGATAATGTGCGCATACGCTTTCTTCATGAACTTATAATCATGGCCGATGACCTAAATTGAGGCGCCCAACATCCTAACAAATCGTTCCGCTGAATTCCTTGGCGCAGGTGGGGAAACCGAAGAAACCACGGAAGTCAATCACAGAAGGTGGAATTCGTTGAGAATCAAGCGGAGACGCCACATCCGGAGCGCGGGATCCCTGCGCTGCGCCGAAATATTTATCACCCGACCTAGGAGGAGGGTACTGTCCCGTGACTGATCCCCTTCGAGGCTTCACCAGAACGAGAGTGTAACCAAGTCGGAGCGAATCAGTAGAACAAGACCAAAAGGAGTCGATATTATGATCATTTATTTTACATTGTTATACACAAGGAATAGACGCTTCGTGTTCTTTGCAGATATTGTTCAGTACAGGTTCTTTCCCAGCGTGTTTGGTCTGCATCGGAGAGCTTTCTTGTTGGAATGAACTTCCGAAGGAACTTCGGAATCTGGACCTAGCTCTCTCATTCTGGCTGACTGCCTCACTACCTAGAAAGGTCTCCTGGAGCCCTGAACGATCGTTTCTACACTTATATGCACTTCGGCTACCTCCAATCTGATCGTTATCCAGATTGTTGTCGAATGTCCTCGCTACACCAGATGTCCCAGAATACCGGCAAGTCGAGACGGGCCGCTTTTAATGTACTCGATGAAATGCCTTGAAGATTGACTTTGAGCAGCTGACAGTCATCGGAGCTCAGAGGTCGGTGCAGTCGAGTCGGTTGACCACGTTTCGGATGGTCTGAACGGTTTTGTCGTTGTCCTTCGGGCACGATTGGACGAACTGGAATATGTGCTCCATGAAGTGGTCCACGTTCTCAACCGAGAGCTTCATCTGCCAGCCGGGGATACTGATCTGTAATGTTAGCAATAAAATTATCGATCAACAAGTATGTCGGGATCGAGGCTCATCTTGTCTGTTGACGCCTATCAGGAGTCATCGAATGCTCCCGTGAAAGCTCAAGAGTCGCGCGACGGCGGAGTATGATGGCTCACCTCCTGGAAAGTATCGACGAGTCGCGTACGCAGTTTCGCGAGATACATTTCCAGCTGTTTGTTCGAGTTGCGGTGTTGCTCGGCCTCGGATTCCAGTTTGCCGATGGCGTCTTTGAAGGAATCGATGTGTTTCACGAGCACCGAGTTGTGCTCTTCTAGATCGGTGTTATGCTTCCGTAGATGACGCATCTCAGCCTCACGTGCTGGAAAGAAATTGACGAATTTGGAAATCTGCACGGACTCGGATTCGCGCGGATGTCCATTACACTCAAGAGTCAAGGAAATGCGATCAGTACGGTCGGGCGTTGTAGCGGATGATGCACTCACTTTTATTGTGATCCAAGAATTCTTCGGTGAAGATTGGGATGTCGAAAGTATCGTCTGGGTTATGCCTGATGTTGGATTGATGCACGACTTGAGGGGGTGTGACGCTCGGAGGAACTTCATCCATCTTATTATTCGTTGTTCTCAATGTGTTATTCGCGCTCATCTTCAACTGCTGGAAATTTTGCCGGTTAGCTTGTCATGACGGGACATCGAGATCGCATCAGCCTAAAAGAGAGTCTCGTTTCTCATATTATACCTTCTCTGAAGCCTTGGATTTCTTCTTCTCCGATTCTTTAGCTTCCTGGATAGCTTTTTGTTTTGCAGCTTCTTCCTCCTCGATGTGTTTACGGAACTGCTTATAACAGTCGGTCTGCTGATACTCTTCCACCTCCTTCATGTAACGCTCTCGGTCTTTCTCAGCGGCATCGAGATATTTCTGAGAAGATGGAAATTCCAACTCAGAATAATCAGGAATCGTCACTATTCCGACTTCGATGGTAGATAGAGGTACGTAGCCCGATGAATCATCCATAATTCCCCTATCGAATTCGAACGCTGGAGGCAGTCTCATCACAACAGACCTGTTTATCCTCCTGCTTGAGCTGACTCCATTCCTGGGCGAGAAGTTTCGTGATGTTGGCAAAAGCCACTTCGGGATTGACTTTCCTGCACCGCTCCCGGTTCTCGTTGAGAAATCGAACGTAACCGTTGATTGGGGCTTTTGGAGCATTGACATCTTTGGCTCTTGGTCGTCGCTTGCGCTCGTTCCCTGGTTTCGGGGGACGACCTCTGCGTTTTTGCTAGGTAAAAGAATTTCCACAGTCATGGCCAAACCCATTGAGCGTAGAGAATCTAAAGTCGTAGGTCGGTAATTGATTCTTCCGTACCCCGGGTGTCGTGTTCTCGGTATTCCCGTCAGGTTCCTCCGCTTCGTCTTCTGGCTCAGCTTTCAATTCAGGACTACTCGGGCTCTTCACGTCCATTTCGTCCTTCACGGACGGAGATCCTTTGCTTTCGCTCTTTGATGAATTCGACTGTTCGATGGAGTCGGCCTAGAAAAAAAAACGATAGTGATTCTTTGTCGGGGAAGCTCCTGGCATTAAGTGGTGAGAAGAGATGGAATGGATTTAGGTGCACGCTTCATTATTGCTCCGCTTGCGACGCGTTTCTTTGTCCAGCCGCTAGCCTCGGATTTTGCCTGCGGAGACAAGATCCCACGGCTTTGGAATCTAGGATAATGGATCGGGACACGTGGAATGATGAATCCTGGACGGCAGGAGCTGACTAATTAAGGACCCTACATAGAGTTAGAGAAAATCAGGCTCAGTCCAGTCCGCCCGGACCAACGACGCGGCTTGCGAAACCTCGGCGGAGTTTACACAATTCAATGATGAGCGGAGGCGAGAACAGTCCCCCGGACACTGTCCTTCGGACAGACAGACAATGGAAATTCGAAAATCGCATTCAGGGTAATCACTGATAGCCCGCTGTGCAATCAGCAATTTTATTTACATTTCCAGAAACTCGATCACATCTTGGACACTGTATCTTCCGACTTCGTCGGTCGATCGATCAATGATTCGAGACACCCTTCCAGAGTCTTTCCAGACTTTCTGAGGAGGATATAATTTCTCGTACTTTGGCGATCTCTTTCGGTTCCAGGAACATGAGGATTGTGTCGAATCGACCGACACTTGGCAAGATCTCCATTAGCGACCACACTTGGGACCGCAAACTCCCGTCCTTCCGGAGAGCTTCGTGTAGAATCGAGATGAAATCCGTGAAAATATCAACTTCAATGGAATCTTTGAATATGTCCTTCACGGCGTCGGCGCCCGTCGCAAGCAGATATTGGAGCCGCTTCTCCGGGAATCTTTCCAGATGACGCCAGTCCGCATAAAATTGGAAGGCGGTTCTCGCGGGCTGAGGCATCTTGACCTCGAAGTCCAGCTCCATAGCCTCGGGTTTGATTTTCGGGGGTGCTTTCGGTGGATCTGGTACGTTTCTCTCGTCGATGCGGATCCTCTTCAACTCTCCGACCCAATCACATTTGTCGACGGGCTCGACGGGAATACTGCTGTACTCCGAGAAAAAACGTTTCTGGTTCGGTTTGCTTGTCGCCAATTCCGCCCGTAGAGCCTGCAGCTCTTTTTCAGCGACAGAGTTCTTCGGTTCCAGCCTTAAAACGTTCTCGAAATCGAAAATCGCTTCTGATGCCATTCCCATCGCTTTCCGCGCCAGCCCTCTTCTGTAATAAGCCTTGACGAAATCCTTGTCGAGGCGCAAGGCTTGGCAACAGTCCCAATCAGCGGCTCGGTAATGCTCACGGGCCCGCTCGGGCAGAGGATCGCTCTCTGAAGCTTCTCCGCGATGTTTCTCGGCGATTTTGAGCAGAGCCATCGCTCTGTTGGCGTACAGTGTGGGGTTTCCTCGATCCGCTTCCACCGCACACGAGTAGCTATTGACGGCTTCGTCATAGTCTCCTATCTTGAAATGATGATTCCCACGCTCCTTGAACATATTTGCCTTCAGGGGATCGTGATAGATTTCCATGTCCTGATCCTCCGCGATATCTTCTTCCGGCAGCGTATAAGCATACCGCTCCTCTGGGACCATCGCGAATGTTCTGAAGCTCGGAGACCTGAGTCGATCGGAGACGGCACACGGGGACTTTCACGAGTTAGTGACCGCTTCTGTCACGCAGGTCATTCCACAACGAGAAGATGTTCCCGGATTTCTCCTCCGGACAGCTCGAGCCGCAATTCGAACGCAGAACGAAGGCTTCCTAAGCGTCGGAACGTTGAGCGGTGCGATATCCCAGAGCACGAAATCCCATAGACAACCGCCCTCAATGGCAAACATCGAATTCTCTATCGGATCCTGGTCGATTTCCGATCGTTTCCTCCCTGATCGGGGGGAGGAATGGAGTGGGCGCGATCGATTTGAACCGAGGGACAGAAGCGTATACTCGGGGTACTTCGAAAAAACTGAGCAATCGAAGCCGAGACCGCATGCGATTCCAGAAGAATAACCGAGTCCGCCCGTCACTCAGTCGGCTTTCGGACGAACACTAAGGCCACTCACCGTTTCGTCCACTTCCATCTTCTCGGGTTTTGAATCTTCTTCACAGCTGGTGCTGTCGGGCTTATTCTCGTCGCACATGATCTGCGAAAAGTTCACAAAAATTAAATCGGTAGCTCTGCGGATAGTAATCTCAGCGATAAGCTCCTTCTGGAAGGTCCGAAAAGCACAAGGAAACCCGACGGATTCACTGTAACGGGACAACGACGGGAACGTTCGGTAGCAGAGTTCAGTCCCCGGAAAGCCCTCTCAGGCCATCCAAGTCTCAGTTTCTGTACTCGAAGGTTCCGCGGACAGGAAACTTGCACTGATTCCTCGATCATCAAGATCTACTTTCAGCGCGCTCCTCGTTGGATGGAGCACCGACCAAGGGAGTCCGTGATTCACGATGGAATCCCGAAGGTGCAAACCTCGAGGGCTCTAAGGGCTGATCTTCGCTCTAGGGGAAGAGCTACCATTCCCACTTCTACTCACGAGTTTCCGATGGGATCGCAGCGGTTGTTCCAGTGGAATTGCAAAATATCAAGTATTTCTATCTCAAGGGAGACCCTAAGCGTGTTTTGGTTGAGACGCTACTCAGCGCCATCTGGTGGTCACCGGCACAACGATGGAGTTGTCGGGAATACATACAGCCGCAAATCGGGCTTCGGGGCGCTTGGATGTAATCTCCGTGTCGTCTTCGATATGCGGGGAACCATGGAGGGACATGTCGGCATCGCATAGCCGACATCTCGGACTAAATGAAATCCAAACCGCGGACGGAGAAATTCACCGTAAGCGCCATCCCGCCGAGAAGTCGAAAATTGTCTCCTGAATTTCAGCCGATCAGGGAAAGCTCTCTATTTTCGCGGCGCGGCGGAGCTTCGTCGGATAAGAATAATTCAGGTGTGCGAGTTTAGAATCTTTTATCCGTGGAAAGAAGCCCGAAAATTTCAACGGACTCATCCGCTGTCGCAGAGGCCTGTGTTCTAGCGTAAGACGATGCATGGAGATAGCTATGAGCCCGCGAGGATCTCGCGCGACCAAAGACAGTTTCCCTTGCGCCGATCATTTCCCTGATTGCAGTGGGTCAATTTGTTGAATGAAGAACTTCCCCATCGATCGTAGAAATATCTAATTCGACAGCGGCCCCGTCTTGCTCTTCGTTTTGTGAAACGCGGCTGGTCCAGGGTGGGAACCACCCCGCTCGCCGGAGGATCCTCCCCCGGGGTTAGCGAGTGCCTCGGAGATCCAGATCACTCATATGAGTCTCAACTGAATTTCGAGAGGATTGTCGGCCGAATTTTGGAACGGGTCTCGAAGCACTGGTTTCGGTCATGATTCCGGGGTCTTTCTAGTCATGCGAGAGATCGCCGCTCGGACTCCCAATCATCTTGCATCTCTTAGAGAGCCGACTAGCTTGGGATCCATGCAATGGGTGAGCTCTCGGGTCTTCTTCGTATGGGATATCCGAGGTTTTTCTCCCCCCTGCGTTCAGAAAGCTCGAAGCCGAAGCCGCGTTTCCTTCAGCACGGTTGGGAATATCTCTTGATCTCTTCTCGAGAAGCTATTCCTTCTCGGGTCACCTCTGGTGTTGGGACGCCATTTATTATTGCAAAACAAGCATTTATTAACAGTACTTCTCTCTAGAGAAATATCGCGGTCTGCTCGTATCATGTACTGACCGGGGTAGATCTGAATATTTACATTATAAACACAAGTCGGGAAATCCTCTCCCCACAGACTGTACAGCTTGGGAGATGCAGCTGGATGCTGAAGGTTTCAGCTCGTCTGCCTGTTTACGTGCTCCCACTCCCTGAACATTCGTATTCCAAAGCGAGAACTAGTTTCTTGAGTTTCGACTTGGGATTCAAATTAAATATGACACCTTGAGTATGCTGCTAGAACCTCTGTATCGGCGGGCTGCATCCTCGCGGGTTGAACTCTGTTGCAAATGCCTCCTCAGGGTAGATAGGGCTGTTTTCGAGCTTGCATATCATGCGCTCCTCTTCTATCTTGATAGTCGATCCCATTATCACTGGCGAGCCAACCATCATCATTCCCGGGTCGTCCATTGGGTGAGAACGTCCTGCATGATACCTGATTAAGACATTAGCTGCTAACACAGAGACCTAGCTGCCGCTCCCAGAAAGTCCATCTCACAGATCGATCGCCGAGGCTGGGAGTTTCTCGAGGCCGAGGAAAGCCCGAAAGGACCCTGGTCCGCCCAATCCGCTCGCGTGGAAGTTGAGACTCGAAACATGACTCGATCCCTGAGATTTTACGATCTTGGACCACAATCGTAAACACCGATTGGTTTCGGAGCAAGTCGTCGCGTTCATGTCTTGGCAGCATGACCGAAACAAACTCCCAGCCGCGGCGATCAGCCTGGCCTTCGCGGGGGCTCCGCAAGCTACAACATTTGCTCGATTGCGATCAAGCTACTCACGCATCGTAGGCAGGCGGCTGTTGAACTCCTTTCCGGTTGACCTTCTTCGCTGGGACAGTGGCGGAGTTCTCCGCCTGTTTCCGTCGTCGCCTCTGCTTCACTACTGGTTTTTGAAATTCTGCAAATATTCACACAATCATTTGATTGACGACAACCGTGCATCATGAAAGTTATCTTGAAGCCATAGGGACGCTTGCTCACCCGCTTCAGTGATTCGATCGATTGCGGGTTTCACGTCCAAGACAGGAGGGCTCGGTCTTCCGTTGGGCGGGCGTTCTGAAAAATGAGAAGTAGTAGCTGCATATCCTCGCGAGCTTGATCCTGCGAGATATACATTCGAGGTGGGCGAGCGAATTATTTTCTTCAACCTACGGGCTTGATTTGAGATCTGTTGGAACCTGTCAAAAACCGCGGTCCTCAGAGTTTCTTGCGGAGACAAGTTTGTCTGCTTCTGTCGCATCATCAACTCTTGCATCGGGCCCAACGTATTGCACATACGAAGAAAATTCACCACGGGTGTCGGGAAGCCGCCCCGAGTCAGACTGGTCTGAAATAACCATGAGCTATGAGGAGAGCTCCCACGGGATACATATATGTGCATGAATAGATATGTAGAATGGAATCGCCAATGGCCGAGAGCTCCGAGGATCTCAATGGACCATATTGCGGAGCATAGATCTTTTCGATTCACCGCTGAACTCCGCGGGGATCCGCATGGAGATCTACTCAGGCGGTCGAAGGTGACCAGGATCACTCACCATCGGTCCAGAATGCCGCGCCACATGACGGGGAACGTGTTCTCGATGCGTGTGGACCACGAAACTGATGCTCTTGAATCTTTGAGAGAGCATTCCTATTTCGACGAGGAAACGACCGTCCATCCGGACCATGGCGACGAATTCACGATTTGGCGGCTCTCCTGGGGTACCTACAGGGACGAATAGGTTGGCTTGAATTTGTCCGATCCACCCTTTCACCCCTCCCTTCGTCAAAACGCAACCCCCATTCATGTTAAGGTATCGTGGAGTGATATATTCGTTCCTATCCCCTTGAATAGATTCTTATTCTGTAACTCCCCCGTTCTGTAGCCGGGACCATCTAGGGATTCCGCTCACCTGAAGCGCTCGGGTGACCCAGAGGCATTAAAGTTGACAAGTTACCGCATGGGCAGTCGAAAACCGCCGAATGCGCGTGGTTGTTCACGGATATCAACTTGAGCTGGTTCAAGTTGAACTGGGGTTCGATGACGCTCTCGAAGTAAGTCATGAAGAACCGCGGTATGAGAGCTCTTCCGATCCTTGCACGAGTTACTCCGTCCTCGAGACAGAAGGAGAACGAAAAGAATCCGTTCGGCTCGAAAAAATCATCCGTGAACGCTTGCCATTGAGCTAGATCGCACCACTACATTTCGGGAAGGAAAAAATCAGCAACCGATTTGATTTTCATTAATGTATGTCTCCCCAGGGTCCGGAGAACTTCGACTCACCTTATTCATTGCCAAGAGCCTCCGATTCAATTCACACATCCGGAAGTCCAGCAAGTGCGTCCTGTGGAACGGGGAAGAAACTCAGTGCGTGATCGCTGGGGCAAATTCACTGGGGGGTTGGGAGATGGTTTCGAGACCTGATTCGGGTATGGGCTTTCCGCTCTGGGGAGCACTATCTGGGTGTCGAATACCGAGGGGAACGATCTTCCAAAACGAAATCGAGCCATCGCAACTGCTCGCTCTCGAATCCCTCGTTCCTGATTCCTCTGGGATTCTCGCCCCCGCTTACCGTGGGACTGGACCCGCACCAGGCGTTCCTGGCTCGTGAATATCTGGAGAATGTGGACCGGTTTTCGGAGTCCATGGCGGGGCGATTTTCCTCTGGTTTGGAACTTCATTTTCATCAGTTCGCGCCTGTGCGGCCATGTTTGATCACGACTCACTCGCTTATTGCTACTCGAATCCCGTTACGCTGAAACGATTGTGCCAGAGCACCCTGAATCCTCGTCAAGCACTCGCTGTTCCTGGGAGCATCGCTCACGTTCCTAATCCACTCGAACACGAAAGAAACAATCCTTGTCAGATCATCGCAACGAACTTATTTCGTCTCATCGCGAAGATGTTGTTGGGCCGCTTGATGTTTGTTTTCGAGTATAAGCTAGCCGGAGCGGTAGAACTTCGGGGTTCGCATTCTGCTGGTTCGAAGATTAGGGAAGGGGTCAAAATGAGTGAGAAGAGGCTTCTAGTCCCGTGCGCTCTCTTGTGGTGGCGATCGTGGCGGCCGCGGCCGTCGTCGTGAAGATGGTGTCGACTCTCTTCGCCGCACGCGTCTCAACACATCCGACGCTCGAGGAATCGGAGCGTCTCCGAAGAATGCTCGTTCTTCATGAGGCATCAATTTCGAAAGCATCCATTCGAATGCGCTGCTTGAAGCCGAGCAATCAGAGGCCGGCGAACTTGGAGGTGTGGAGTTGAACTCGGGTTTGGACCTCATGCCAATGAATCGATCAGCTCCGAGAATGTCTGATATGGATTATCTTCCGGACGAGAGGGTAGACGGGGGGGAATCGATCGAAGGAGATCCCAAAATTCAAGATTCCGTGAAAAAACACATTTCGGCGCTAGATTTCGTGGACGGCAATCACAATCGCGGGGAAGCATCGCTTCCTCAAATGCTTTCTTTTGTCCAGATTCGAGAAGCCGAATTCCGCGGGGCCAACGTAGCAAATGGATACCGAAGACCCAAACTTCAGGCGAGGGCTCACGATTTTTTGAGCATCAGCTCTCGATTCAGTCCTCCGAGCTCCTCCGGAAAACTAGATCATATGAGCGGGCAACGTCGATTTTGTGGGTAAGTGTGTGGATGTTCCGATTCGACAGGATTCTGAATGAGGCTTTCGTAGTCAAACGCTCCGCCGTGCTTCTCCGAGGATGAGTCCGGGGCTTACCCTTTACTCCTCATCCATGATCCATGTTCTTGTCTGTGAATTGAGCCATGGTCGAGCGACCGCCGATATTTGACTTCATGCGGCGACCGTCAACGCTGAAAGGGGGAAACGAGGACTTCCGATCCGGAAAAATCTGAGCCGCTGGTCGAGTCTGTCTCAGCGGCTCGAGGGCTGATATTTTCGGGGTACGACCTTTTATCTCACCGAGTCCGGAAATCGCGGTAGCGCGGGCCTCATTCGTCTCACAGAATCATCATCAGCCTTTCCGAACAGTACGGGATAGTCGAGATTCCGTTACAGCGGAGAGTCACGCATCCTTTACCTTAAGATCCAACGCTTCCACCCGCATGCTTCGGGCCTCAAGTTCCAGAGCTCTCGCCGGACCGAATCGAGCACCTTAGCCGCGTATCCTGCTGAGCCTACTCAGGATCCGTTTCCGCGGTCTTGGCGCTTGCATAGGGTCGATCCAAAGGCGTTTTTTTTGCAGGGATCACTGCGCGCAAGCGAGTCGCAGTCTCGGCTGTCGATGGTGGGTTGTCCGATAAGTGTGGAACAAGCCCGTCCGGGGGCCTGGCAGCCAACAAAAAGGGTCCTCCCATATGTGGCTGCTAAAGATATATTTGCCAACGGAACGTTCCGTTTGAGGGATATTTCCTCAGAGGAGTCCGAATTCTAGCTCGGAGCTAATTAATTGGGAACGTCCCTTTTCTCGCGGACCGTTATGGGTCGGACGATGATAAATCCAGACGATGAGTTCCGTGGGGCATCCCCGTGGTATTTCTGTTTCCAGACCGAGCGCGCCTATACGATTTCCAAAACCTACTTGAAACAATGCCATACCTTGAGTCGCATGATTCGAACCCCCTAAGATTTCTTCTCATTTGGCTTGCGTGCTTCGCGTCCCCGCAAATAGTCCCTAATTTCGCCAATCCATCACATTCTGAATACGGAGGTCGAGGATCCAGGTTTCTCAGATCCGTGAATTCATTGATTGAAGACATAGCTCCTTCAGAATCTGGGCTCGGGGGAGGTCCGGGGGAAACCGTCATACGCTCCATCAGTCTATCAGGCGAAGCTGGTTCGTCTTTTGGAATCACTATCGAAAATTCAGCTTTGCGTTTCAAGCGGCCTGGTCCTTTCTTCAGCTCCCAGATGACCGCCTCATCTGAAGAATTATATGAGATAGATTTAATCACTTCCGCACCTCATCCGGGAGATCTTCGATACACCGCTCATTTCCCGATTGAGAGATATGAGGGTCCAAAGGCGAGCGCCGAGAGTCACGATTCCCCTGAGATTCGCTCAGACGGGATGAGGAGGCAATTTTGATGCAATCATGATCTGAGCAGAGTATGAACGAAAGGGGAGGAAAAATATCGCATGGGCCCTACCAGTACACGGAGCGTATACTCCTTGGCCGTGTCGAAAACGCATTTTTAAGCCCAACAACTCAGGATCAGACTGGTAAACAGCACACACCGCTGGAGAAGCACTGCCGTGTTTTCGAATCAGGTTACGTAGACGTCACCTCGACGTTTGGCCCGAATGCAGCAAGCATCCAAGTCCCTTCGCCTGCGTCCATGCTCGAAATGTAATAATTTCTCATATTATTCGGAATTGAATGCTTTGTTTCGACTCATGACACCGAATATTTGTATCTCCATCGACATTCCCTCTGAGCCTCCGGTCTTCTCTATTGGAAGTTCGGACTCGCCGGTTGGGCGGCAGGTTGCGTCCCTGTAAGTGTCCCCGCTGGGATTCCCATCAAGATTTCCTCTGTGATATCCGTCAGCGACTCCATCGGGGTTGCGTGCCCCGAGAGGCAAAGAGAGTGCTCGGGCCACCGCACCGGTACCGATCCCGTCCGAAAATGACCGGTCCCTTTCTATGTAGATTCTCAAATGATATCAAACCAGCCGTTCGAATGAGTGGCTTCACCCCTCTCCCAAAGCGTTCTCTTCAAGATTTCTCGGAATCACCTGCGGACTCGGAATAGGTTCCGCTCTTAGCGGTTCGGCCGATCGGGTGAACTCTCGATCTCGTCAGCTGGGCACATGTGGTCTTCGGGGCTGCAGCCCGCTACCGGTGCAAGCATTCGGAGCGATAGGACGCAATTCTTCCCAAGGAGCGTCGGGCGTATTGTCGACCGCTGAGCCCAGGCGACTGTGGAGCTGACTATCTCGGCAGATAGACGCGCACAAATCAGTAGAAGAAAGTTCCATGTCCTTGTTTCTCTCTCTGTTCGACGGGACTGACGCATGAGATCCAGGGGTCGACAAAACACACAACACTTACCCGGCTTATTCAACTTTGGTTATGGATATGGTCTGCCTGAACGCGGAGCCTGTCCCGCGATTTCCGAATCGACACAGAGTCGATGTTCACGAATGAATAATGATGCTCTTGAAAACTAGAGATACCTCAATTCGGAGATCAGCCGATTCTCTGTCTCTAATCGGTAAGTATCGCGAATCGAGACGCGGAAGAATGCGCGAGGAATACGGGTGTTTCCAAAGCGATTAAGTCAGCGCACACCCGAGCGGGTACCGCGCTATGTCGCTTACAATCGTCTACGGAACACACCCTGGGGAAGGGGTCTTAGCCCGCACTTGTCGCCTGAATCCTGCCTGCTTTCAGCTGGAGTATCGACTCGGAACGCCCCGTCGAGCTCGAGAACGAGATATCGTCTGTCTTGACGTCTCCAGACCTGCAATCACCAAACGGTCCTACATGCCACGGAACTACATGGAACTAATCATATCCTCGGCCCCATTTCTCAGGCGGAGCTAACATGGAGCCTGAACCGCATAGGCTTGCCGAGCTCTGCAGGGGTGCTAAATGAGTTGACAGTAGGGACTGCATTGCATGGATACTCATCTTTCGGTGACGCGAGCCTTCACCAAATTATAGTCCTCGTCATACGCCCAGCTCGGGCGCTTGCTTTTCGGTATTGTGCAAACTTGGGAAAAAGTCCGTCGCAGGTCGGAAAACATTTCCCATCCTCGCTCATTCGCGCAGCTCCCTCGAAGTCCATGGTATCTGTCCGCGATTCTAGGGAATGAAAGTCATTCAGTTCAGATATCGCGGATCATCGTATCTATACTCATTGAGCGGGCACTGCGGCCGCACTATCATTATTGCCAGCAGTGCGACTGTACCCGACTGAAGTCACTCAAGACTCATCAGCTATAGGAACATCAATCTACGAAACTCTAGATCGCCTTCTTTCCGATGTTGGATTCTGGCTCCAAGATACCGTACCGAGGGTCGGATCCCCGTTAAACCTTCACAGAAGCTTAACGAAACCTATTGTTTCTACTCCTAGAGTACGTTCACGCTTATTCGCTCCCCCTCTCGTGGCCGGCCTCCCTACTGCGTGATGGAAGCAGGCTTCCAATGTGGCATAGCTACATCTTACGGCTAGCCGAGGAGAGAGCACTCCCGCTTATTATCAGGGTTGGGAACTCCGCTTGGCAATTCATCCGTTTATACATACATTCGATTCCCAAGGGATTCTCCCGGAATGTCCCGGAATCCTCCCAGAAAGGAATCGATCGAGGTTTCAGAAGAGACTGCTTGCATGGAATATAGAACACAGGATACTATTCGACTCGAGGGATCTCAGTGAGACCTCCTGAAGGGCATTTCTAAGGGCCTTAATCGTATCAATCGATACAGAAAGCTTTCTGGAACAGAAGCGGAGACCGCGTCCTCAAATGATTTCTTTTCTAGTGATTGTTCCAGGGAATAGGCTGAGTGATTCCCTCGTCACGGTGAGTGTACGCAACTGAGGGATCGGTGAAGGATCTACATAGGGCATGATTCGATCGCCCGATTTATTACGAGACTCCCGATGCGAGTAGAATACAGTTAAGCTTGGACGCTCCGCATTGGAGCACGAGCGGTCGAGCTCGAACTCATATGAAGAATCATATCATGAGAAGTCTCCAGGAGCTAATCCAATATTGCGGTTGGAAGATACAAAATGAAATTTTCCCCGGCAGAATGAGTTTCTTCGCCCGGACAGCTGCGCGAGACGGGGGAATCGGAAGCATTGTTCGGAGTGAATTTGATATCTTAATACGACCGCGAATTACGCGGACAATACTCGGTGTTGGAGTCCCCCGATCGAACCCTTAGCTCATGCTTGCGCTGCGCCGCGCCTTCGAGACCTCTGTGCTGTGATCGAGGAAGCGCGGAAAATGAATTTCACCCCGGGATGAGCGCTAGGAAACTTGCAAAGACTCCACTCGAATGATCAGGAAGCGGATATTTACCACGAACTTTCAAAAAGGCGGACAGGATCGGTCGAGAGCAACATTTTCGCGTAGATCGCGACTATCATTGCCGATACCTTGATTGTGTCATGGATACTCGATGACGTCGGACAACTCATGAGCTGAGGACAAACGAAGGTATGTTCCGAAACGGAGTCAGCTTCGGGAGCTCCGTGCCAGAAACCAAGAGCCGTCCTATGGACGAGGCCTTAGGCGCCTTCTTTGCTGGGATCATCCTGATTCCGGACGGCGCTTCGAAGAATCGTTCCGCCTCATACTGAAAAGGGTTCGATGACAGACCACCGCTGAGATGAAAGACTGCTTCGGGAATAAATGTGTTCATGGTCTACCGCAGGGGTGGCCTGGTGGGGGTCCGCGGACCCCTGGGGGTCCGCAGCAAGATTTTCGGGGGTCCGCGACGGGGTTCCTGAGTCAGATTTGGAGTCAGATTCCCCAATGGAAAATATGATCATTGATAATATGAAATATGATCAACTGTCTGGGAGTGACTCAACGCTGCACGTTTCGCAGCGAGAATATCAAGTCTGCAGACATTGCTGACAAACACGTCCAATTGAACGTCGACTCTCGCATTCGGAGCTTGCCAAAAAAGGCACTATGAGAAATAGGGGGTCCGCCGACTCCAGCTCACCCGGTCAGGGGGTCCCCCAGCTCAACCGGTCAGGGGGTCCCTCAGCTCACCCAAGTTGGCCACCCCTGGTCTACCGAACATATGTATATTCTGCTCGAATCGACTTTTTCAGACTGTCCGCAATCGAATGCATGATATCGGGGTCGTGCGACGCGGAAAAACGGTCCAAACGGACCGCGACGATAATCGTTCTCACGCCAATATTGGGGTAGCGGGTCGCTTCCCTTGAGCTTTGCCTTTGAAGTGAAGCACTCACTGCTCTCGAAAACCTTTCGGCTCCTTTATTGCCCAATGCTCGAGGACTCGGACCTTCCGACGGCGTAATTCAGTCCACTTCGGAAGGGATGATTAGTCAATCGCAATCAGAATTAATTTCTCGGCGAGACTTGACTGGAATCGGCGTCTGAAAACAAGAGCCCAGCGCTTGCGGATGTCGCGGCGACTCTTTGAGGTCTTTGATCACCCGCACGCGGTAGAGGCTGTTGCTTCACACTTGACCCACGTCAAAGCGAACCCGATTCCCTTTGATCATTTTGAGTCGCTGAGCTCCGAACGCGGCGCTTCCTCGGTCGCCTCCGGAGCTTTGTCTCGAGTTTCGCAAGAGAGCAAATCCGGTTTTCGATCGTCTCTCCTCAAGGGGACTTGACTCGTTTTCCTGAGAAAATATTTCGTTCGCCGAAGGACCCTACACTCGCGAGGGCTGAGAGGCATTCCAGATTTTGCTTTTCTCTCATCTCGATCGGAGTGTCGATTCCAAACCACCAGCGAGAACTCGTTCAGTGTTTAACATACGCTTCCACACCACGGGCATCACCCAGAAACAGGGTGGACGTATCGCGATCCTGAAATGGCCTGGGGCTCGAGCTCAGCGTCGGAGACTACGGGATGTCGTCGGAGTGGTAGCCTCTCTCAGATATTCGAGAACGGACGATCATGCGAGGCCTGAATTCGCGAGACAGATGAGCTTGATACCATACGGGACGACTTCGAGGTCCCGTCCGCTCTCGATCCTCGGCCTCAACTCTTACATTTAGAGCACTTATACATATGTTTTGAGCTAGGTGCCGGGGGAGACTCGTCGCGAATGCTGGTAAGTCGAATTATTGAGACGCAGCATTCGAACTCAGTTAATAGTTCGATCCGACCATCGCTCATGTGATCAGTTATTAGTCTCGCTCACCGTTATCCACCGATTCAAGCCGCAGGAGCCTTGTATCGTATCCGAAGAAGTGCGGACGGACGCACAGATTCCATCTTTTCTTGGAAGCACAAGACTCAAGGCTCAGGCTCGACCGTCCGTGAATTGGAAAAGCTTGCGCGGGTCCCCTCCGGCTTTCCCCGACGGAATAGGAAACCTACGTGACTCCCGCCTCTGCAGGACCCGACAGCTCTCTCTCCCACTAGAAACCGGAGGTATCGAAGAAATTATTCTAGGATGATGCTCATGATCAGCGTCTCACCCGTGAGCAACCCTCTCAACCCTAGGGTGTGAGTTCATGAAACTCATCAAAACGCTCTCTTATTTGTTATGCGCATCTCGTCCAGATCGGGTAACGGAACTGGAGCTTTCGAAGGCGATGCGGAGGGAGCGTTGAAAATGATCCGCAGGGATAACGATGATTGAAAGAGGAGAATAACTCATCTGGAAGGGTAGGAAGAAACGGTCGGGGGAATCATTTTAAGGGTACTTTCACAAAGTTTCTGGAGCCGGCCGTGCGACCGGGAAATGTGTTCTACGGCGCTCGACGCGTGACATTGTGAAGTCTCCCTCCGCCGTAAGGAATTCGATATTGGGTGAATAAGGGGCGAAACTTGAGACGAGAATAGCGCAACCGCTTTCGTGAACCGCCGGCTGAGCCAAATCTAATGATCCCGTCACCTTCAAAGATCAGTCAGTATTCAGAGTTCGATTGTCGGCGGCTCCTCGATTGAAATATTCGTCCGAAGGTGTGCGTGCGCCTGTGAGAGATAATAATAAAGTGCGGTCGGCTGAGTGGCCCACCGTTCCAGCGGTGACCCGACTCAGAGACGGGCAGGTATTTACTTATGTAGGCTCGAGCGACAGGAAGTTCCCCGTGGCTACGAAAGTCGACAAAGCCGTCAGAGGAATGAGAACGGAGAATGTGTTGTTGCTTTGTGTACGCTTGCGGGATTTGCTCGTCGTTCGGTCGTCGCTGGTCGTCGTCCAGCTCGTCAAAGTGAGCAGGCAGTCATTAAAGGAGTGTCAGGAATTTGAGAAATGCAACGCTGTCTGCGGAGAATCTCCACGCGACTAACCAGCCAAGTAACAAAAGCGGCGCCACGACCGGACGGAGGTCACCTCCGACAACGGAACGAAACGAGAGATGAGTGCTAGTTTTTTCTTCTCCCTGTCATCAATTCTCTCGTCGCTCATTCACTAAACTCTCGCGTCTACGGTTTATGACTTCGATATTCAACAACACTTGTGCCACGAGACCGAGCCGGCAGGGAGTACCCGTGTCTTGTTCCGGATTGTTCCGTCGAGTGCGTTCGGTCCGACTGTTCAGCAACCGGAAACATTAGCGTTCCCTGCTCGAGAGCTCCGATGGATATGCAAGACACGCGAGAGCCTCGAAGGGAATACAAGCTGAGAGCATACGAGCTTCGGTGTGGCTTTGCTGAGGAATTTCGATGCCGTAAACAGGGAGTTGCGAATGAGAAACCAATGACAGAAAGCGGCTCGATCCTTCCCAGATCGATTTCGGCCTCTGCGGAGATCACATCTGGAGCGATGTTTTGATGAGGTACACGGACGTGATTTGTCAGGAAATCACAGCGAGCGTCCCGCCTGATTTTGTTCCCTGTCGCCCCCTCCAGGAGCGGAGAGATCCTCAGATCGAGCATGCATGCCCAGTGTACGAAATGATAAACTTCACATCTACGATGAGCTGTGTCGGTCTCGTCGATTCGCAAAAACATATTGTCGAGTAACGCATTTCCCTGCCGTATAACTCCGACGATCGAGAAACTGAGATTGAAGAACTCGGCCTTCCCCGGAACGCTCCGAAAGAGAGCAAAACTCGAAGAGACTTACAAAACGGCGGCATCGATGTGACACCGGCCGCCGAGTTAGCTTCGACCCGGAGGAACCGAATGCGTCGGAGATTAAGCTTCTGAAGGAACTATCTGGGCTCCTGGAAGCCCCCGCCGAAAGCTCCGCTTTCAACGTTCCCGACAGGAATACCCTTTCTTGATCGGGCTCCAAGTTCAGCGCGAGACGCCCCGTCACTTCTATCCACAGACCCGGAGCGCGACGACTCAGAATCCGAGATTTCTGCTCGGAGCTGCTGGGGGGGATGCAGTACCGGAGAGAAAACTCGACGTACGGAATTCTGACGACATGCCGTGAATTCCAGCAGGGCATCGCACACAAAAGAGTCTGTTTGTCATGATGCACAAGCCGGAGGATGTTCATGACATTTTTTCGCACACGAGACCAGCCCACAACACCAGGTGCCGACAAGAAGATGGACGACATAGATAGTCATTTCGTCAGTCGTCAGCCGGTCGGTTCGTCCGCTCGCGCGGCGAAATTAGGCCCCATTGGCGTTAAGAACAAAGGTGATTGATTCTATTGTCGCGCGGCATGGGACTGGTCGTCGCATTCCAGACTAAACCGATGATGATGATGATGGCTGAAATCAAGCGGCAAACAACGGAGCGGCTGCCGCCGCCGAGAGACAAGTGTCAGGTCAAAGCAGGCCCAGATAGACAATAGGCCCTCCTTGTTCCAACTCCAGAGTTGTTTTTTCTTCAAAACGAAACTCTGGTTCACTGTTCGGGCCGCCGTGTGCAGTTACACAGGTCTTTCTCGAGCACCTCGGACGCATTGTGTGACGTTGTTGTGACCACGCCTCGAGCATTCCTTCATAATCTACTAGAGCCGAAGTGTGTCGATGATTATCTCGACTGGGAATTCCAAATATTTGTGTGGTGCCCGCGCTCCACTCAGCACTGACCGAGGGGAGTGAGGGACGAACAACGTAAATTACGTAGGCAGGTGCGATCTGCCATTCACGTAGCCGAGGCGGGGGTGAGCCACTCAGCCAGCCAGTCAGTCAGTCGGTCTGTCTGCTGAGCCATTGGATCACTCGTCAGCTAGCCATTCCTCCGTGATCACTAGTTGGTTTAAACTTCGAGGAACGTGGTGAGTCGAAGAATGGCGAATCGGCTCGATAGGCAATTCTCACTCATGAAGCAAGGAAGGCAGGCATGACGTCCAGCATCATTTCATGGCGAAGTGGTTCATCATGCTCGTTGCGGTCTCCACTCATTGACCTCAGTCTTCTGATCGTAGATTGAACGGTAGTTTCCTCCCCTCTTCCGTTTTCCTCAGAATCTCGCTCTTATTCTTCTTGACGAGGATCGCGCTCGATACAGTCGAGGAAGCTCGACGAGGAACCGGTCGAGCCCCTCGACGAGTGCACGGAACTTCCCCGTCAGAAGGTGACCACTGGATTGCGTTCTTGCGATCGATTGATTCGATAGAGGGATATTCATCTGGGATCAGCTGACAGATCTCGTGATTCTCGATCCGAAGTCGGAAGTCGCCATTTTCGCGCGAAAATGAATGGCCTCTGAGCGAGGCTCCCTTTTGGAAGACTCATTGAGGCGGTTTCTCCACGGATTGGTCCTCGGGCGACCGACGATCGTCAACTCCGGCGACCGACGCGCGAAAAAAAATGACGGCGGAGAAGAGATCGCAGCCTTGAAATTCTTGTGGCATTTTCCGCTGTGCTCGTGGATGGGCCAGTCGTCCGTTTGCTCGACGGTCAGACGGACTTCGACACACGGGCACAGGCAGACAGACGGACGGACGGATAGACGGCCGTCGGACAGGCGTACAGACAGAGAGACCAAACGATGGATAAGTACTTGAAGTACCTGCCAGCCCTCGAAGGGAGCTCGTTGAGAGACGTCCCGTATTTTTTCGTGAGGAATGCGAACCCTTTAGTGGAATGCGGCAACTGCCCCACCCAGTTCATCTTCTCTACTTCAGAAGGAAAATACGAGAGAGAAATCCGTCGCACGCGCGCGTCTACTCACGCACGCACGAGCCGATTATTACGTCAAATAACTCGGGAGAGGCGTACCTACTACTACGAGCTCCGGCCGTAGGTCGTCAACCGAAGTCGTCAATGATTGTTGTTTTCGATCGATGATGGAATAGCTGCACGTGATCGACCCTGCCTGTGTCTACTTATGCTTCGGCTATTTTCTGCCGGCAGTGATGACGAGTCCCCCTGATTTTCAAAACGAAGACCACTGCATGGACACGGTCTAGTAAGGGATATTCCGGAACGGGAACGATTCGGGAGACGAAAATAACGAGAGAGCCATCTCCCGAAGGGTGCCCGGCAGTTTCGGGAACGGTGCAAAACTCAAATTGAGGCCTCCTGTCGACCGCCATTATTCAGTTTAATCGATTTATTGACTGCGGTACATTGCGTCTGAGCGGAAGCGACTGGCAATGGAAAGTAGTCGCGGGGCGGCGGCACAACTTCTTAGGTATTGTTTTGAGCCGGCCTCAAAGAACTCCGTATACAAATAGACCTTTGATCGGCGAGCTCGACCGGTAGGTAGGTAGGCAGACAGGCAGGTCGATCAGTCGGTCCGTCGGTCGCTCGGTTGGTTGGTTGGTCGATCGATGGATCGGTCGGCCAGCCGGCACGCTGGCTGGCTGATTGCTCAAACTGAGTGAGTGAGACAACACGGAGGCGGAATAGAATCAATGCGCAAAAATGAGGAGCACCGCTTTTGATCAGAAGCTTTCACGACTTCATACGTCCGAGGCGCCGCTCGGCCCAAATTCAAAGAGCTCTCGGTCCGTCGATATTGGAAGTCATCCACCGGACGGGATTGGAATCCTTCGATCTCGTTCCGACTGAGCCAATAACCCTCAGCAAAACACTCGAACCTCATAGGATTGGCGTCGTCGTCATCATGGAGCGACGACGACGACGATACCTGAGGTAGACTCGCCGTCAGACCAAGCCACGGATCGACGGACAGACGGACGGACAACCTCTCCACAGAAGATTCTTCTCTCCTGAGCGACAAAGAGCGCCGAGCCCGGAGGCGGTGCTTCCGTAGTCTCCCGTATAAATGAGCCTCTCGCCGAAACGAGCTCCATTCGAGCTTTTTTAGGCTTCCAAGCGTACGCACTTGTCGTTGTTGTCCTACCTTCTGTGGTTTCCGTATTCGTGGGAGGGAAGTTCAAGGACAGGAGTCCACGGAGCAACTTGAAGATTTCCAGAGTGCAACCTCTCACCGTCCGTCAACGAAGATGATGTCGAAAACTCTCTCCCGAATCCCTGCGATTTTGGCCGCAGGCTTCGTCATCTGCTCGATTTCGGGCCGAGTCTCCGCTAAGCGTGTCCAGTTCCAGGAATGTGGTGAGTGTCCCCTCAAAAATCCTCTCAGATTCCCCTCAGACACGGCCGGAGTCTCTGATGAGAATATTGCATAATTTCCCTCATGTAGGTACGTAGACTGGATTCCTCCCGAAGTCGAATATTTCGCATTTTTTATTCATTGGGTAGTTTATTGTTCCTAGACGTCAAGACGGCGTGCCTCCGCTGAAGGATCTCGCCAATAAATAAATTCGATCATTCCTAAATGCTCAGAGATGGAAGTCGATACGTTTTTGAGCTAGAGGGATCGCCTGATTCGACGCAACAATCGAATGATAAGGCGTCTGGATGGTTTTCGTGAAGCCGGGGTTGATGAAGCTGTACACTGCAGGAGAATCTGCGGCCACGCTGACAAGAGGAGTTCCGCGGTACGAGATAGTTTTCTGAACTGCGGGAGCGGCGGCGTAGGTCGCGACGGGAGCGGCTCCGTAAGAAATCCTCTTCTCGACCACGGGCACGTGGTAAGCGATGGGAGCGGAGTACTCTATCGTTTTATGGATCACAGGACCAGCATACGTGAGAGTCGTGGCTGGAGCAGCATAGGTGATGGCGGGTATCGTCGAGATCGTTTTCGTGGAATACGAGGACGCGGAGGAGGAGGGCGAGGCGATGGTCTTCACGAAACCTGGAGCCGACACGGTGTTGACACGAGAGATCGGAGCGTGGTAGCTGTGGTAGTTTCCGTAAGCATCGCTGACTCCGAAGTTGGTTGTGAGGACACCTCCCACGGCGCAGGTTGCCAAAGCGGCTACGGAGAAGACGGTCTGAAGGCAGAAGAGAATTCTTGTGAGAACTCGGCGCTTGAACGGCAAATGATGGCCGTATGCATCCTCAAGGTACTTCCGAGTTCATTCGGAGAGAACTCACCAGAGCGTTCATGTTGGAAGAAGAGTTGTTCCGAAGTGATGCTCTGTCTGGACCTCGAGCGCCATTTTATACGGGAAAAGACGCTTCGCTCTTCTCCATGGAACTATTGGAGAAAGAATTCTTCCAACAAGTTCATCCAAGGGATGAGAGCGAGAGTATCTTGTGGCTTCATCCTGGCACGTGCTTCACGTGGGCTGGGTCCCAGAGTGCCTTCGAGCCCGGTGACCTCGTTGGATCGATAAGCAGGCAGCGCGAACGGCAAGGATAGCCGGGATAAACAAAAAAAAAAGTAATGCTCTTCGATGTCATCGAATTCACCTCCACGCATGCATCGAAGCGTTCAAGAGGATCCAGATAAATCTTCCAGAGCGACCGGTGCAGACCGCGGACCGTTAGCGGCTCATCGCAGCCGTCCGTAAGCCGTCTTTCAGACAGTTGATACAAAAGCTCTCTGCGGAGTGATCACCGGATTGATCCGGAGGCGACGCGGCGGTCTTTCAAAATGACGGCAATACCTGCAACGATATTGTCCAGAATTTGTTGCATTTGACCGCCCGTCCGCTCGTTGGTCGGACACGTTGTTACTGTTGGCTGTCTTATGTTCTATGTTCCATTTGATGGGAACTGACACAACAACAATCCGTAGTACGCGTTGATGTTGAACGAGAGCCGCAACTTATTGTTCATATAGTTACATAAGAATAAGGAAAGCCCGCGAATCTTTGTTGTGATTTTCATTCCGTGCCATTTACAACTGGTCACCCGGTGACCCTTGGCTCGCTTTGACAAACGTGGCCCCGCTCACTCAGCCGACGCCATCTCGGCGTTTGGACCCACCGCAAGCAGCTGCGAAAGCCGAACTTCATCAAGTCATCTAGCAGCTGGCAATTTACTCTGGGATTCTAAATTTCGAGAGTTTGCCCCTGGGTTGTCGGTTTCCATTTCGGGAGTTCCATCCGTCGGGAACACCTCAAAATATACTCAATAATATCATAATGTATCAACGGGTAGGATGTTTCCTTTCCACGGTGCATTAATCGATCGCTATCTGTCTCTATGTACATAGCTCGCTCGTTTGTCTGACGGAGCGTTTATCTGCGGGAAAGCGAGTCAGCCGTTCAATCGGTTCGTGTCCGATTTCTTCAGATTAGAAACACGATCCTCCCAGAAGTGGTCTGGAAAGTACCATAGATATCGGTCGCATTTACGGTCTTTTATTGAAGAGTCGCTGACCTCATTCCCGAATAACGGTAGATCATCATCATCCAATAATAATTAGAATTATCGTAGATTTGATGAGCCCGTGCCGGAATCCATTTTTTGGAGCTTTATCTAGAACTGTCGTTCCGTCAGTTAGTCCCCGACTCGATTGGATGGGTGGCCCAGTCTCCTATCACTGTGAGCATTAGCCTATGCATCGAATAGTTCCCCACCTAAAACCGTGTTCTCCATTCTTCCCCAGGTCCTGAGAGAAATGTTATCGCCGTCAATGTTTCCGGATGCATTGTTCAACCTTGCCGATTTGCCACTAATAGCAGCGTGACTTTTTCCCTCTTAGCGAACGCAAGTAAGTGTCACTTGGAACAGCGACAAGCTGGTTGAGATCGGAGTAGATAGTATCAGATTTTCTTCGGGAATTCGGCGACTCATTTCGATTGTTCTACTCTTAGCACAAGCGTCCTCCTCGGTCAACCACGAGGTTCGGAGTTACATAAACGGACGAGCTTTTGGCCTGCCTCAACCCTCAGTGAATGCCTGCGCTGATGGCTTGGTGCAACCAGACTGCCCAATCAGACCCGGTCAGTTATATCGTTTCGTTCAAACGATCACCATCCAGGATAGCCTTCCCACCGTGAGTAGATACCCCGCTGTTTCTCTCCTGATCAGCTTGCAATGTCAGCTGTCTGATCGATGCAATGAGGATCCATTTTTCGTTTGCCACGCATGGAAACTAAGAGAAACTATCGACAGGTCCCGACGACGCTGCAGTTTCTGATTAGAGGCGACGAAGGAGTTGTTCTCGCCTGTGTTCGGATACACTCTCTGATAAGTGATCCTCACGAGTTTTAACCACGGCCCCGCGGTTGCTGCATTTGTTCCGAAAGAACCCGCTATGTGTACATATTTAAATAGATGAAGGATGAAATTGTAAATATTAAGCGCCCAGATTAAATAAAGTTGATTAAAGTTGTTTGAAGTCTGAAATTCTCGCTTGTCTTCGCTGTTTGCTCTTCGTCGCGAATTTCGCCCCCAGAACGACAAGTGGGGTCTGGCTGCGTTTGGCTCGCAGAATTCTCGCATTATCCATCCTGATGAAGCTTGGCGCCTACGACGAGATTTTCGGACGGCCTTCCGCTCCACAATCTAATATCTTGGATGCAGCAACAGCAATCTGCGACTTCAGTAATGGCGCTCAAAGTTCATTCCCACGCAACTGTCACGGTCGTTGTGAGGTGAGAAGCTTTCCCAAAGCAGAGCCAACCTCTCTTGAACATGTCCTCAACCTCTCGCTGAGCATTGAAGCTCATTGAAAACGCTCTGAGAAAATGAGGTGGATTTTCGGGTGAGAATCGAGACTAGAGCTCTAGCATTCCCTCCCCGATATCGGTCCGAGGTCAAGTTGTCTTCCTGGACTGTCTCAATCGACGGAGCTACTCTACATATCATTTTGGGACTCGACCGAACAAAAGCTATTGTTTCTCATCAGTCGAAAAGCCGCAAGGACCGATTCTGCTCGGAACGTAAGCATCTCCGTTTGGCGAAGCCATTCCAGGGAAGAACTAATCGTTATGGATGATCCCATACGGACTTGAACGACCAAGCTTCTGATCGCGTGCTTGGATTCTGATGAGCTTCGAAAAGAACTCGACAGAGAGATGAATGGGCTCACAGTATCTCGAGGAAGCGTTTCCGCGACAGCCGGCGGTAGGTTCTGGGTGCGCGTACGGGCTTCCAGGATCCAATGGGACCGTCGATTCCGTTCCTCAGGTGCCAATGATCCCAGGATCTGTATCACTTACGAAAAGCGTGAGACCTTGTCTGCGATGTATGGATTTTTTCTCTGGAGCAATCGACTCTGATCGGGGCCTGATCGATCGGAATCGAAGCCGTCGTGAAGAGTGATTCCTCTGAAGGCGGATTGAGAATCACAGCGGGCGACCTCGCCGCGTCTTCTCCATAAAAGTGTAAAACTCAATACTGCGACGTAATAGCATCAGAAGAAGACAATGGCATTCTAATCGGAGTTCGCACGCTTCTTGACTAAGTAGTGCACACGCATCTGGAATCGCCGCCAAGGTATTCCAGCTTTACGGCCGGCGACAGTGCTGGGCCAGCTGGCGACACGAGTGACCGGCGAAGAAGTCGACAATTAAAAAACAGCAAGTCAACGGAATCCGCAATGACACAAAGAAGAGGACAACGCGGTAACAAACAGCGATCATTCATATTTCGAATCCTGAAGCCGAAGACCTTCAACTCCGCGAGCTGTTTCCGGCTCGGACACGATTCTGGATGGGGAAGATGTCTGAATTTTCTGAAAATATCGCAGTATTGTTTGGATGATAAGCTTTATCCAGCTTCTCACACGACAAGCACCACCGCTCGCTAATAACGGTCGTGGGTAATGGTAGCTTCTTATCCTTGTCCATTTTTCGACACGATGGCGGAACTCGCTCTCTTTTGTGGAACTAGAACTCGATTGGTTCTGGGCTGAAGAAATCAAGGCTCCTACTGCTGAAGCTTCCGAAGATTCCATCTCCGCATCATTTCGATCGCAAACTCCGCTCCGAAGAGTCGCTCTCCGCCGAGGAGACGGGTTCTCCTCCCGTACGGTTCTCTGTCAGTTTCGTAGAGTCGTAGAGCTTGAATAATATGCTAAGACAGCTTACAAGTTTCATCAGCTGCTCAGGAAGATTTTCGCGCCGTGCTGATAAGGAAGAAACTTGATGAAGATGATGCAAATTAAGATGCCGTGGACAAGGAATTTGTCATGAGGGTTTAGCAACTAGAGAATCGCGATGAGCGCGTACCGCGAAAATGGCTCTGGGGCCGGGTCCATTCTTGAGCTTGGAACAAAAGAGCCGCAGCTTACATAACGTCCAGTCGACGCTCACTTACTCATTTCACTCAAATTCGTAATCCTCACCGGCTCACCGACTGACCGACTAGAGGGCCGAGCTCTGCTTCCCCGACATCGCGTCGCATCTTTTCTGCATCGGTCCGCCGGCGGATGAATAATTACGTGTGTCAGCCGTTCAAGCAGCCGATTGATTCTCGGGGTCAGACCACGAGAGCGATTGGGTAGTTTTCCGCTCCTAATTGTCCTCCCGCCCACCGCAGCGAACTGAAGACAAAAAGATTATGTCACCAAGCAAGTAACCATCGTCCACGTCGGAATCCGACTGTTCGAGCGAACCATTTCGACGACCGAAGCTCGCTGCTTCTGCCCGACAAATGTCTCGTTGGCTGAACAAAGGCAAACGAAACCTTGGTCTCAATTGAAGAACCGCTCCAGCAGCTGCCCCTGCTCTTCAAACTGGTCGCAAAACGGCCAACATGGCGACCGAAACTTCACGTTTGACGCGCCGAACACTGGTCTGTGTGTACATGAGAACAGCAGTGAAAGAAAACAAAAGCGAACGATCCGAGATGCGATTCCAGCCGAGGAGCGGTGACAGTATACCGACGGGGGCGTTATGAAACGAAAGGCGAAAACCGTTCAGAAACAACAGGGGAAGGCATTTATGTCGTGAAGAGGAACGTGGCCGACTTCGACGGGAACAGAATGTCATAATCCTCGGTTTCCGTCGAATTTCGTCGGACCGCATGAGCCACGTTCCTACTTTTCATTCACAGACCACAACGATCAAACGACGGGCACAAGCGTCCACGACTGACGAAGAAGATCCGATTCGGAGGTTTCCCCGGGCCAGCGACAGAAGCGATCCGAAAATCCAGTCAATTCTTCGACATGACTCCCCCATTGTCTCCGAGAGCGTTGACGAGCTGTGAGCGGAGTTCGTCAACCGTGAATTTCTTCAGTCTGTCGCTGTGCCTCCTCTGAGTCTGGATGTCGTGATAATGTCTGTTCACGATGACGCTGCCAGATTTGAAAATCTTCATCTCGACAGCGAAAGCTGGAATGAGGTTCGTCGCCGGCGGGAACAACTTCAGAAACTTGTTGATGGCAAAGAGTTCCTCGTAATCAGTTACATGGAACACGATATTGTACTGAGGGTTCTCCAGGTCCTTGAGTCTGTTCTGTAGGTCGCGGAGGAATTCACTCGCGAGCTGGTACTCGAAACCTTTGACGATCTCCCTGACTACGGCATTATAACAATAGATGATATCCTTGATTTTCGCCCATCTCGGAAGCTTATCACCAGCCGACCAGAAGAACTGAAGCAAATCCATAATGTTCGATCCGCCTTTCAGATCCTCGACGTAGACGCTATCCTCGGCTTTGCGGTTGAGGTAACGAACGAATGAGGCGGCGTTCCGATTTCTGCACGGTACGGTGTAAAGATTGGCCTCATTGTGAGCCGCCATCTGATTCCGAAGGTTGTATCTTTTCATTCGATCATCGTCGGAAAGTTTGAAGTTTGGCGTCGCCGTCAATCGCGTGAGTCCATAATAGCCGATGTACATTTGTTCGGCCGACAGAAGAAGGTTCGAAACCTGAGGCGCGTGAAACACCGATCGGGAACAGCGCGTGCTGTGTTCCTGCGCCAACGCTTGAGCGATTTTGATGATTTTCTTTGATGCGTAGTCTCCGATACGGTGCTGATAGTGGACCGTATAGAAGCGTGACTGCAGAGCTGGCACTACAAGAGAGCTATCCCGTCCTCGGGTGAAATTATGAGACATTGGGAACGGCACCCGGATCGCAGGAGTGAAAAACACCACGCTCAGCGCGAGATTCTTCTCGGGCATCTGCTCGACCACCAGTAACTCCTTGTTTATCAAGTCCGAGAGGATCAGAGCGAATCCGATCATTATTGTCGTGTAAACGAGTTTCCTGCTCGTAGGCACTGCCGATGACTGGATCAGAGCGTTCACTGGTGCGCGCAATAGCTCGAGTCTCATCCATTTCGAGCTCGGCGGCGCAGTATCACTCAGAATTTGCCGGGAGTCGTCCATGTGTCGATTTTTCCCAGGAAATCTCGTCCGCGCGGACTATACCTCTGAGAGATCCGCAGTCTAGAGCCACCGAACGCAGGAGGACGGAGCCATGCGGCGAAACCGAGCACAAAATATTTCCCGCGATACGAGACTGTTTCGAGCGGAGTACAAAGAGCACTGACCGAGACAGTCGAATCAATCAGGAAGAGCGAGAGTGTGCCTTAAGTTGCTCAGAGAGAGGCGTGAGACGTATCGCGTGAGACATGGCTGACCAGAATATACCTTCGGTGAGTTTTCAACTCAGATATTCGGTACTACTTGATGAGTCGATACAGAGGTCGAGAAGCGTCCCAAGGTGTTAGAAAGATTCCGTTGTGGACGTTTTCCAGAATTTCACCTCGCTGCTTCGTTGAACTTGACGCCCCATCCTATCGGTAGCATTGGGCTCTCACCGGGTAGAAGACGAGATGAATGCTGAAAAAAATTGCTATTGCTGAAACCTCAATGTTAGCCAAATGCGGAGCGGCAGAAAAAACTCACCCATAAGACATCATATAGAAGACGGTGAGCATTAAGTGATCACTTGTAGAGCGTTCGCCCGCCCTCTTGCCGGCTCGCAGGCCCGTTCATCTGTCCCAAGTTTCAGTGGCAAACCTTGTGATACACTTTTTCCCCCCCACAAAAGCTCCTTGATGGTGAAGAACACCATCAGCAGCAGCCGCCGCCAAAATAATATAGCTGCCGTGTCAGAAGACGAACCGAAGAATTCTTCGTCTCCTTCTTTTAGAATCGAGGGTGACTACTAAGGAAAGGTCAACTTTTGTTCGCGGGAAGCCCGTCCGAAGACCGAACATTCCGGATCAAAATCAAATCGCGGGGCTTCCTTTAGTCACTGCTATCATCAATCGAAAGGGGACTTGATTAAACGCTACGCTGCCGAGGACATCCTCCTTCAAATGCAGCCGACACTGCATTTGGCAGAACGTCGATTCAGAAATAGCTCGTGAGAAGGCTTCATGAGGAGCTATTGCCGAGGAAAACCGAGATTCGAGTCATCATACGTGGTTGTTTGGTCCTCTACCCAATCACCCAGCCGAGAACTCCGCCGAATTAGAATGAGTCCAGTGTCCGGGTACCTGCCGGAGGATATCTTCGCGCACCTAGCGCTCTGGTCACAAGAGCGAGACATTTTTGAATCCACCAAGTTAGTTTCCGAACTTTCGAAACCCTGGATCTGCATGAGTGTGAACACGGTTTTGTAGGATGAAAAAAAATTATGTATGACTCAATGAATGCCCAAACTTCCCCTCATGTCGAAACGTCGCCGGGGTTTTTAGCCTAGCGCCAGCGCCTGACTCGACAAGCAGGCGCCGCCGCCAACTCAATTCATGCTTCAGAAATGCTCTGGAAGCGACGTTTTTATGAAATAAATTGTCAAATCTTCCGAGCACCAGAACGAACTACCGATGAACTAATGCAACGAATCAACGGCCGACACCAGGCGATGATTTCAGCAAGGTGAAAACCCACGCATCCTCACAAAAAACATCAAATTTGGGACGCATGCCATTTTTGACGACGGAGGTATAATTTGGGACTTCTATCATAGCCCAACTCTGGCGATTCCCATGAAAACCACGCCGTGCCGGCCGCGCTTTCGGAACAGTAGATACTGTTTTCACGCGAAGGAGAGCTTTCTCAAATGTTAGCGTAAGAAAAAGGGATGATCGTCGCTACGTAAGCATTATGGACCTGAATCTCGCGTGAACTTAGGTAACAAGGTAAATGAGCTTGACGAAGTGGATTGCCGAATAATTAATCTCACGACCACGACGGCATTGACTGTTCCGCGACATTTCGGCCATGGCTGATGAACTACAACGTGGTCTGGGGGGGAAACTTTTCACAGATCTCCCAACGGTCACCCACTCGAGGCTTCACCGTCGTGAGCGAAGTCAGGCAAGGAGAGCCGTATCGTACGCTCAAGGCGAGCGCGGATTCAAACTTTTCTCCAGTAGCTCAGGGTGAAATTCGGTGCGGTTCCTCGACTTCGAATACCCAACCGGAGATCATTCAGCGTTGAAATATTGGGACTTCCGAGAGAAAAGAGCTTTCACGAGAATGAGTCCACGGATGAGAGGCTGGCCCGTGAACGACAGAAGTTTTCCGCGTCGACGGATGGCTGCGGATAATTGGAGTGCGGGGGCCGTGTCATTGAGTCTGATTCTAGTTCCACGGATATGTGCGTAGTATTCGTCTCAAGTTCGCCATGGCGAAACGGCCAAGAGCGAAGGAAAAATCGTCCGTCATCCCGCTCGAGTGAAAGGCATCAAACGTTCTCGTTCGCGCTGTCTTCCTATGTATAGCATGACAAGCGGTCAGACAGCGATTTTAACGGTGGAATACTCGCTTATTATGTTGTTAAGTTCCTCGCCTCCACTTTCTTACATCAGTGGCATGCGGCACAATAAGCGCCGCTGACTACCGGACCCGCGAAAGTTTCTGGACGATGTCTGGCGGTCGGGACGCGCGCGCGGACTTCGTGACATTGTGGGCTGCCCCTTCCCGCTCATCCTGGGAAGGTACGGAGGGCTTTAAAACGACCAGGGACCGCCGCATGGATGCGACTCGACGGTCAGCTTCTCGACGGATCTTCCTAGCACAGCAAGCATGTTCAAGGTACTGGAAGACTCTTCTGTGCAACTCAATGATGTGCTCTGAGGATACCCAAGCAGGATATTTTGTGTGATGTGCCAGTGTTGAGCATAGAGAAAGCTCAGTCCCATTCATTGAAACCCCGTCTCTTCCCGGAACTTCGGCATCGATTATAGATTCGGTTTATAGATTCGATTGCGCGAGGGGGTCCCGCGGAAGCTTATTCCTCTAGTTCAAGGTCTGAAGTTTTTTCTTAAAAAGTAAGCTAACCGCATCGCCTAATTGATACTTAGGCCCTCGTGCTCTCCGCCGCGTGCTCGGCTGCTCTGGCTGGTCATCATTATGCTCCAGTCTACGCAGCGAGACCCCACCATTACCAACCCCTGTACGCGGCTGCCGATGACGTCAAGGAGGTTCACGCAGAGCCGGTCTACGCACCACAGCCTTACTCGTTCGGATACGATACGGTCGACGAATACGGCAACAAACAGTTCCGCCAAGAAACCTCGGATGCCAGCAATGCGAAAACTGGCTCTTACGGGTACACTGATGCCAACGGGATCTACCGTCGTGTAGATTACGTCGCGGATGCCGCTGGTTTCCGAGCCACCATCTCGACCAACGAGCCCGGTGAGTTTTCGACTGCTCGGAGAGGACCCGAAAAGTGGATTCTGGGTCGGGGTCTGAACTCTGCTTCTTATACTCCCTTCCAGGTACGAAGGCCGGACAGTCAGCTGATGCGATTTTCAACGCTCCGGATGGAGTCAAAACAGCGACCCCGGTAGTCAAGGCGGCGTCAGCCTACCTCGTACCCACCTACGTCAGAGCCTACGCTCCCGCCGTGAAGCCCGGGTACGGCTACGGATACCGCAAGCGCGCTTGATCGTGTTGAGGCCGTAAACTTATTTATATGAAAACCAATGAATGTAAATGGGGAAGAGAATGCCAAATTCGTCCTTTTTCGATTCGGCCGACTGCGCCGCAATTTTCCCATCTGGACTTGATTTCTTTGTACATACAAACGTCTTGCTTGGGGAAACTTGTCGCGACCCAGGGAATTGGCTCTGGAGAAATCGGGAAGAACCAAATTTCGCTGAATCGATTTATGATTCTCATAAAGATGTGACACACGAGGATGCCATGGAACAAGCTGTTTTCAATAAAGGAAAAAGGTGCCAGTTGGAACGAATGGTCGTCACCTGTAACGAAAGAGTCTCCGAGGATGGGTTTCTGGAGGAGAAGCGGAGTGGACGCATTCCAGCCGCATTTGAATCAGCCCATTGAACGATGGCTTCGCACAATATTCTCAGGGCTGCGGCTCGTCGCGGCGTCCGTAGTCGAGCATGCCCAGCGGCGGATAAAAGCATATCTGAGGGATTTGGAATGCTCAATTATCTCTCATAAGGAATTTCGAGGGTAACCAGAATTCAGCATGTTGAATTTCTCCCGAGAACTGATATCGACTACGATTTCAGAGCCACCGATGCATCTCTCCATTGGTGATTGATGGCACTTCTGGGCTGAGTCAGAAACGATTCTTGCAGAGTCCCGGATACGTGGGGTTGGGGGAGAATCCTCCCCATGGACTACTCGCCGGTCCAGACTCTGCGAAGTCTGCGACCGTGGGGGCTGTACGATTCGAAAAAAGCCGCCACATGAGCAGACAGCTCATCGCTTGTTTTCAAATATCTCGAAAGAGGCTTCTTTCTCACTCTCTTCATCGTCTTCAGAACAGTCACAACTGCGGTCGGGAGAACTTCATCGGTAAGTTATTACCACATTTCTGGAGATTCCTTTCAGCTCATGGTTTTGATTAATGCATCATTGATCAATCCGAACAGTTCCGACGTCTTGGGCACGCTCATGACTCCAGGGAAACGCTAGCCGTGACTTTTCTAAGTAAAGGGGGCTCACTTCCTCTCTCAGGGAACCTGCGGAACTTGCGATCTCTACATCGACGAATTAGCGCGTCGCGAGATGAATCAAGAACTGAGTAACCGCATCCGGCAGAAGCTCGTGGCGACAGGGGAGGAGGAACGTCTCAAAGAATTGCTCAAAACAAGACTCCTATCAAGCGGATGGAGAGACGAACTCAGTGCTGTGGCCCGTGAATACCTCAAAGCCAAAGGTAAGACCCACCGATCCCGGTCGAAAACGTAATCCGCTCATCCATGCCCCGTCCGGTCAGCAGAATCGAACGCCTCCGGCCCTATATGTGGGCAGTCGATCGGCCGACCTACGCATGCGTACAGTCTCCTGGAGCGCAGCTTCTTCCGCCCCCTCATAAAGAAATCCTGGGAGTCGGATCCTCACGCTGCCAAATCTTCCCTAGGTGTCCAGCATGTAGACGTGGAGGAGTTGCAGAACGTACTCTTGGTCGAAGCTCGGAAGTCGATTCCGGATACCGTGAAAAAGGAACTCCTCGTAGAAATCCGTGACTTTGTGATGCAGCACGAGGGAATTCTCTGAGCAGTCAGCTCGAATCTTGATCTCTCGATTTTCATATGAGATTTCGCCGAATCGTTGAAATATTCCACCACGAAAATCTGTGGTTTGACTCCTGTCGAGTAGGTGTGAGCGAATATTTGTGCCGTCAAACTATGTAAATAAACAAACATGAGTCTGTTGAGACGCATCTTCTTTGTAGTCTCTGAAGTTTCCCGAGACAAATGTCTCTCTGCGTAATACTAAAGCTTCTCCTGCGGTCATACGTGAGGAACATCATAAGTCAGTAAGGACTCATCCCAAGCTTCCCCTGTTCCGAGTCCGGAATCAGAAACTGCCGCTCCCGAGGTATGATACAAGTTTTGTTCCGTTTCCATTTCATTCGTCGGTTTTGGAACCACACTTTGACCTGCAAGCGAAGAGCATTCGGAAACGATCGTTAGGAGCGCATCCAGAAAGCGTGGCGTGGAAACACGCTACAACGAGTCTGAATTCCTACCTGTCTCTCGGAAAGTTGTAATGACTGGGCTATTTCGAATCTTCTCAATCGGGTCAGATAATTATGTTTCGAAAACTCTTCCTCGAGAATTCTCAGTTGCGATTTCGTGAATGCTGTCCGCTCCTTCCGAGATCTCGATCTCTCGTCGTTGAGCTCACCGTCACTCACGGAGTCTGCGTTCTCGATTGAGCTCCGCGATTCTGACTCTGGAAAACGATCATGAGTCGACATCGAGATAATCCGGCAGCCTCGATTTTCGTTATAATTCCTCCCTACATTCAATGAATGCTCGACTGCCCGATCGCTCGAATCTGACCTGACGTCCGGACACAGACCTTGGTTGATTTTCCTTGCTGCGAAGGCTGCATTAACATCGTCGACTTGGAGTATACGGTCAGCACACGGTGGCGCTTCGTCCACGCATTGCACGAAATGCTCGTCCGGCAGATTGTCCAAATGACTGAGGATTCCTTCTATCTGGGGATCCGTGTACCACTCGTCCTTGTAGGTATCAGACAGTCTCGTGTTGACTCCGTCATCATCCCTCGGGGCTTGCAGCGTCTCAAACCATTCCATGGCTGGAGCTAGAGCGTCTACGGAAGATCGGCATCATTAGAGATCCGGACGGATTTCTCCGCGCATCGCAAAGAGGCACTTGAGGAGCCCGAGATGGAAGACCGACAGGCTGAATCCGGAACACGATGCTTATACACACAACAACATTCGCGCGGAGCTGCATCGAATTTGAATAGCTCGCCGAGACTGGGACTTGGGTTGGCGCTCTCTCGGAGAAAGAAATCTAACGAAGGTTCCGAAGCTCGTCAGACTTTCTACTTATCTTCCCTCATCGCGGACAGATCCCCGTTCCGTTTCATGGATCAACTGAGCATCACGTCAAATCGGCCTCGATTCGGGAGATCCGATGCGGAGAGTCGTTCTGGGGTTCAATGGTGAGGTCTTCCCGTCGAGCATCTTTCTGAATCATCCGGTCATTGGCAAACTGTGCATATACATACGAACAGTGTCTGACTCACTTTGAGGAGATTACGCGGTCGACATACACGATCGGCGACGGAGAGAAGCCGAATGGGAGTCAGATGTCTTGGCGACATGGGGACCTTTCCCATGTGGAAGAGATCCGTGCCGGGCAAGAACCGAGACGGGCTGGAGGCGGATCGGATAATCGTCACAACTCGGTGCGGAGCTCACTGGTAGTCGGAAGGGAGAATCTCGAGTGGGCTGAGTCTTCGCCTGGACTTCGGAAGCGAAGAAGAGACTCGCAGATTGGGCTTCCTGAGCCGAGAGTTCGGCACATTTCGTCCGGCCCAGATTTCCGGGACTAAGGAATCCACGCCCCAGATGATGTCGCGCCTTCGGGATATTTTATTTGAGAATGGCTTCCGATTCAGCAAAGTTTCGGTGAATCAGGGATCTAACGGATAAAACGAGGATCCATTCTGGTCGCCGGAGGGCCGATAGCCCATATCTGCCATGTGCCAAAAAGAGTTGGGGAAATCGACCCTCGCTCGGAAAAGGCGCGCTTTTTTATCGGAAGAGAAGCTTGGGCGTTTCGTCGTGACAGCGCGTTCCTCTGCCCACTCAGCACATGGCGATCGACCCACACAGCTCGGAGCGGCGGAGAATCCTCTCGGCTCGCAGTCTCCGAGAGTGAGCTCCGATATTGACATTGTTGGCGGACAGAGGATCGTCTTCCATAACATTGCAGAACAAGAATCGAACCAGTTGACCAACCATAACCCTCGAAGTGATAGCTGCGTCGTGAGGGAGCGCCTCATGGAATTTTTCTAGCGAATCTATAACTACATGTCTATACTGGTTCAAGGATAGGATAAATCTGGAGATAAGCGAGAGGCAGAGTAAAAAAGAAGAACGGTCCGAAGAAGGGTGATCTCGGGCCAAGAAATATTCCACTTGATAGTATCGATCATCAATCATAAGCGGAGGCCTCCTTGATCGTAGATGTCGTTCAACATGTACTCCACAAGTTCGTAGAATAATCTTTGGATCCGTCTATATGCCCAAAGACTCGATAAGACGGAGGTTTGTGCTCAACCGGACGGCTAAATTTTCTCCGAGAAATTTCCGAATTACCGACGAGAGCTGGATGATTTAGGCCTCGGAGTTCAGCGCAAGTCCCTCACCGGAGTGACTAGCCCCAGGAGCTGCATGGAATGGAACTGTCTGGTTGAGGAGCCGACTAGCACATGTTTTTTTATTCTTCATCAAATCGCTCGCGGAGCAGCATGGATTCGATTGGAAGATGGCCCGGCACCGCTCGTGGCCGTGGCAAGCATTCGAATCACGTTCTGCGATTATTTTTTCTTCGGTGGTATCTCTAACGGGAACTGCCAACAACGCAAGGTCACATTGGTTGGGATTCACGCGTAAGTAGGTAGTTATTCTATTCGAAATCGAAGGCGTCGATGGAATTGACGGTCTGCTGTTTAGGATGCGGAACGACGTCGAGAAGCTGCTGCGGCAGAAGCGGCACCAGCAGCGATGGGCACAGGCGCTCGGGCAACTTCAAATGGAAATTGAAATGAGAAAAACGTTGCTTTTTGATAGATGACGCGAAAATGCACTCACAGCATGAATCTGCTCAGGAATGCACACGCAATGCAATGTTGCGAAAAGAAAAGAAAAAAGCGAAAGATCAAAATTCTAGAACTGACTTGGTGTTCCTTGGCCGATGGATTCGGGGAATGGCCCACCGTAGGCTTGGATGGCGGCGTCGGGACCAGATGGGGCGGAGGAAATGTACACGGCATCGGCGGGGTTCTTCGATTCGGTTCCCAATTCGTTGGTCTGAATTTCGGGATGGAAACCGCTCTCGTCGGCGGTATATGTCACGTGACGCTCACGGCCGTCGGCCAGCCGGAGGAAATAGTTTCCTTCGGCGCGGGAAACTCCGTCGAACTTCTCCGAGTGGCCGTGTTGCCCCTCTTCGTTCTCGGACGTGTAGGCGTACTCATACGGGGTGGGTTGCGATAGATCATCGTACTGCTGGACCGTCGCACGTTGCGCGACTCGGATTTGCTGTGCGGCCTGGAATCGGAAGAGTATTCAGGAATCACGGTGAGCAGAAATTCGATGGAGCAGAAGTTCCTGTCAGAAATCATTCATCAAGTCTAGGCGTATGTCATCCCACTCACAACACCGGCGACGAGAACGGCGAATGTAACAAACTGGAAAGGTACATATATTTTCGTTTAGAGGTGAGATTGCTTCGGAGGCGAATTGCTGAGATGTGTCGAGAGCTAGTAGCTGAACCAATCCCTCCAACTTACGATCTTCATGATGGTTTATGTTGACTTTGATGACATTCGACCGGCTTTTTATACGGTAGCGGCGACAGAATCACAGTGGAGGGTTCAAGTCTCAATTTAGCCAGACGACAAGTAATCGGACAGCTGATCGACTGACTGAACTACGTGACTGAGCTGAACCAAGAGACACTTCTGCTAGTTGAAGTCTCGTCGCTGGATCAGAAGATGCCACCACATCCATGTCGACGCAACGTTTTTATCTCCGATATGATCATCAGCATTGGGCTAGTCTACGCAGACAGTTCGTTTCTCTGTCAGTCACAACGATGATGGGACTCATGAATACACGATGATAGGACCGATAAGTAGTGCAAGGTTACCCAGCACTAACCGTATCCAGGAGAGGTTTCACTGATTCTCCGAGCGGCGGAAGACATCCAATCCGACTCGCTGTTTGACCCTCGAGCTCTAGGATGGACGCCGTCGTTCGTTAAGCGATGAGAAAGGTATCCAGGGCGACTCGAGCGATTCCAGAGCTTTTCGTGGTCTAGAGACGCTCATCTCACCGTCGATGAAGTTCCCGACGAGCTTCGTTGAGTCGATGATCTCATTTCGAATTATTCTATCCGAAGTCAGAGTTATCAAGTGGCTCGCCGCCACCTCAGTCCCTCCTCGGAGGGCGAGATGAACATGGGCCATTGGTGAGCGCGTTCCGCGTGAGGGACAAATTTCCGGGTTTTTCCTCGGAGGAAGCAGCGCTGATTCATTCGTTGCCGAGACGGTGAGAACCTGAGCACTGGGTAGGAACGTGATTGGCATCAGATCCATGAGCGGAAAAGACTCTGACGCCGCTGACAGCTATATTCTTGCTCAAGTAGACTTCAGAGACTTTCAGCCGACTGCGATGCAAGTTTCCGACGAAACGCGGGCCAGAAAACTGAGCCCAGGTCTGGTTCTATAGGGGTAGGTTAACCGACGCGTACATCAGATGGCAATACGGGCGTCTACCTGCGGGGATTAGCCGATGAACTCCTCATTTACTCAGAATGAACACTTTCCTGTTAGATCGAAGGAACATAAAAAGGGCTCCACACCTGGGAGACCAACTCAGAACGCAAACAACTCGCAAAAACATGAAGGTATAGTGAATCGTGGCTAATTCCAACAGTCTGGTCAACTGGAAACCTTATTTCCCTCATCAGTCTATCTAGACGAGTGAATATTTGTGTTTCGTGAGAATCAATACGAACTTCCCGACTTACAGACCTACTTGCTCGTGGCTTTCCTCGCGGTCGGTTCGGTGAGTAATCCCCCGATCGAAAAACATCGCTAGCCCACCGTTCCGCTCTTTTTCGTCTCGAAAGTTGTCCCATCGTTTCGCAGAACGAGACAGTTGAGCTCTATGAGCTTAATATGAGCTCAATACCGATTGACTTTCTTCTCGTTCCTCCCTCAGGTCGCCCAGCAGACCGCTCAACAATCGGACGACTTCGCTCAAGAAACGCCATACGAGTACGCCTACACTGCGGAATCCGACGAAGGTTCACACGGCCACTCAGAGAAGTTCGATGGCATCGGCCGCGCCGAGGGCAACTATTTCCTCAAGTTGGCCGACGGACGCGAACGACATGTGTCCTACACAGCGGACGAGAACGGATTCCATCCCGAAATACAGACGAACGAATTGGGAACCGAATCGAAGAACCCCGCCGATGCGATCATCATCTCTTCGGCACCGTCAGGACCCGATGCCGCTATCGAGGCATACGGTGGGACATTCCCGGAGAACTTGAGTCAAGCTCCTGTCAGAACCGCTGCGCCGTTCTCAAACATCCCTCAGGCACCCGCCAACCGTCGCACGAGTCGTTCCCAATGAAACGTTTCTTTGTGAGCGGAATGCACCAACAATTGGCCGGAACAGAATAGCCATAGAATCACCAGAGATGAAATTCTTCGATGGATGGGAAGCTGCATATATTCATTCCTGAGTCAGGACGAGAGATGAGAGCGATACGAAAGGAGATTCCATTGCGAGAAATGAATGAATAAATGCCGATTTTAACTAAATTCGGGTCGCTTCGGGCCAAAAACAACCGCAAATCACCTGTATTGGATTCAACTGTCAGAGATCGATAAAAGAAAAACATGGTAGAGGGGTATAGAAAAAAAGGTAAAGCCCGAGCTCGAGACGAGCTTTTTTTTATTAAAGAGCCTGGGACAGCATCAAGAGCTTGTGCGTACCTAGATCACATTAAATCGCTTAGGATTAGGATCGAATCCGATGCCGAATCGAGCAGTTTATGACCCGGCATCGCTCTGGATTATTTTCGATTTGAGCTTCCTGTGGACCTCGGGATCGTTCAGCTGCTCTTCAGTCAACAGCGAAATCCCGAGTTGGTCTTCCCGGCTGAAAGGTTGCGCCATCTGACGCAGGAACTTCTTGACAACTTGAACGCCTTCTTCTGTGCTGAGATTGCACAACGAGTCTGTCAGATACTCTTGGATCCAACGCGGCAGTTTGCTTTTTTATCGTATCGAGAGAATCTCTTGTCTGCGAACACCATCACGCCGTAGTCGGTCTTGCCTCGAAGAGCTCGGCCAACACACTGCGCGGCGTGCCTCATCGCATCGAAAGTAAGGAATTCTTGCTCTTTAATCTGGAACTGGTCGCGAAGGTACTCCAATCGAGCTCTGAGCACCCGACTCTGGGTGAACACGTACGGAATCCCGAACATGAGGACTGCCCTCCCTAGATGATGGTCGAAATCGACTCCCTCAGAGACTTTCCCTCTGGCGACAGATAGGAGAACCGCTCCTCGACCGCTCTCCACGGCCTTGACGTAATGCAAGAGAGCGAGACTGGTCTCAGCGGAATCCTGCGTTTCGATGAAGAGCAATTTCTTACGTAGAATCTGATCTACGATACCCTGCTCGTACCACAACGCAACGACATTCTCCAGGTATTGGTATGACGTGAAGAAAACCACCAAGCCATCGGGAACGACTGCGCTCATTTCCACAATAAGGTTGCCGTAGTTTCTTATGACGGCGATGTCGTCTCTGTTCTCGTAGCGCGACGATATGGCGACTTGATCGTTGCCTTTGCTGATCACTATGGGGCAGATCGACGGTCTGGCCAAGGTCATGGTGAAGGACGCCATCACAATGGGATGGAAATTCAGGATCTTGGGGTACATTTCCAGAGGCGACAGCGTACCGGAGGTTATGATCACCGACTGAAATCGATGGAAAACGGGCCTTATCGCAATCGAAGCATCCATGCAGCTCAACTGCAGCGTGCAGTTCGGAATGTTCGGTGTTCGATCGTCGTAGGGTTCGATGATCAAAGTGAATCCTTTGGTGTACGTTGAGATCAGAGTGGCAAAATGGCACATTCGAACTAATGGCGAGAAGTTCGCCACGTCCGATATCTCCAACGATCGGAGGAGACTCGACAAGCGCTCAGCGCAGAATCGCAGCGGCTTCCGCTCGATGCAAACCTGCTTGCAGATGTCTTTCAGAAAGGCGGCAGGCGATTCCTGCACGACGTGCTGAGTTCTCATTCGGTGCTTCACGTATTCGTAGAGTCGACGCAAAAACGCGGTGAAGTGCTCGGCGGTCCTTATCGATCCCGGAATGGCCTCCTGGAGGACTTCGTCCGGGAGCACGGGATTCGGCATGATGATATCGGTTTCACGAGCTTGTTGTGCCACGCGTAGGCCGTCTACGAGTTTCTGATATTCTTCCTGTAATTGGGAAGCGTCCGTCTGCCGTATATGGCGCACTCGATTCTCGACAACGACTAGATTCGCGTTGATGACATCCATCATCTTCTTGCTAATGGTGACGCTCATGGAGTCGATGCAAACGTTATCGATATTGTGAGCTTCGTCGAAAACCACAACGCTGTTCGAGTTCAGCTCTTTCGATACGATGTCGGCGATCTTTGGATCGAGCAGGTAGTGGTAACTGTATATGACGACATTTGCGTGCATGATTGCGTGTCGTGCAGTGAAGTACGGACACCAGTGGTGACGCTGACCGTATTCTTTCAAATCATCTATCCCATAGACTCCGGGCGGTAATAACATTTCACGGCCGTGAGTGTCGAAACTTTCGAAAAAAGTGCACGTTTCCTCTCCTTCTTCGCCTCTCTTATAGGCCGAGGTGAAAGCGTAGCATTTTGCGTCGACGACTCGTCCATCTTTCTCCTCTGATATCGCGGGATGTAAGCAGAGATTCTTCCGAGATGTGAGACACAAGCCGAGGATGTCGTTTGAGGAGCTGATGAAGGCCTCTTTTTTGTAATATTCTCGAAGCCGCCTTACTTCTTCAACGACTTTCTCAATTTCAGGCATGGTACGCGAACAATACACCAGTTTGCTGATGACGCTCGGGTAGGCTTTCTGATACGCCAGGATAAGCGAGAGCAGAGTGGCCTGGAAATATATATTAGCGAATGAGTCTTGAGAAAGTACGAAAGAATCTCAGGAAGGGCGGGAAATCGTGTTTCGGACGGGATCTTGATCGAATGGAGAACTCACCGTCTTCCCCGTTCCGGAAGGCATCTCTAGAACTCCATGACCCTTGGCGTCGAGGCATTGTTTGAGCTCAAGCATGTAGCTGTACTGCTCGGGGTAAATGAAGTCGTAAGGGAACAGCACTTCGAGTCCGTCGACGTTCACCTTCATCTTGGCAGACCTTGTATCTTATAGATATGTAGAACCCTCCAATACAACGGCGCCGGCGTTTCGGAGAGAAGTTGGGAAACGGGACGAGGGCCGAGAAAAATCCGTAGTTTCACATTAAGAGAGAACGAGACCGTGCGAGTCACATGAGACAACCACCGCGAGAGTGACACTAGATACGGAGTCTTCGAATGTGTGTTTCTCGCTCCACGCTGCAGCTGACAGGTGCCCGGGGAATGAGTTTGTTTTGATATTTTGATTCCGAAACCAGTGCTCATGGGAGAGGGAAGATTTTTCAAATGACATCTGACCGCGCTCTTCAGATGACCGTCTGACTGAAAACACAGATCATGGGTGTCCAGCTTCTCCCCGACTACTATGCTGAATGCATACCGTTGCGTGATGCCAGGAAAGAACATTGTAGGTCTTCTTCTCCGCAAGTGACAAGGATCCGACTCTGATGAGTACTAGGCTTCGTGAGGAAGAGCTCGAGAAGCGATTATCGATTTCCCCCGTTTCCAGTGAAACTCCCATAGCGAGCAATGATCTGTGCGTCTGTAGGGACTCGAATGGGCGACATACGTATGGAATCGAACGTTTCACCGGAAGAATACTGTCAGAGCCATCGATATGGATCTCTCCACAAAGATCTTCGAGCACGTGTGACTGGCGCCTTTCGGAGGAAATCTCAATCCACTCCTCCATGTCGAGGAAATCTGACACCAAATTGAGTGAAAAAAATTCTCGAATACAGATAATCATCATCATCATATATACCGTGTTTCCCCGAATATAAGCTAGGGCTTATATTCGCCAACTACCCGGAAAAAAGCAGGAGGGCTTACTTTCGGGGTAGGGTTCATTTCAACTTATGAAACAAATCGGAATGACATCAAAAATCCGAATTCGACGAATTACCACGATGATCGTCAATCGAATACGACAATCTCATCCTCTTCTGTCACGCCTTGTTCACAATCTAAATCTAAAGCCTGAAGAACCCCCTCAAGCCTCTGACTTTCGATCGCAGAGCGATCCCTCGGGCCGAGTCGCTCGTGTTTCCCGATGTAACTGTCCTCGAATGCATGACTTTTATCGAGATAGCCTGCGCGGAGAGCATTCGCGACACACTCATTCGAAATCTTTCCCCAAGATTTCCTGACCCATGAGACAACTTAACTCAAAGGGTTTTCACGAAATTTCCCCGCATGTTCCTCTGCAGACGGTGCTCGATGAAATCGTTGACGTTCGAGCGCAGATAATCTTCGAATGGTTTATTTATGGCCAAGTCCAGCGTCTGAAGATAACCTGTCATGCCAGCGGGAATCATGATCTGATCAACGCCTCTACTCGCGAGAAATTTCTCCATGTCTCGGGACAATTATATGGTACTTATCGCTATTCCTGAGGTTGAATACCTACAATTTGGACTCGCAGACCGAAGGGCTTACTTTCGGGGTAGGGCTTATTCCAGCGATGAGCCCGAAAATTCGTGTGGGGCTTATTTTCGGGGTAGGACTTATATTCGGGGAAACACGGTATGTAGCTACTGGAAGACAAACAGGTTTTCTGGTTGAGGATTGACTTGATACCGACATAGAGCTTTATGCCTTGAATTTCGTAGCTCGAGGTAAAAAACTACGCCGCATCGGAGGCCCATGCGAGCACTGAGAATTCCACGGTCGAGTCGTACAATATACTGACCCTGGAAAATGATCGAAACCATATTGAGTTCTCGCTTGGGATGGCTCTTTATCCTTCGCATTCCTTTGCAACTTCCGAAGATGTTATATCTTCGAAGTGATCGCCTCCATGTCCTCTGCGTTGAGCATGAAGTTGATTGCCATCGGCAGACTCACAGACGATCACCGCAACTCCATGGCACCAGCATAGAACAACTCGAACACCCCCACGAAAAGAGGGCAGAATGACAGTTCAAGGTATTACCGTAAGTGAAAAAAACATCAATGAGTACTCAACTTACAAGAACAACCAGCACGACATCTAGGTCTCGACCATCGAGCGCAGAACTCCCGGATCGTCGAACACAGTCTTATTCCTTCGCGCGAAACCTATGCCTTAAAGGCGAACCGAGGAAGAATACACTCTGTCGAACGTAATCGAATTTAGACTGAAGTACATGATGTCAGAATATCCACCACGCTGTGCATAATCGTCAGGATGCTCACGAAGAATCGAATCACATGGTGGAACTTCAGGGGGATGCCATAGATGCAAAACGACGCGACGGCCAGAATGTCCGGCGTCATCCTTTTCCACGGCAGTAGCCCGTGGATTACAGTCGGGGGCATGCTCGAATTAGTTTCTCGCGCTGATACCGGCAATTCATACATCGGCAACGCCCCGAAGATGTTAGTTGAGATCCTTGAGCCCAACCCGAATTGCGGTTCTCCGATATATCAGAAGAATGGATGTGCGCGGTCCATCCGGAGTGTGAAATTTCATTCTTCCGTCAGCGTCCGACAGTGATTGTCGCTCAAATGACCCGGAAGCAGCACCCTGTTGCATCTAACGATATAGGCCGTCAATGCGCGCTTAATTCTTCGATCCCTGGAAGCGACTTGTGTAGATTCGCCGCCTCAATGGGGTTCCTTCGACAGGCCCGGACATTGCCCATACTCGGGGACATTACATGGGCGCAGCATCTGAGGACTAGTTTGGGTTCCCTTCGTGATATCAAGGGGTTGCGAACGATATATTTTAAGCTGGGGTTGGCTGTTGGCTCCAAGATGCGCGGTGGCGCGCGACAGATTCGAAGCAGGAGACGATTCGCAATCCTGATTGAGACATGACAGAAAATTAGGCAAAGTCCGCGAGATAGTCGAAAATATGACTTAATCCTTCAGATGGATCGTGTGGCGGCTGATGCCGACATCCGCGACTGTCCTGCCTTTTGCATTTCCGTCCACGGGAAAAAGCACCGATGCGATATTTTAGTCCTGCACACCGTGAGCGAATGAGAGTCTGACCATGGGAGGAAGAAACTCATGATAATTGTCTGTTCTGACCTGTACTCTCGGGAGATCACTCGCTCTGATCGAAGTTTCCAGATCCACCATAGTTTGCTCCTCCTGACTGAGAGTGTTCCCCGAAGTGGATTTCGCTGATGAACGATGACAACTCCTCCAACGCTGGGGTTTGATCCATCTTGCCTCTGTCAGCTCGAGTGGACTTATTGCAGGCAGGCCCACGGCTTTCCAGCGATAGCTAATTGCAAAGTCATGAAAGCGAAACTCCAGCAGAAGCTGATGAAGGATAAACACGTTTTCCAGGAAAGTATAGTCTTGAAGCCCACGTCCACTTCCACTCCGAATTTCTGCATCAAGAAGCTGTCCAAATGATCACTTCGTTCCACGACGGCAACGTAGAGTATCTTCCGACGGAAAACTTTGATCTTCTTCGCTATGAGATCGGTTCTAGACATTACCAATAGGAATATATAGAGCTGACTTAAATTCTGAAGCACCAAGTAGACACCTTCTCCACATTGTAAGCTCGATACGGCGCTCGGGATTTCGCCAACCAGTCTAACAAAATACTGAATATGGAACATCACCGAAAACATTTTGAATTCCCGGTTTAGAAGCCCGTTCATTCGGTGGATGTCCGCGCAGCAACTCGTGATGTTTTCCTTACGCAGGCGCGAGCTGATCGCATCGATATCCCCCGCGTAGAGCATAAGGTTCATCGCCACCAACAGATACACGATGGTACACACAAATTTCATGACCGTGGCGTAGAATAATTCACCGATGATCGAGCAAGCTGGACAAGCAAAATATTCAATGAAGTCGCTTGAAGTGAAGAAATCCACCAAGAAATTGACGAGTCCAATCACAACGATCAGTGCGAACACTAGGCTCGAAACTATCCATCGCAAGGTTCTGGCATTCGTGAGCACAGACTTGTTTCTTTTCGCAAAACCGATCCCCCACAGGTATAGAGCCAACGAATAAACCATATCGAAGGTCCACGTGAAGTATACTATGTACATCATATCCGGATGTCCCTCGGAGCTGGCTTCCACAACCGCGACATAACCATAAATGTTGTAAATGACATTCAGAACACTCATTATGCTTACAAACAGTCGTATCACAACATGAATTTTGAAGGGCGTTTCCAGTATGCCGAAAATTTTTAAAACGGTCACTAAAAGGTCAAACGCCATCCCAACTTTGATTTTCGGACTCCCAGATGGCCAAATCTCCTCATATGGAGTCTTGAGCAGTCGGAGAATCGCGGACACGTTCACTAAAAACGCTCCGTACGGAGTTAGCTCGAGATCTGCTCTCCACTGCCGATCGCAAGAGAATGGATGCTCTTCAGGAACCCGAGGGATGCAGTTCCATTTGCTGCTCGGAATCGTCGAATCGATGTTTCATTATTCACAGAACTGTCCCTTCGGCTGCTCAATAATTGAGAGAAGGGAGCCACATGGATCCGAAGATCAGGGTCGAAAACCCTCTGATTTCTTACGTTCGAACGTGTCGTGCTCTCGAATAGGGTGAGTGCACTATCATCAGGATCTTGTGAGTTGGATATTCTTTTCTTTGGACAAAAGCTCGGAGATGCCACTGATTGATTTGAGGTCTAATCGAAATCTATTCTATCCCGCAGGGGATCGACGGCTTCCGCGGAGAGAATCGATCCCCCAGAACTTCAAATTTCGGAGCGCCCCGAGCTCGAAAAAATGCATCCAGGCACTGCCCAGAAGAGTGGCAAATTCAACTGGAGTGCGGGGCTCAAGTGAATATAATACCCAATAAAAAAACTAAGGCTCTTTACCTGAAGGGAGAGAGGTGATAGTATTGAATTTGAAGAGTTTAGGATCATACGTTGAAGGGAGGAAATGAGGGTAAAGGGCATTCCATAGACGGGATGTGCGGGAGAAAGAGGTTGAGGCGAAGTGAGCAGTACGATTGGAGAAAAGCTGGACAGAGCGGGGGTGCTGCTTGGTGCTCATTCTGGTTACACGGGCGGGGACCGAAATAGGAGGAACGAGGGGAGAGATTCCATCTGAGCATTTTCCATGGAAGTATCTATAAAATAGGCGGGGGTCTGTAACGTTACGACGGGAAGATATGGCTGAATCACCGCTGAGACGGATACCACGTTTTTGAATAAAGTTCAGGATAGAGAGGGATGAGGGAGCGGCTTCGCCCCAGATATGCGAGCGCATAGACCTTCGCCACATTTCACCCTCGAAGTGATGCTCGGAATTCCTTCGACGAGTCTCACGGAGTATTCAAAATGGAAAATCACCATGAACGGTTTGACCGCCCTGTGGACTACCGTATTGATCCTTCGTATCTCCTCGCAGGCTCTAAAAATATAAATGCTTGGATTCACCGCAGTGATGTCTCCCGCGCGAAGCATCAAGTTCATCGCCACGAGACGATAGACTTAAAGTATTGAAATTTGATTACACCTATATTTCATTATTCGCCCCCTAGGGGATATTCGATCAGCGAATTACCACATTGATGACGACAAATAAGAGGGGCATCAGGTCTACCACTCCCAATCATTAATTTTTGGATCGTCGATTGCAGTATTTTTCCTTCTCGCAAATCCGTTCCCCCATAAGTAGTTCTCGCTGTGCAGTAGGCTACGTACAACAAACTCCAAGGTAGCTTTGACATAATTTCAAAGACAAGGATGTGCGCGTGCATGTTGGAACGTTGGAACGATCGTAAGAACCCTCGTGAAGAGAATGATTCCTCGAATCACGTTCGGAGACCTGATGCGCAATTCCAAAAAAGCCGGCAGTCCTCGGTGGCTAGGACGTCGTGCGCCTTCATAACCGTTCTATTTGGACACGATCTAGAAACCGCACTGCCTCACTCGTGAGTGTGCTTCAGCGATCGGAATAACTCCCGAGGCGCCCACCGAAGCGTTTCGCACTTTGCCGACGTGAACAAACGAATGCATATTAACATTCCGGGCCATACAGCGCAAGTTACTCCGCGGCTTGGAGGTTCATTATAGATCAGATTGTCAAAACATTCAGCTAATGATTCGGCTACCGAACCCTCCGATCCAATGTGAGCACCGGAGCCAGATTCTTCTCTCCGGGAACGGAGCACGGGCTGAACTGCCTAAATCTCGTGCCACGTGGATCGCAACGCACATGCGTATTGAGACGACCCGAATCGCTTGTTCTAGCGGCTCTGCGGGATACTCTTCTCCATAAAGATATTGTACTAGAGCAACAGAAGAAAGAAAGATCGTGAGACCCAGGGTAGGCTTACGATATGACGGCTCTCTGCTATACTTCGCCATAGTCGTGAACATATTTTGGGCGGGCCAACAGTATCCTCACCCCCTCCCCGCCCTGTGTGCTCTACTGCCGTGTTCTTACCGAATTAAAATACTAGGAATCTCGCCTTGAAACATCTCATTCGTCATCCAGGCTGCTCAAGTGTTTTAATGAGCAGCCTGGATGACGAATCAGATGTTTCCTCTGGAAATATCGGTGAGCAAGGATTGAAAATAGCCGATCCGATGCCAAGATGGTGTTCGTCGCGTTCGCATCTTACGTAAACTTAATCCATTTCCCGTTCTGCGCGCGATCCCCTCCGTTCAGAGACACCCGTGTAACAGAATGGAACAGAGAGACCCGATTTCCCTCGGCAGGAGCTGGTTGGAGTCGAGCGGGATTAAACATCATGGCTCATTCACGATCGCGCATGTCTCAGGCAAGATCCCTCGTCTTGAAAGATCCTGCATCTTTCAATCGAATCACGCTCCTCTCCCTTTCGGATATTCTGGGACCCCTCGCTGGATTGCGACAATTACGTAGGGTTTCAAACATTGGAACAGCGGAGACCTACTTCTTAGAGGGCATGCGCAAAGTCGAACATGTGTTCGACACATGTGCGAGACACATACTCCCGTCTCGAGCCAGGTACCTGTGGGGCGGAAGAATTGAAGTACGACAAGCAGTGACACTTCCGGTCTGGACCCTTGATCTTGAATGTGAATCCATTTAGGGACGAGCATCCTGCGGTCACCGTGGTGAATCCATTCCTGAAACGGTTGACTCCTGCTCCTGCTTTTGAGTCAAGTCATTCCGGACCGGAGCCCACGGCCTAATATACTGTTTTGGATGGATGTTCATCTTGAGAGATCATTCGGAGTGACATTGTATATTGCCTTCCACCGGCTTTAGTCCAGACTGCTCATCCAGAGTGAGCGGGGAAAAGGTCCTGCTCTTGAGTAATCTCCAATGAAATGTAAGGGAGATAAAAGCTATCAGGCGAGCGAACTGAAGAGGGCATCTTCCTCGAAGACAGGGGAAACTTCAAAGAGATGCTCAACGAGGATCGGGAATCTCCCCCGTCCAGAGTGTGGAGGGATCTGGAATGAATTGTGCTCATTTCTGAAGGGCGTGATAGAGAGTGGAGCTCACCAGCTCCGGACAAGACATTCAAGTTGATTTCTCGCTATCGTCGTTCTCCCATCGAATCCCGAAGTCTTCCCAACTCATTGATGAATAGGAGCACAGGATGCACTGATCGAATCGTCCCGATCGCGTTCTCAGGAAAAATATTTTTTTTCCAGTAATCTCGCCCATCTTCGACATTTCTAATCGACGTCCGAACTGCTCGCTTACGTATGAAGTATAAATTCCCGGCAATGCATTGAGACGTGCAAATTGTGAGTGTAAAACGTACGTTCCGATGGCCCCACCTCATCCCTCTCCGGAGGCGGTGCCGAGAAGCCGGACAAGTAGCCGAGCAAGGTAGTCAGTCACGTGGATTTCGATACTTCGGAGCTTCGCAGAGCACCCGCCTCTTTTTCTTTCTTTTCCTCTCTGCAGCCTCCTCCGGCAGTTGGATTGTTGTCGTTATCGGCCTAGAGCTCAACCTCAGTCGCAGTCAGGCGGCCACCTCAATCGGTTCAGTCGTCAGTCAGACAGGTGCTCGTTCGGGTGATTCGAGCGCAATCCTCGACCCCCCTGGTACATCAACTCTTCTCGAATCCAGCTCGAAATAAGTCGATCAAGCGAGCCGTCATAGCGGTCCAGCAACACCAGTGAATTTGACCGTGCAAGCAGGAGAGGATAGAACTTTACTTGTGCGGTGCCCGCAGACCTACCCGATGTGTATCGCGACCGTCGCCTCCGTACGCTTCTATAAGTGACCTTCGATTCATGTGCGGTGCCGAATATCCCGCTCCTAGGACGTTGTGAAACAGTTGACAGGAATCGCCAGAGAGGTAAGAAAGTCCCCAGAATGATTTCTGAGTCCCTTGATAGAGCTCCGAATTTCCCCCACGTCCACGTATTCTGGTGATGACCACTCTCTCAGAGCAGAGCTACGCGGCTCAGGGAAGGCTGGAGCAACGATAGAGAGACGTGTGATCGTCTACATTCTCTCACAGGAGAAGAAAAATGTGGGCATCGGGAGACTTCAGATTTCCAAGTGAGAGGAGAAGTTGGGAACGACTTAACGTCAGTGGTCGCTGATCGAAAGCTGGATTCCCGGATTGCGCAGTGGATATCGAAGTCCAATAGAAATACAGGGAAGTTCGCCTTTGTCGAGTGCTCCGCTTGGAGCCGGCGAGGCCTTTCAGGATCCTGCGCGGATAGAGAGATTTCTAAGCGGGAACTCCGACGAGTTCTATGCGCGCCGCGTCAGAGGTTTTCCCGAATCATCGGTGAGATACAGGTAGTACAGCGTAAGGAGATCAGAAAAACTCTGCGGAGGAAATCGAAGTCGAGGGAGGGCCAGGAAAGCGACTCAATATCCATCGGCTGGGCTGTACGGTTGTGTGGCCGCCTTTCTGTTCGTCTCTCCGTCAGCCGTTCGCTCTGTCCGTCTGGCGGTCTGTTCGTCCGTCTGTGTGTCTGTACGTCCGTCCGCTCGTCTGTCCATCTATCCATCCATTCGTCCATCCATCCATCCGTAGGTCTTGAGATGAGACCAACAGTCCAAGATCAAAGGCGCCGCCACGGTCGGCCCGCTGCTTTGAAGAGACATCTCTACGGTGCTTCTTTCTACCTCTCCTCCTTGTTGGTTTCTTCTCTTCGGCCGTTCCTTCTGCTGCTGTTTTTCCTCGGTGATCGTTCTCTTCGTCGTTCTCTACGGTGCTGCGAGTGCTCCATACCGTTTTCCTCATCTTTTCACCTGCTTTGGGCGCACTGACTTACCCAAGTGAGCGATGAATGAGTTGCCCTTGAATGGGCCGATAGGTGAATGAGAGAAGCTTGCCATCGAGATCTCGGAGAGACGCATCGAATGCGGAGAATGAGCGGACCTGTGCGCGTGAGAAAAAAATTGGAGCTTGCCGTGTGTACCGATCCCCGCGGTGATTATCGTCCCGGAGCGAGCTGGATTCTAATGCACGCCGGAGACAATACCAGACAGACAAGGGTCCAAGAGGAGAGAGGGAGAGAGAGAGCGACCATAGATGCGGAACGAGAAACGAACGCGAGCCAGAGTTTCGGCCAAGGAAGAGATCAAAGACCATTCCACGTAGGGGCGAATTCCTAGAACTGATCAGATGTGATCAATACGAACAATCAACACCCTCACAAAGACGCTAAGTGACTGACTGACGGCCTGGATGACTGGTAAATCGATCATCGGATCTGTCGAGAAGATCTCGATGCGATTAGAGGGTCCTCGATGAAGGTTTTGTCTGTTCTTCCACTCCGAGTAGTTCTCGTATTCGAGAGAGACGGGCGCGCGGAAACTTCGACGCACTAGGAGAAGATCCGCGCCCTCCGCTCTCGATGGAACGAACCTCTCGGTGCACTTCTGACCTTTTCGGAGGAGTCAATTAACCAGCCCTATTAGTCCCGAATGGGAAAAACGCGTGAAGATTCACTGCCTGACCGCGGTCTTCCTTCCATTTTCTTCTGTCTGACGGACCGGTCTGCGGAAAACACGCAGAGCGGTTATCAACATCTTGTTGTGTCAAAACTAATTTCCCCCGTTATAATTCGAAAGGGCGTACGTTTTTACTCATCGGTATCATCGTCCTCGTTCTGCCGTAAATCGATAATGGCCGATAACGAGACTGAGCCGCCTTTCATCACGTTGCGTCTTCTCGCAGAAATCTCTCAGCGGCAACGTAACCACCCAACCGCACGAATGAAAGCATCTAAAGAAATTTACTTGGACAAGGAGAGGAGAGTAAAAAATTGAAGCATCCATAAATTGTTGCTTTCATCGCCAGTTGCTCTTTGCCGCGCGACCCGCCGACTGGCCGCCGCCCCGCCACGAAGGAAGGAGATCAGGCCGGCGGGTAGACAGGCAGAAAACAAAAAGAAGCACGAAGGTTGGCCGCCAGCACGCTCGACCCAAACGCTCAAATTAAAAAGATATATCGAACGGGACCGGCGAAAGAAGAGGTGTTGATAACCTTTGAACAAAAACCGAAAACTATTTTCTGTCGGCGATTCTACGCCGGAGATCAATTGCCACCTTCGGCACTCCTCCGGATGCGGGAGATCCGTGCTGACTGGCAATTAGAAAATCGTTTGATGAATTTCTCCCATGCTAGTCCGTCAAGAAGGCGAACTCACTTCGGACAAGCGGAGGCATCGTTTGACGTTCTCGAAGGTGGTGCGGGAAATCAGACGATCGACCAAGTATGGTTGATGAACGCTCAATAGGTGTGTGTCACGAATCTGCGTAGCCGAAAGTCGCAGGTCGGAGCACCACCGACTTCTGAAGCCTTCCAGTTGACAGTCGAGCGATACTCGCTCGTCGAGCCCCGTTCCCTTGATTAGCCGGGGTCGACATCGAACGCGATATCGCCAGAGTTTTCAGGTATGAATGGGAACATTTCTTGCTCGATCTCTCGATTGCCGTGTCGGGTGCAATCATGAATGGGATTCTAAGGAGGAGAAACACTCTTTCAAAGTGAAGACTCGATCAGAGGCAACACTCGGGGTTATTCGACGGTCATGTGGAGAGACACTCGATTACACTGATGTCGGCGAGCTCGGGGGAAGTATCGAGCCAATACTAGAATTCACAATTGAGTTCACCTTCGTTCCAGATGGCACCGATGGAGCTTCTCCTGTTATTCGTGATGTGTTTTCCCAGTTACTCGAGACAGAGTGGAACATCTTTCAGTAGTCTGACCGGTATGGATATGGTCAAAATGCTGGCTACCGCTGTGAAGGTAAGGTCTGCCGAAACGTCGGAGGAGAGTGGTCGGCTCGGAAATATGTAATCGGTCGGCGAAGGGTGCGCACCCGAGCTTCCCCCGAATGACCCTCTGGAATGGAATTTCTTGCAGACGGAGCCGACATCGACGATGGCTCCTGCCCCGAGTCAGACGAAGGAAATGAAACTCATTTCCCAGCTGATTCAAGGGAAAAACACGAAAGACAGAAACTCGAACCAAAGACTCAAGAGGGTTCTCCTGCTTAATTCGACGGCTGTGTGCAATGACGGATCCCCTGCAGGGTAGGTGTCCTCCTTCTACTCTCATTGGTACTGTTTTGGAAGTACCCTTGGCACAACCAATGGTAACGGAGTAGTTCTCTGCGTAGCAATGCAGTCCCAGGGAATGGGTTCCGAGCAGACGAGGCATACAATAGTTTTGAGAACACCTAGAAACCTTACATGCGCTCGGCATCTTAGTCCAAACTGGAAACATCACTCTCTCGCTGTCTCTTTCGTGTGGTTTGAAACCGCAATGGGCTTTGATGATGATCATAAAGAAGTCGGATATGTTGCTGTGGCCACGGTCACCACTGCTTCGGTCGGCGGTGCCAATTTCGAGAAAAGATCAGACGAGAAGCCCACTCCCCTCAGAGCTTTGCAAGCTACCGCATTGTGTGCCGACAAGAAACTCACTCAGGTAACCAACAGCAAGCCGCCCGTTCAGAGACGTAGTGAGCGGACTTTATTACGTTCACACATCATAAAGATCAACACAAGCCAGGAGCCTTGATGGGGAAATAAATGGGGACATAGGACAACAATAAAAGCGGAACGGCTGAGGCCGAGGTCGAGCCGCTGAAAATAAGGAAACTGAGCTCCAGGACGTTGGGCGACGGTGTCTTTAGAGAATTTGTTCGTCGGAGCCCCCTAGGCGAACCCCACTTTCGGGTACGAGGTGGTACAAGGAGACCGACAGCTCCGAGCGGAATCGTGGGCATTTCCGATTTCTAAAAGACCGCTCCCAAAGTACCGACTTTTTTCTGAAAGCTCCAGCGGAGCCCGAGATCGGAGCTCCTGGCTCTGAGTTGAAAATTTAAGGGGCGTTGTTGTTTTTCTTTTCTGAACTGTTGAGAGAGATCGCTCGCTCGCTCACAGCGCTCATGGTCGCAGACATACAGACTCACCGGCTGTTGGCTAAGATCGATCCACTAACTTCATTCTCGAGGTGGAGGCGGCGGCAGAGCCCTTTGAAGTGTCGGCAATCGTCTTTTGATCTTCTCCCGTGGGTGGCTCTTCTATCCTGCTGCTGCCTCTGAAGCTGCTGGTGTTTCTCTCTACGATTTCTCACTCCTTTTCGCTTCATGGCGACCGCTCTGAGCCGTCGGAGGAAAAGCGCATTGGAAAGTCAGCCCGTTGGGAGAGAGAAACTTATGAACTTGATGAATTCCAGGTACTACATCCGTAGGAATCCGGCGAGCAAACGTTGGATAATTTTTTTGGAAGGCGGCTGGTATTGCTTCAACGAAAGAACCTGTCTCCTGCGATGGAGGAACAACGGCCACTTGATGAGTTCTCGTTGGTGGCGAGAATCAAGACACGGTAAGCACATACTGGATCCCGATGTTCATAGACGTCTCGGGATCGATGGATGACGAGTGCTTCTGATGAAATCGAAAGCAATCGTTCAATTCCCATGAGACTGGGCCCTTCACTTTTCATCCGATCCGAAGTCCGTAGCTTGGCACAGATTAAGCATCCATGCTGAATAGCATTTGTATGAATTTCCGATGAAAGCAAAATATTCCGGAAGAACTCCTCGAAGACGGACTTCGATGGAACAGAAGCTACGAGAGTCGTATGCCGGGCCTTCGCTCACCGTGAAAACAGTGGAGCGGCCCGAGCAAGAGCAGCACCGCGGTGGTCGACTTAACAAGCTGTTGTAGGAGCAAGAGGTGTGTTTTCGCGAGCGACCGCCCGCTCGCTCGTTCGCCCCGCGCTTCTTGTTCCCGAGATTCTCGTTCTCGTTTTGAAATCCGTGAATGAGTGAAGAAAGAGTGAACGAAGGAATCAATTGGAACCGATAGACGAAATCATTCGGGCCGCGTGGGTGGTCAGTCAGTCGGTCGATCGGTCGGTCAACATCAGATTTCTCATCTCACAGAGTCCCTTCAAGCCTACCTCCGCATGCCGTTTGAGACACAGCTCGTTCCCCCATCAGCTTGCCACCCTTTGTCCTAGAAATCGACCGCTCAGACCGCGCGCTTCATCCATAACTGGGGCTATTAGTGCTCTTATCTCTCTCTCTGTCGCCCTCTCCGCTCTCATCGTTCCGACCCCTCCATCAGTAAACGCCATCCCGTAAAGAGCTCCACTTGACTAGAATTTGTGCCGACTGTCGCTATTTTGCGGTCTTGTCTCTTCTGGAAGGAGCTCCCGGCTCCGCGGGCTCCCGATACTAATTTTGAGACTCTCGACTCTCAATCCTTTCTGAAGAATCGTCCCCCAGTAGATCGAGCTGCTGGCGACTTACGGGAATCAATTCAACATGTCTATAATAATTGTACGCTTTCAGCCGGCGGAATCCTGTCCTCAGATTTGGCGGAAAATCCTCATCTCTGGAACGCGAATCATGTGTAAGTTCAGTAGATTCAATTCTGACTGCCAATACGGATATACGCGTGAGTTCAACGGAGCCGGAGACTCGAAAGAAGCTGCAGGAGGAGGAGGACGTTTAGGGAATCTGATGGAGCGGTCATTCACGAGAGTTGAGAACGAGAAAATTTTCGGGGCGGACCATTTTCGTCTCTAAACGGCCCCCACCCAACCCATAATCTGCGAGAGCAACCATTCATTCACCGATGTGTTCATCGGTCAGTTCACTTAGTTCGGCTCAATCGGTCGAGTTTTCCTAGCTTCCCCAGCTCGGCGAACCGTCTACCAAGATATAGCTACCAGCAGCGGCAAGAACAACATGAGCAATCCCAGAAGCATCCATCCTCGGCTGAGCGAGACAGGCATATAGCTTCCCAAGCGACCGATCCAGCCCCTCAGTCAGAGAATCTCGGTTCTTTCGGTTGGCCATCGAGTGAGGCAGAAGCGGCAGCCGCACGGGCGGAGCGATGACGTCGATTGACGTTTCCGGTAGACGACGTTTGGCGGCGACTTCAAAGCGAACCCCGTATCCCTCGGTGGGATCTAATCGTGACTTCGGTTTTGGGTATTGGACTACTTGACTGCTCGCTAGCTCCGCGGGCTGTTTCGTTGGATGGGTGGCTGGATTTTGGCTTGATTTCGTCTCAGCTGGCGAGCACGAAATCTACGTCGAATTGTTTATTTGGTCAAGAACAGGCTAAGCCGTCGTTTGATATTTGCCGACATGGGACAATCACCTAATTCGAAATGAGCGAGTGGAAAGCGGGACGATATGATTTTCGAGACTACTCCTCTTCTCCTTATTCGGATCCCTCAGAATTTTCCGAATGATGAGCTATGAGCGGGCTGCCAGCGTCTTGCTTCTCCCGGCATCGAATGGCAGCGATAAACTCCTCGAAAGAAGCTTATCCGGTCGAGCCCCTCCGCTTCATGTGTCCTAAAATCATTAACGTCCGCTCGTGGGTTAACGACAATGGATTCCGTCTCTCTAAGCGTCCCTCAATTTCCAGATACCTTCCCTACTGTTCGAGCGACGGCTGGAGCGGGTCGAAGATGGCTGGAAAGCCGGGAGAATTCTCTTTCATGGGCTCGGTCATAATTCAGAGCGTCATCGATGATTTACTCAACTCAAAGGGCCTGAACACCGCTCGGACCATTTTCTTATCCGGGAGCTCAGCAGGTGGCGCCGGAGTTTTCCTTAACATAGATCGAATGGCGGACCACCTGCGCGGCCTCGGGCATCGGGCCAAAATTCGGGGTATCGCCGACTCCGGATGGTTTATGGACAATGAACCTTTCGAGAAACAGCATTTGTGCAGCGATGTTCACAACTGCGATGTCGTCACGTCTGTCCGGAGTGGCTTAGAGTGAGTTCGGTCGCACGACCTGATGTGAGACTCCCTGAATATATCCTCACGTGTACAGGATCGGGGTACTGACATACTGATCGTCCCGCAGGTATTGGAATGGTCAGCTCCCCGAGAGATGTACGCAAGATCTGCCGAAGGGAGATCACTGGACTTGTTACTTCGGATATCGCATATACCCGACGCTTAGGAGTGAGTACCCGCTGCGTGTACACCAATAACCCCCATCAGGTCGTTGTATCCGATGTCGATCATCATGGGACGCGTGAGATTTTTCATAACATGCATCTCGGGTTCCAGCTCCGACTTTTGTCGTTCAGTGGTTGGTCGACGAGGCACAGGTCACTATCGATAACGTAGGAACTCCAGTATCGAAAGCCCAGTGGGCATACATCCACCGGAACATCGAGAAACTGAGGCAATCTCTACAGAACGTGACGTAAGTTCAGCATGACGTATTCGGAGGCTTTCTCATTCTTGGGGGCCCAAACACTCCTTGGAGCGATATTTGGACTACGCATCACGAAGTTATCACCGACATGATTTCCAGGGCTCTATTCGTACCGTCCTGTATATCACACACGATCCTGACCAAGCCGGACTGGGGAAAGATAAAAATCCGTAATCGGAGCTTACCTCAAGCCATACGTTGCTGGGAAAACCAACCTCACGAGCACAATCATCATGAGCATCATCCGGATCATCATCTGCACGATAAAATCAAAAAACCAAGGTGACTACTGACGTCATGTTGTGCATTTAGGATGAATCGTTTTCCGTTAGCGACTTTGATGGTACGCCAGCCCGTATGAGACATTCCCTCGGTCATTCCAGGAGTGCGAACGCCAACGTCAAGAAAAGGAGGAAAAATCGTCGTTCTCGAACCGGAAGTCGCAAACGCATGCTGCGCAGTGAATCAGTTTACTCGAAAATGCTCAAATACTCAACTCATCCTCCCACGCCAGAAGACGCCCACTTCCAGCATCGATGGCGTTTGCATGAAGATCTTTGCGATCATCGTTTGGTGGACGAATGCGATTTCCCTCATTGCAATATGCAGTGCCCGAAGCTGAAAAATCCCCAGACTGGCGAAGATATCGAGCTCACGGATCTGCTTCGGTCGTTCGGTTTGGACATGAATAACGCGGCTGCGATTCTTGGCATGAACGTGAGCCAGCTCTACGGGATGAGTCAGGACGCCCTTCTACAGATGCTCAACTCCCAGTATTCGACATCGAAGACATGATCCTCATATCGGACATTCCTCCGAACACGGGAGAATCACGCGGACACCGATTCGAGCATGACAATTCGCATCTTCAGACATTCCCGAGGACGGCTGACGCTTGGACCGAAGAGGAAATGTGATCTCCGAGTCGACGATCATGATTAGAGCCTGAAATGTCGATCTCATCTTAAGCGGGGCGACGCACTGCGTCGAGTGCGAAGATCCCGAACAGAATTGAAGTTCGATGCTGTCGGAACGAGATCATCAAATTATCGTGACTGCAGCCAGGAAAAAGCTGCGACGGTTGATGATTCCCTACCGGCGGGAATATTCCCCGCGGTATCTTGGACGACGGCAGGCAGAAGCAATTTTAGCAGCGCCGAATACTGTCAAGGCTCTCGGCAAGCTCCCGAGTATTCCTCGAGATAATCGAGAGAGCAAAATCCCCACTTCTAGGTAAAACAAAATAGCCCTCAGAAGTCCCGTGGAGTCGACCATGGCGATCTTTTGCAATTCCTCTCTTCGCGATGCGAGGGTTTAGCGATTTTTCTCCATCTTTTTCATGCGCGTAGCATTGGAGAATTATAGTTCGCTGAAGATTCCCATATCCACTTATAGCTCTCGATGGTAGCATATGTCCTCCTTTGTCTGTGATAATAAGATCTATGCCTATTTATTTTGGTTTCGTTGACCCTTTGTAATTTGCCGATGATTCATAATATTTATGCAAGCCCGTGAGCTCTGGAAAATTCGCGCCAGAATCAGAAACAGAGACGAAAACAACGAGTAAGAAATGCTGGAATAAATCATGCGCGATTTTGATTATAATAATAATGACAGAAGCTCCTGAATAATGGTGCAGCAGATCAAGATACTCTCTGCGCTCAGTGGGCCAAGATCCGGTGTCCCTAGCCCAGTAAGAAAATCCTCTGCGGGAAGGAGCGAACCTCGCTGGGCGAGCTTCGAGTGGTCGACTTCCCGTTCCGGGGTCAGTTTCGGGAGGCTTTTCTGTCGTCCGGCGCCCCGAATTTCTATAATCCTCATCGTCAATTGTCGAAGATGAAGCCCAATGCTCTTTATCTCGCGTTTATCAGACATGAATGAGCTTCCTCAACGATACGGAAGTGCTCGCTCATCCGACATCGAGCCGGCTCCCTTGCTGACCGGATCCCGTCCCATGTACCAGAAACGAGTGAGTCACGTCGCTCAGCAGTCGTCTGCCTGACCGTCAGTCACCGAAAAGCGTCTGCGTCGCTGACGTCCGACGATTTCAGCCGCTAGAGGCCTCCAGGTCGTCGGTGTGTCTTAAACAGTTGTATGAAATGACAGGGAGCTGAACGAAGGGCTCTACCTTTTTCCGCAGAAAAGTTCCAAATTCCGTATTGATTTTCGAAGTGCCGTCCTACCGGGAGCATCCTCCGAGCGTCCTCGCTAACAAACACCATGAACAGCGATGTTCCGCTAGCAGCACTCCTAATGCCAGTCTTGGTCAAACCCATCCTGGAGAAGGTGAGTTATTCCAAGGATCGAAGATGTCCTTCTGCTCCACCCCTCGCTCACGTCCGAGCGAGCGGGAAGGAAGTGGCTACCACACGTAGAGACTGTCGTTGGAGGAATCTCGCTCAGGATTCGATGCCGAGGGGAAAAAGGGTTTCTTTCGGTCGAGAACCTACGTCGAAGAAGGCGGTGGTTCGGAGAGAGGGAGAAAAGGATGCTGTGGCTCTCGCTGGCCCACATAAGTAGAAAGTCTCCACGTCCTCCAGTTCAAGAATGTGTCGTGTTCGGTTTGACTCGCAGTCCTGTTGGACCCCCTTATTCCGTACTCTGAGCGCAGGCGTATAGCTATGACCGTGTGCGCATCTGACCCGATAGACCCGAACTGATTAGGATTCCTTCGATTTCAGCTGGAACGCAAGGAAAACGCTGCAGCTCAAATTCTGCAGACATCCCTTTTGAGAACAGAGAAAAACTCTCCGGGCTTCTTGCTGGACCTGGTAAGTATCAGAATCCTAACGGGAGTTTATCGTCCATCTCCCGTAGCGGAGGCTCATTCCGGGAATTCCACGGGTCCGTAACGTCAGGCTCAATAATGAGCTCCAATGCTTCACGAATTAGGTTCGAACTCTGATGAGGGAAACACGGACCGAGGAACAGATTAATCTGACCGAGCAGGTCTTGAGACTCCAGGTAAGCAATCAGTGAGAAAGTAATTCCGTAAATATTTGGGGGTTCGACGAGGTGTACTCATTACTCGAATTGTTCCATTTTAGGGTAGCTTGGCTGACTCCGAGCCAGACATCCGAATAAATCGACCTGAAGAGGCGTTCCAGGAGTTGAATAGAAGAGTTGTGTATCTTAAGAAGGTGCGCGGTCAGAAGAGGAATGATCAAAATTCATAGATGGTCTTCGAAAGTGTTGACTGAAGAGTTTCTGCTCTTAGGAATCCTTAAGTCCTTCTCCTCTGACGCAGGTCCTATCTCGGGTCCCGGAACAGATCGGGGATCGACAGAGTTTTCTCGATACTATCAAAGATATAGCATCGGCTATCAAAAAGCTCCTCGATGCCGTAAACGGCATCACGACGAGCTCGCCCCACCGGAAGCACGCCTTGGAGCAGAGGTATGTTGGGAGATTATGCACCTCGTCGTCGTGGAGAGACGGAGCATAAAGTCGTTCAAACATTCGGCCCGTCCTTCTGCATAATTCATCCTCATTCCTACAGACGTCGTGAGTTCGTCAAGTATTCGAAACGGTTCTCTAACACGTTGAAAGAGTATTTCAAAGAGGGGGAAGTGGAACCCGTCTTCCTCTCTGGCTTGTATCTAATCTACCAAGCCAATCAGGTGAGCCAAAGCCCTCCATCAGCCTTCGACCATCGACCTCCATTGAGCTCCACCCCTTGATGTAGTATCGCAGGGGACATCCGATCGAGAGCGGGAACTCACTACTGTCTTCATGAGCTCTTACGCATATTGCAGATAATTTATTCGGCGAAGCGTGACTTCGAGAGACCTACGATCAACGGCGGTGGTCAGCCGGTCAAGTCCTGAGCTCCATGCGTATCTTCGCGCCCACAACCTCATTGTATATTACGAAATCGAGAACATCTTCCCGAGTGGGAGGCGAGTGATCTAATATCGGAGCGAGGTGATTCTGGAAAAACCACGCCAATCTCAATATGGAGACAATAAAAGAGGCGATATTCGTGATGAGGACCCGCATTCTCTCCGCTACTACGAGCAGACCTAGCTATGTATTTGGAAGTTCATCGAGGACTGCTCCGCAGAATAGGAGACTACGCAGGCTCGGTACCGAAGCGCTTAGTTTATTGAATTAGTCTCGTCAAGGAGATACCGACGAGTGCTCTTTACTGACAGCTGCGGACAAGGATCACTCTGAGACAGACGTCGAAAAACTCCGCATCTAAATTCCGACGCAATCCTCGGCTCCAGGAACTTCTCAGTCTCGGACCGACTCGATACCTTATGCCTCAGAGTGGGCATCACATACAGACTCCTGCGATCCGAGGTGCCCCAATCCTACACGCACAGCTCAGGCGTCAGACTTCGAGGTAACAATGCAGCAACTATGACTCTCGGGCCCGCTGTTACGCTCATTTGCCTTCGACGAGTACGGATTCATTCGAAGATTTGCCTAGAGGTCTCTCGACTCGGAGGGTATCATCCTTGACTTGGATTCCATACTCTTCCTTGAAGCGGTTGATTTCTTTGCCTTTCTCGACTATCTTATTGTTGTACTCCTCTTGAATTTTGGCTAGCTGAAACCAACGCAAGACATACGTGAGCATCAAATATTGCGGAATGATTGCCATCAAGCACTTGGGGTCAGAACCTATCGCTCATCTAGTACGACGAACCGAAGATCGCTACCTTATCTCGATTCTGTTGAACTGCGGGGAGAACTTCACCGACTGTACGCTCGACAAGGGTATCCCCCACCATCCGGAAGCATCGTTGATCAGGGCGTGCTTTTGATAGAGCACTCAATACCATCCTGAAAAAAGAGAGATGTTCCTTCAGGAGCCGACATGATCTACGGGGGACTTGCGGACAGCTGCTGCTCTCCTGTCTCAAAATTCACATATACGTCAGATAGAGCCAGGAAAGCTAGAAGGCATCCGAGGAGACTCAAGGAAAAGGTTGTCGAGAGCGCACGAGAATACTCCAGCCGCTATCGGGCGGTGTCGCGAGTTCCACTGAGATATTTCGCTTCCATCCCTTCGGGAGCTCTCATGCATCAGACGACGGTCACAATCCTTTTAAGGACCGTTCCCCAACTTACTCGTGCTCACTGAAGTCTTGTTCGAATTCGAACAATTTCATGGTGAGATTCCGTTGCTCCAATCGGAATTGGTTGAAACGCTCGACGATGTCACGTTGATTCAATTTCGGAGACTTAGCCTCGGCACTCATTTTCTAATCTTGATCAAGTCCTCAGTATTCAATCCAAGACCGCGTGAGAAGAGGCTTGATCTTGAGTTGGTAAACACATAGGCGGCCGATAGCGCTTCTGAGAGGAAGAGGAGGGAGAGGTCGCGAGCGCCGAAAACCCGCGTAGGTTCAAAAACATGGGCCTTCCCGGCCGTAGCAAGCTCTCAATTCTCAATCCTAATTCTCTATTGACGGATAAGGTACACACGAGTCAGTCGGAGACACCGGACAGCGTAGAATAGACCGGGAAAGTCTGGGGTCGATCAAAACGGGCCGTGACGGAGTTCTCAGGAGACCCCGATCCTCAGCCGGGAAACGGTACGCTTGCAGGGTACCTGGTAAGGCATCTGCCCGTCTCTGGTGAGGAACATTCGAAGATAATGAAGTGTATTCGGTCGTTTGAGCCTCTGTTCCTCGGTCGGATCCTTGCTCCTTGACGCTCGAAAGCCAGGGTTCGTCCCCGAACCACTACTCTTTCCAATCCCGGAGCGTAGTGGTTCGGGGATACATTACATACATACTATCACCGGGATACATTCCCGAGGGAATCTATCCGCTTGATCATCCCCTGGTTAAACAGTCCTGATCCGATTGAGCCTGGCAGAATCCTCGATAAAATTCAAGGGTGATCCGGGACGGGAGACGGTGGGAACGACCAATTCAAGCAGCGGACGGGCTGTCTGAGCCCCTTGTCCGCGCATGATGGTGGGCCATAGATCATCGGCATCATCGTATCCAACCTCCCGCCGAAAAATTATGTTCCGTAATCATGTCCCCCTTGATTCAAAAGCGCGTATTGTGGGACACATTGACCGAGTGCATACGCGAGCAAAGGAGGGGCGTATCCGGACGACATTCTGAGACGTATTGCATTTCCTCATGACCACTGACCACCAGGCCGGCTCTAGATGAGAAGCCTTCGAGTCGCGCATCTCGTTCACCTCCAGTCGGGATCTATCGGTATCTGTGACGCTTCCTCGTCCCCCTGCTGGGAGCTCCGTATCTCCGAATTGATCGTGCGGAAGGGGCTCTCGACTGAGTGAGAGGACATAGCCTGGTTAGCATTCGGGTCCGCCGCCCAGGGGAGCCCTCTCCCATCTGAGGTAGACTCCAACGCTGAAAACATACTGTTGGCACACCACGTCACCCAGCACCGGTCTCAGCCGTGGAAGTAATCTAGCAGTCGGCTGTCGTCAGGAGGTGCTGTCGCTGCACAGTGTGAATCGCGAGTTGTTGCTTTAATCTGCCATAATGTCGGGCGTCAGCAAAGCCAAGAAACTGACCCGCGAGGACGAGCTCCTGCAGCAGTTCAGTAACAATGTAACTGCCCGGAATTCGGCGACGTTTTATGGGAATGCAGCGATCGTCGCTATTCTTCCCATCTGTAAGTACACTCATCAATTTTTCGTCTGGAGAAAGTTGAACGCTGCCTCGGAGCGTGGATTGGCTTTCAACACGGTCGAGACTTTTAGTGACTCCACCTAAGATCTCAGAGGCTAATCGCCGGGCCGATCAGGAAATTAAAAGTCCCAGAAAGTTCGAAGAATTCCGATCTGACTCCTGAAAGTTAATTACCGTCTTCAGTTCCTCCGTGGAATGGCGGATTCATAGAGATAGCGATTCCTCTTCAGACATCCTCCGGTTCCACAGTGTCCTTTTCCCCTCTGTCCCCCTTAGAACGATAAAATCTTAAGAGAGTGCGAAATTCTCTGATTCCTCTGTCTTTTTCAGGGCTTTTCTACAGAATTCAGCAGTTGGACCTAGTGTCCAATGCAATCCTCTTCACTGCAGTGAGCGCCGTCTCGACGTACCTCTTGGCCATGGCTTACGCTCGTGTTCAATTCGTCACCAAGCACAAGTTGGCCCAAAAGCGCGAACAAGCGATAAACCGCGAGGTCGCCCTCGAATTCGGGGACCGTAAGGTTTCGAGAGATGAACGCGACGAGCGGGTCCTCTGCCGCAAGAATGAAGTTGCTCAGTACGAAGCAACGCATTATAGCATCTTCTACAACAATTCTGTGTTCCTCAGTTTGGTTGTCTTCTTGGGTTTCTACCTCTTCCGCTCACTCGCGCCCGGGCTCAACTACATCCTCTCTGTCGGAGGTTCAGCTGGACTCGTTGCGTTCCTGTCGACAGGGAAGTAGAGCAGAGGGACTAGGGTCGATGAAAAACAAAGGCTCCAAGAATGGTTGACTTAATTCGATGGAGTCTACCGATCCGAGGTCAAGCATCGATGCAAACTGAGAGCCAGGGACCGCAGACTAAGAAGAAGAATGGAAGAGTCGCGGAAGACATGTGCGAATGGGTGTAAAATTTCAGATGTGATGATCAGGGAGATAGTTTAGAGGGTGAACACATTCGGATACGCTGGCAAAAAAGAAACACCACGCCCCCTCTTGACGATTCCTCGGTGCGACCAGAGAACATGGAATATTTATGAGTGGATAGGAGACAAAGCGGAGGTGTCTTTTTGGAAATGTGAATAAAACGAACAGTTTTTCTACACGAGCCGTTGGATTCATTTGGCTCTCGAGAGTTCACCCCTCATCGTCTATTCGGCTGTCTCATCCACTTCCTTCAGACATAGGAGTGCAAGGAATATCATAGTTTCGAAACAAGTGATGCTTAACTTTATTTTTATATGAGCCTTGCCTCGCATACCATCATGATCTCCCGGGGAGTGATCGCTCGAGCAAAATGGTTCAAGTTCACTCCGTCCTAACACGCGCTCATTTTTGGATTCATATTTTTTTCTCACTATCCGCGAGACGCGCACATCTTCGTCCGCAGATTGAATGCACGGAATTTCCAGACGTTTTTTCCGTCTCACTCAATAAAACATTTTCGGTGTGATAGAGCCTAACATGATACCATTTGTGCACGGAACTCGACAGGGAACGAACGACCGTAGTTGAATCTCTCGAAATAACTTCTCCCAGTTCCGTCTCTGGGGGGGAAGTGGTCCCGGGACCAGGACCTCCCTCCCATCCCCTGAAACATCGTAGAGGCTCCGGAAACCCCAACGAGCAATACGTCGGCGATTCCCGAAGGATGAACGCTCAATAAAGATCGATACGGAGACTAAATACAGAATTGAGATATAGACCTGGGAGGCGGCTAATGCAGCCGTCCAGTCATGGTCGGGAATAATACAAAAATAATAACCACCGGTCCCGGTAGGTTCTCGCGCATTAAACACCTTCGAGGATAGACAGGTCAAATTCAATCGAGCTAAATGATGATGGTTCCACCTAACGGTCTAGAAATTCGATCTCACTCAAAGTGTATCCGCTGGGCTGTCGAGTTGAGGAGATTCGACAGCAGATGCTGCCGTGTTCCTTGAAGTGATCATTGATTTGTTTCCTCTGAGTTCCCTCCACTTCGGCGTGCTTCCCAAGGGCCGTTGTCTAATTTATTCCCGAGCGTCCTATTTTTTCTTGTCATTCGAGCCCCAGTCGTTGCCCCACTCGCCCCAGTCATTCTCTTCTTCCACTTTCTCTGGTTTCATTCCCCCGGAGCCCTTCTCCTGATTTTGGTAGGAACTCCAACCAGCAGCCGCACTTTTGCTCTTGGTCATAACGCTCTCCCGATCCCAGAGTGCATGGTCAGCAATTTGGCTGTCGTCACGGAATGCTCGGGGATCGTCACTGCCGCCGATTTGCTCGAACCCAGCTTTCTGTGCAATAACAGTCGTAAGATCTTGAACTGAGCGCTTTGTGACATCCGCCGCTTTCGTGACCTGATTGGTGAGCGAGTCCACAAGAGTCCCGTCCCTGACTTTCTGTTGCACCACCTCCGAAGCCTCGATGACCTGTTGGAGCAGTGTAAGCACTCAGTATGGTGGTGGTTGTCCGATAAAATCTAAGTTCTGCCGACTCGCGTGAACTTATAAAGACATCACGACGACTAACCTTATGAGCTGCCGCTCCGCCGACTTTGATTGCCATTGAAGAGAACGAAGACCACACCGAGCCAAGGATCTCTCCGGCTTGTTCAGCAGGGGTCTGGGGGGAGGTCACCGGAGGAGAGTAGGCTTGATTGCCGAATCCGGCGTATTTACCTCCTTGGGAGGGCGGCAGATGATCGGGCCGCGAAGCGTTTTCAGCTTGAACACGAGAGAAAAACGAGTCTTTGTGTCGAGAAATGTCCTCCGTCGACATCGACTGATAACCGCCCACTGAAAAACGTAATGAGTCAAAGTGGAAACTCCGCGATGCGTTGATCAGCAGGCAATTCGAAAGATCTAAGTAATTCAGCGTGGCACGATAGATTTTTGAAAATGTTCATCGAATGTCGACCTTCTCCGCCGTTCGTGGAATAGTTCTCGGCCTGGCTCTTCGGCGTCGCTTGAGAGGTTTTGGAACTACGTCTCGGGATCGCATAACTCTGATGATTTCTCGCGGAGGATTTCTCCACGCTCCATGGCTCACCGCGAGCCTCTGTCGCAACTTTGTCGCGGAGTAGCGCTGCAGCTCTCGTGTTGTATCTGCGATGAGAATTCCGATTAGGTCGATGGCTCGCCGGAATGAGGGCCGTCGAACAGCTGTATCCGACGCACTCACCGATCGCGCAAGTTCATGTCCCAACTCCAGTCGTCCTGGCTCTCCAGGAACTCCTTTGCTTTAGCGTTCCCGCCGACTTTCATTTTCTCCAATTCTACATCCTTCCATTTGTCCATTGTGATCGAGCGCACGAAGCTCAAGTGAACGCCGAGTCCCCTGCGGTCCGTGAAGATTCCGATGATTCGCAACCCATCTCTCTCGAATCAGTCGCTCCGACGATTCGTGTCAGATGGGTTTCTCTCAGTCAGATCATAGACTATCGATTCTAGCGCTAAATCCGAGGAATGACTGAGTCGCGGAAAATACTCTCAAATGAGTCAAGAACATCTGGGAGCTGACCATCGGAGACAGCCCGACGACAGTCGAGGACGGTTCAAGGAAACCCGTTCTGTCGGTGGTGGAGATGGTAAATTCTCGACTACATCGCTTCTCGGGTAGAAATGCTCGGAGACTCAGCAAGCTCAACTCACCTGTGCTGACCGGAGCATTCAAGACAAATCCAAATGCCATAGGAAACGGAGGCCCATTGTGGATTGTGGGCTCCACATTCGAAGCACTTTCTATTCTCGTATTTGGGCTGTAGCTCTAGTAGACATCGACGTGTGCGTGGCGAAGCCATCTGAAGAAAAGAGCGATCGATCTTTGAGCAATACGGTCAGCCTACGTCCGGCATCACCCCCCGAGAATTCTCGAGGGAATCCCGGAAAATCATTACACGACTTCCGATCTCGAAGGGCTGCGAATCGTCCGACCTGAGCCTTCCGAGATGCGATCCATTGACTAAACTGTGTAGCTCTTGCAGCATCGAGGATCGATCGTCGGCTTTTTAGGTCAGGATGAACGAAGAGGATCAAGAACGCTCTCGAAGACGAGCGTGCCGCTACAAGATTGTCGCCACCCGGTATTCTGAGTGACCAGGATGCGCACGATTCCCCATACCCTTGACTCGTCTCTTCTGACACATGGTGTTCGTCCCTGATTATGGGAATTTGGCGTCATGGTCATGAGCATGCAGCCCGAACCGCTACGACATTTGACGTCAACAGCCACGGTAACCGATGAGATTCCGCGTCGGCCACCGAAATGATACGCACCGAAACTTGGTATATTCCTGACCGAATCAAAAATTCGCCAGCCATCCGCCGATCTTTCTCTCGAAGTATCCGAGGACTCCCCCATCTTCGAGTGGGAAAAACAGAGATTTCGCATATTTAGAAATTTTTTCAGGGGTTGTGGGAAGTCTTGTTCCGGAAGAGGGGGCACTTTGTCGTCCCGATCTTTTTCCCTTACTCGGGAAACGATCTCAGGGAAACGTTCAGTCCAACAGAACGAAGACTCAGGCTCCGGAAGGAGCTGGAGTCGACACCGGAATCGACCTTTTCTTCCTCTCGACTCTCTAATCCCCAACACCTGGTCGATGCCGTCCGTACCGAGAGCGCTTACCCCGGTCCGAATGGAAACATACGGTCACCATCTACGTGGCCTACATTCTGGAAACACATTCGACATTACCTCCCTCGGCGAGTGAAGATGTAGTCGACACACAAGTTCCCAGATTCACTCCGGATTCAACTAAGGTAGCTGGAGTTCCGGAAGGGGAACGGACCATCAGGCGGAAGCGGAACGAACACTGCCTTGGAAATTCGAACGAGATCTGCAGCAGCTGTCTCCAACCAGCGCCGGCCGATGTCATTGTGGCCCATCCAACGATGCCCGTTTCTCACAGAGCCGGACCACTTTCTCAATCCGGGCAGATACGAGCTCGACCGAGAATTCGTGTCCTGACTCTTCATAGCCCGCCCAACCCCCGTCGTAACTCTTGGAAACCGACGAAGGACGACTACTGCATGAAGTTCGGGGTTGTCTAAGGAATGAGGGGAGTCCGTGACAGCGCTGAATCACGTGCCGGATGAATCGCGTAGGTGAGGGCATCAGCGAGAATCGTATCCAACAACCGCCGACTCGTGACCAAGTTGGCTCGCACTCGCCTGCGCGCCGCGCCGCCAGTGTCATCCGATCAGCTGGCAGTCTTCTCGGCGACTCTCTTTTGATCCGTTGACGGGACGTCCACGAATTAGAATGTGAACCCCCAGAATCCTACGAACGGTGCACAGTGAGAATCTAGTCAGTAGAGTAACCACGAATCTGAGTACTCTAGTCAGGGAGAGTCCTCGTGACCACCGAGGACTGGTAGTTGCGGGTAGGCAGAATTTTTTGGACACCTTAAATTTCGGTGAGTACCTACACTTACCTTCCAGCGATCGCAAGGCTGCTCCCTTTGAGTTGTCGTAGACCTGGGTATGGAGGTATTTTTTCGCACGGAATTATTTTTGGGATGTATCCGATCGGTTTTCAGGTTCACGATGTTGCTTTCAAACTTTCTGTACCGCGCGATGGACACCTGTACAGGATTGCATGAATTCCTGGAGCCGTGTAGGTTTTCGCTTGTGTTGTATTCAATTTCGGATAATCTGTCAGAACCTTCTGGACCATTGTTTCGATGGAAAATCGTCTCTTCGCCGTAAAGAGAAATTGAGTGTAGCAGCTGCGCGCTGAATGTTTGCACAGTATGCCTGGAAGTCATAAATACAGAGCTGAAGCTTACAATTACTCATGACGCTCTCGTTCCGAACTTCCAGTTGAAAATGTGGCGCAGTGCATTTTGTAAAAGAGTGCAACGTTTCCACAAGATGGGCCTCTACGTTGAATATCGTTTTGTGGGCTTTGGCCTAGCGACGATAGTGGCATTACTGGTAAGCTATTGTTCAGTAGTAAGAAATCCGGAAATACCTGAGAAAAAACTCGGAGAGTTCCAAAAACACCGGTGTATGCTCCTAGTATTCTCTACTCTTATCTGATATCCTCGATGTATCCACGAGTCCGAGGAAGGTCGTTTTTGGCTTCGATTTTTCTCTACTGATCGGCGATTCCTCATTGAAACTCCATCGTAGTTGATCGGATCCTATTACACCGTGATGTCAGCTGGAGCGTCAGAAAGCCTGTCTTGGTCGAACTCGACTAACGAGCCTCCACCTATTCCACCAAGATCCACCGCAGAGGACGAGGTTTGTTACATTCATCGATTCAAACGAGAACTGGCCTTTGACGAGAATCGATCCGGAACAAGGAGGGCTTTGTCAGGAAAAGCTCGAAAATCATGATCCGCTTTTCCCGTTCCAGGTCCTCTCGTCAATGACAATATTTTTTGTCCTGACCGTGATAGCCGTCTGCATCTTGTCTATACATTTCCTAATCCAACTGGATTTCCGATTCCTCCCGGAGTCGGTCGCTGTCGTGCTCATCGGAGCAAGTATCGGTCTAGTCCTGAAACTCATCTCTCCCGGAGGATGGCAACAGGAGGAAGCTTTTTCTCCAACGACGTTCTTCCTAGTACTCCTCCCGCCGATCATTTACGAGTCCGGTTATAATCTCCACAAGGTGAGATAAGATTCTGAATGCGATCGGACTCACTCAGGTGTACATACGCTCTCATTGCATCTCGGTTGAGCCTAGGCTCAATCAGTCGACTATGTAATAATTATATGGAGAATCCGGAACTCAGGACGATTGTGGGGGATTCCTCGATTGCAAGCCCCTGCCAATGAGAATCCTCCATCGCTGATCCCGCTCGAAGCTACAGTCGATTGAACTTTGGATCCATTTTTCCCAGGGAAATTTCTTCCACAACATCGGGAGTATTCTCATCTTTGCAATCTTCGGAACGGCCGTCTCCGCATTGGTCATCGGAACGGGTGTCTACTTGCTGGGTGAGGGCTGATCATGAATTTTGATGGGGAAACATCGGGGAAGAACTTAAAATTTCGAGGACTCTTGCATACTGGATGTCGTTCCTTGGGGAAACTGTCATCGCGCCCTGGAGAAGTCCGAGAGCACTACTCGTGAGCCCAAGCTTAAGACGAATCATCGTCTTGTTCTCAGGACTCGCTGATCTGGTCTACTCGTTGAATTTCGCCGAGAGCATGGCTTTCGGGGCTTTGATATCAGCTGTAGATCCGGTGGCCACCCTGGCCATCTTCGCAGCTCTGGATGTCGATCAAGTTCTCAACATGCTGGTCTTCGGGGAATCGATTCTGAATGACGCAGTGTCGATCGTTCTGGCCACGTAAGCTCCCCCTTTTCTACCCATATGCTCGTCTCCTACCGCGGAATTCCGGCGCCGATTCGACGGCCGCGGCTGATACCTGATTTTCGGTTTTCAAGCGAATCGCTTTCTTTTATTCTTCGCAGCACGGTTCTCGAGGCGGGTTCACCCCACATGTTGAACATGACAACTGGCGAGGTTGCGCTATATGTTGTGCGACGATTTCTAGTCGTTTTCTTCGGGTCTGCGGGTATCGGGGTCCTCTTCGCTCTCGCCGCGGCCCTGCTGTTGAAGTACGTCGATCTTCGGCGACATCCATCGATTGAATTTGGCATAATGCTCGTCTTCATATACGCGCCCTACGGTCTCGCGGAAGGCATACACCTATCGGGTAATAATCTGAGTCATTCGATTGCTTGATCCGTGGAAGGAGAAGCTCCTCGTCTAACCTCATCTTCTCTGACCCAACTAGGGATCATGGCGATTCTGTTCAATGGGGTGGTGATGTCCCATTACACACATTTCAACCTATCGTCTGTGACTCAGATAACCATGCAACAAACCTTGAGAACCTTATCGCTGATGGCTGAGACCTCTATTTTCGCCTACTTGGGTCTAGCGATCTTCAGCTACAGACTCAGTTTTCAACCAGCGCTCATCATAGCGAGTCTCGGATTATGTCTCGCGGGACGAGCAGCGAATATATATCCTCTGTCCGAGCTCATGAATCATTTCCGAGAACACAGAATCACGAAAAAGATGCAGGTCAGTTCAGCGGGCGAATCTAGGAAGATCCTGATGGCGAAATCGGTAGCTTGTGGGCTCGATGGCAGCACCCACGGAACCGGATCATTTCTATTCACAGTTCATTATGTGGTTCTCGGGTCTACGAGGTGCGGTGGCCTACGCGTTGGCAATGCATCTCAATTTCCACGATGAGAAACGACACGTGATCGTGACGACCACGTTGATCATTGTCCTGCTCACAATCGTCGTGATAGGCGGATCTACCATGCCCATGATGAAATATTTAGAAAGGACAGAGCGCCTGGGAGCAAGGGCGAAAAACCGCAAGATCACCCTCTCCAAAACGAAGGTGAGTGTGCTTATTTATTCAGGTTCCTGCCCGCCATCGCTGCTCAATCATTCATTGCTCAACAAAATGTGTGTCCGATCTATATATATTCGTCAGAAATGGCATTAGGTGCATGGATTCCAAGGAGAAAAACCATTCCAGGAAATGGGTCAGGCTATCGATGCGGAACACTTATCCGAATTGACGGAGGAAGAGCTCGAAGTCGGTTTCCGAGCCGCCAGTGTAGCTCGTCTCCGGGGTTTCGCGCGGATCGACGTAAAATATTTGATGCCGATTTTCACACGACGATTCACGCCTCAGGTAGGCTCCTCAGAGAGCGACATGGAGCTCTCAGCCGGGTTCTCTATTCGATTCGCGGAGAAGCATGACCATGGATGAATGCGAGCTTCTGGCGTACGACTCATTGCTTTCCAGGATGTCTACGATGGAACAAAGCAGATGTCGGCTCTGACGGATCAGTGGTATCGCACCGTCAGACCGTCGGACACGGAGTCCACGACGGATGAGCGATCCACGACGGAGAGTGTTTGACCATTGACGCACAAAAGGCAAAGACGACGTCGTCAGCGACGGAGTATTATGATGGGGAAATCTCGGTAAGGGGATTTCCGTGCCCGGAATCGTTCCCTTCTGAAATAATGGATTCAGAAAGAGGGACGCAGAGCCCAGAACGAGCTTCTGAAGCAGACTTCAAAAAAATCTAGTCAAATCGTCAAGCTTTAATGGTCCGGGATCCTGTCGAAGCACTCCACACCCAACTTGGAACTCGGTTCGTTGTTTGTGCGCAAGTCCTCTCTTCAGAGAAACGATCCCATTAGCTACGGACGCTGAGAAAATTGGTGAGCTGGACGGAATCGCGTATGCATCGGTTCCGCTCTCTGTGGAGAGAGCGAAGAGCTCAGGTGGAAGATCATACCGTCCAAGGGGAGTCTTATCTTGGATCCGATTCTAGAATCCATTCCTCCGATGTTCCTCTCGAGCCAGGCCCCTCAGTCGCCCGGCAGTCGCAGAATCGTCCCTTTTTGGCTAATTGATTCCCCTTGGCAGCTTGGTGCTATATTTTTCAAGCGAGTCTTTCAGATTTGCGCAATCCGAGGAAACGAGAATATATTGTAATATAAGAGAGATCCTATCATCGTATCTCCGGCTTCGCGTGATACCTTCGATATTATTTCGTTTGAATATGGCAACGCGGTGACTCTCCTGTCGCGGTTGCACAGAAGAGCGGGCGAAGAAATAAAATGGTTGACGCTTGGAAGGAGAAGTTTGATCAATTCGTTCTCTTGACAATACTGGACCAGGTATATCCGGGAGCCCGATAAGAGGCGCCCGCGAGAACAAGGAGTATATATATCTAGCATGTGCATGTGAAATCGGGAGCGGCAATGACGAAATCCTCGGCAATTCCCTCGTTTTCAAGGCAGTCGCGAAGTTGACACTGGTTTTCGATCCGCAGCGATTCCGATGCGATGCTTGAGCAATGACTGGTTCAAAGAAAAACTTGAACGAGCATCGGACCCGGGGCGATATTTCTTGTCTAGTCGCTGAAATTCCAAAATGCTATGGAGTAATCCCGTCCCCCAGCTATTTTTCCGTTCTCTCAGGGGAAGGCAGGGAGAAGGTGTCGAATTCCTCCTGGAGCGATTCTTACGTTTCGCGGCGAGAATTCGCGGGACAAAACACGACCGCGAGCTCTCCCCAAGTGACTGGATGCTTCTTAAGGACCCGCAGCGAACGCAAAGAACGCTCAGAGACAATCATAGGCGGACGGAATATGTGTGGTAGAGCTTACCAACTACTTGTAGCCATTGCGCTCTCCATCGCGACTTGTTCGGCCACATTTGACTTCCGGACCGAGGTTCAGCACACGGCGGATGGCAAGTTCAATCTGCAGGAAGCTTATTCTCCAATAAACTACGAAACTAGGCCCGAAGAGGACGCCCCCCGACAAGCATCACACGCAGACGATGGTCGTCCATATCCTCGGAACAATGACTCGGGATTGAAAGGAACGAGCTACGAGAGACCTCCGGATCACCAGCAGTACAGCAATCGGAACAGCCCGTCGGATCATGATCAATCTTCCCACCATAATCATCATCATCATCGTCATCAAGATAAGCATCGCAGTTTCAGTAGACGGCGCGGATACTGAGAAGCTGACTCCTTCTCGGGCAATGCAGTCCCATAGGGGAAGGTGGAGGAGTAGAGAGTTCAAACTATGCCCTCTTGAGTAAATGTTGATTGGAGGTAGACGATTGTATTCATTTCCTTATAACTGATAGATTCTTCCACAGAGCATTGGAGGCTCAGATTTCGGATCTCGCTAGATGCATTGCATAGCGCTCTGCGGCCCCGGTCCTCTCCACAAGCTCCAGGGGCTGGTTTTTGGAAGTCCCGCGGTTGGCGGCGATGTGCCTCTTGTCGAGCTTCGGCTCAAGAATTCTCGCAAAACAATTTTGCTTCCGATCTGGAAATCTCTCCGGCTCGTCCTCACCGAATGTAAATCTGCCCTTCGCTCGGCCGCCCCTCGTCTCACCTCAAGTCGAAGTCTCGGTGACCAGGGCTCACTGCTCTTCTCACACCGAGTACCTGGATGCAGTCAGCGCCCTGCTTTCCCCGCTTGTGTCCGAAATGACATCCCAGAGCATCGTGAGAATGTCATATTTCTAGGACCATCACTTCATAATGCGTGGGTGGTCCTAGGTGCCCGAGTCGACCCTCGCTGATACGAGGATCTACAATTCCCGGCTCCCTCTCGTTCGATCGAACCAGATTCGACCGCATTCGGTAGAAGACGTTCGTTCATCCGAGTCCCCGACTGCGGAAAGGCAAAGGCTGTCACGGATCGACCCCTCGAAACTACTATGAATGAAGACACTGACGTTCGGTTTCACAGGTGCGCTTCGGAGAGGGTGTTACACGAAGGGCTTGAATGAACAAAATCCCTTTTCGAGTTTTCCGGTCGTTGGGCACGACCGGACCGAGTTGCAACTTGCAATGTTGTCATCTTTCTTCCCTTCTCTCCTAAACTCTGTTCCGCACAACCCTCTCTGTGGCGCGAATCATTCTCCATAGGAATGATGCAATACTAGTACCTAGTTATATACACATTTCAAATAATTAGCTGGCTTCCCCGACTCGATCACCATACGAATTGTTCGTATGTGACCAAGGCAAGCTTGCGCTTCGGAGCCGATATTTTGTATGCGGGGTCATGGACTCTCGGGGGAAGGGAAAATTCTCCTTGCTCCAGCGGTCACTGCCTGATTCCCATGAAATCTTCGCGCGCGAAATATGGTGTCCCACGAGGTCGCACCCGTGGTCAGCGAGTGTGGAACTCGATATCGGCCCCTGGGATCAGCTTTTCGCTCCGCCTTCTGATCCGGAGTCAGCTTTGCCTGTTTCTACGATTATGGTGAGTCTTTGAACAATGCCTGACAGATCCATGGAGAGAGACATCGTCCTGCAGTCTTGTTTCATCGGGCTCATCCGCAGATCATGAGATTATTCATGGAGCCAATGCCCTAATACTTGGCTCGGCGAAAGCCTCACGGATGCCAGGCTCGCTAGAGGGCTTCGAGAAGGATCTCCCCCTTTACCCGCCCCTCGGAGCTTCCGACTGCCCATACTCCCCACATTATTGCAAGACAGGTATCGGTCCGGCTCTCCCTCGATGCATTGACCCCCCCCCCATCTCCCCTCGTGAGATTCCTCGATCCGCCCCTCTACGACCGACTACTACTTGACTTGCTAAGTAAGCGTGGGCCACGGAGCGCTTCAGAGAGCGCGTGCGGGGCTATCAATCGGTGGCATCGAATTCTTCAATGCTTCCTTTAGATACATAATTCTTTTTTGCTGATAGAATCCAGTCGGGAGCCATCCTTTCCATGTGATTAGTCGCCATCGAGTCTGTGGAATAGAATGTTCCCGTGGAATAGCCACCCAGATATTCCCAGAACGTTCCCTTCCCCCCTGAGAGGAAGTCTGGGCGTGCCAGCGGGAGACCTCACAGAGGGACATGTAATACTAGAATCAGAGCAAAACGGCCGTCAACTCCACCAAATCTATTTGGAACCTCTCTAGGGCCGAACAGTAACCCGGAGAGTGTTGGAGATTTGCTCAGCGATGTAGCCTTTCACCAACACAGCAAAACTGTGGTTTTGTCTGTGTGCAATCGACCACCGACTGCACAAACAGAGAACCTCGAGTTTCACCTTTTGGTATAAGCGCACGCAAGGAAAAGGTGATTACACGAGAAAATAGAAAGCTACAAATACGCATGCCGCCTGGCTTCGATCGTCATAAGTCCATCTGTCTGCCGACCTAACCGTGAAGGTGAGCCAGACGTTTTCAATCAAATACGAGTCGTTCCCTGCCACCGTGAAATCGATCAACGGCTGGAACAGACGGAAAACCTCTACATTTGTCGTGGCTCGATCCGGGAGCTTCCCAGGCCATCTTGATGAGGGATCCGCGGAGTGTTGCGGCGAGTCATGGGGAATATTCGGTGTTCTCAGCTCTCACTCGCTGAGATTGATTCGAGAGTCGCGTCTGAAGTTTATCGAATCGTCATTTCAGATGAGAACGGTAATCCTATTGTCGATTGTTGCTTCCTGTACAGCAGCGATCCCCGAAGGCAACGAGACCGGAAAGAAAGTATTGGACGCAGCGATCGATCTCACCGCATATGCTTTACGAGTAGATCGCGACACCATGGCACAAGTCTTCGAGATTCTCAGCCGAAATGCCCCGGATGAATCCGTCATGAGGAGTGCTATGACATCGATAATGAAGGAGCTCAATGAGAAGTACAGCAAAGTACTGAAAGATATCGACGAAAGCATCCCGAAGGAAGAAGTTGATAAAATGAAGGCGGCTCTGAGTAGATATGGCACCAAATGTTGAAAACGAACCTCTGCCCCAATAAAGTCATTGTTCTCGGGATATGCAACGATGTTTCAGGAGGGTGGGTCCAGGTTCCGGGATTCAGGGTTCGCGAACGGGGAGTTTCTCGAAGCTGAGTGGCAAGGATCGATTTCGATTTCCCGTTCCATCGCTCAATGATTCTACGAATATGCTCTGCATCCCCTGTAGACCCTCAGATTCCCGCGATTCGTCACCAACCCCAAAGCTACGGGAGCTCTGAAAGCGGAGAACTCCCGAGAAGCATCTCGGAGAAAAAATCCGCAGGCCCTGGTACGCTGTGACTCAAAATTGATTTATTCTAGTCAGGAGTGATATTTCTCCTCGTCGCAGCCGGATTTGAATGTACACTCGCTGACGATCAGTCCATCAGTATCCTGATTAGTGTTATCCACATTTTCTTGAAGCTTTCCACAAGCGGCGCATGCCGAGTTGTGAGACGGACTCGAATGAGAAAAATTAAGCGAAGAATCGGCTCGACCCTACAGACTGAAGCGCCGTACCCGTTCGAGGTTCGGTTCCGCAATCTCGTTCCGGTCTCGATGAAAAAGTTTAACGGCGAGATGCATCACAGCCAAATTGACGCTCATGGCGAGTCCGCACGCGAGCACAACATACATTAATACGGAAGGGTTGCTTTCTATATAGTGGCCGACGATAACGGGCGGGATCAGTGCGCCGCTGCAGGTCAATATCAGAATGATGCTCACGTAGTCATGCGAAAGCGTCACGTGATTGGAGACCCATGCCGTACAGCTCCCGTATAGCGGGGAGAGACCCGCACCGAGCATGCAGCACGCGATCCAAAGAACGGACTCTGCCCAATGAGTGAGGAAAGCCAGCGCGAAAGCTGCAACCAGCAGGACACACTGACCGATTATCATGAGATGCATGGGGGTGAGTTTGTAGGAGAGGGGGACAGCCAGAACCCTCGCAGCTGTAAAACCCCCGTAGCAGAGAGAAGTGAGGAAAGCCGCGCTAGATTTACTGAATCGGTGTTCTGTGACGGCGTAGACAGAGATGAATTTGGAGAAGCACGCTTCGAGAGTCACGTCTATCAAAGTATAGAAACCAACGAGAAACACGAGCGCCCACTCGAACATGCGGTTTGTAGAGCCGGAGGACGAGGATTTTTTCGAGTCTTTCTGCGGTCGGATATCTCTCGAATCCAAGCAAAACGATATGCTCATGAGAAAGGCAGTGAGCAGGAATGTAGAACCTATGATCGCATAGGGTATATGAACGCGAGATGGGAGGCCTTCCATGTAGCCAGAGGTTACGTTCGATGCATCCGATAATTCCGGAGACTCGTCACCGAAGTAGCTGCGAATTGCGAGATGCACAACGTTAGGTTATATTCTTTCTGGAGCAATATTGATACCACAATAATTCCGGAGAATCCCCGTTTCCACTACATATGACGAAACACTCCTTAAACAGAGTCATGTGAAGAAGTTCCTTCTTGTGGCACGTTCACCGCCACCTCTCTCGAGAGAGCGAGCTGGGCTCTCCTGAGTTTAGATCCGCCTACCTCTCCGAGCTCAGGAAAGGTTCCGCGATGAGCGGCGCGAAGAGGGCACCGATTCCGTACATAAGATGAAGGAGCTGAATTGCAGGCGATACATGGTCGCGCCAAATCCCCACTAGCCAGACATACACCCCTACAAACACAGAGAACGTTTTGAGCTTGAAATCCGTCATCGAAGTACTCTCGCGACATTGATCGACAGCGACGGGGCACTAGGAAGGCAATCAGAACGAACCGATTTCTTGCACACCAAAGAAACACCCGTTGAGAAATGCGAATGATGCGACCATTAAAGGTGTAGAACCATGCGGTATCAGGATGTTGAAAATGCCACAGCACAGCATACATGTGATGATGACTCGCTGCGCGTTGAACGTTGCGAACAGGGGAGTCGCTTCATGGACGAAATCGTTCTTGTTAGATCCCAATGTCTGAGTGAGATCAGCCCATTGAGCCGTTCGTCTGCTAGGACCATGTGTGTCGAAGCTTATCGACAAGCTGACCTCCGATCCCGGACTCACCCAAGAAGGATCCCACGAAGGCCCCGAAATCGCCCGAGAACGCCACGTAGCTCATCTGGGCGACTGAGATCTTCAGTAGCTCAGAAATGTCTAGCAGAGTCGGACCTACGATCGCCAAAGTCAAGCCCTACCGGATTTCTCAAGTTTGAATTGCGTGCTAGACTCTCTCTTGAACTCTTCCGGATAATTTGAGAATCAGGACCATCCCCTAAACTCTAAGCGTCCTTACCAGAGAAACGCTGGCCATGTTCAAGTTGATGCTCTGGAAAATCCGGACCGGCTTCGAAGGCAGACCGGGCGGATCACCCGGAGCCTCCTCCACCCCAAGGGTTTCCGTCGCTTCGCGAACCGCTGAGACATGATTTCGTTCTGACATTCGTTCTGAGTTTAGGGTGACCTCTCAGGACATCGCCGGACTACTTCACATACATGGCGTGGTAGGTATGCATAAAGGCACGACTTAAACGAAATTCCATCAAGTGCCTTGTGGCGTCACGAGAAGCTTGCGGCAGAGAGTCAAACAGCAAAACGACTAAAGTAGCTCAATGAAAGTTCGGCGGAATCATCCACAACAGCCGCTGCGGCCGCGGCCAATCTGATCAGAGGAGATTCGTTCCCTTGCTCCTGCAATGATCCACGGCGAGTCACTTCTTGATCTCACACACAGGGACATTTTCACTGAGAGATGCCAGCGGAGCTTGATTCCATGTTTCCGTCTTCAACTGCCGAGGGCCATTCAATCTTCTCACGTTCCTAATATAGAGATTGATGCTGGACTCATCACAGGATAAATCGATATCCATGCATCCCTCCTCTATTCATGAAACTTTCGCAGCTTCAGCATCTCCTTGGCTCTGGGACACGGGGCACAGCAGGGTCGGTTTGCGTGGTCCGAGGGAGCAAACGAATTCAACTTTCGAATTTCGCGATTTTTTCTTGACATTGGTCTGGTGATGAACTCGTACGTTTATTTTCCCCGAGGGCTCCTCACGATCTCTCCCTGGATCCATGGACGAAGATTACGCATTCAACATCATTCTCAACAAGAAGAACATCCATAAATCTGGTCCATAAAAATAGGTCTGCAATAAATCAAACGAGAAGGCTAGACTCCAGTATTCGATTGACTAGCCTCTACACATGCCCACAAACTTTCTGGGATACAGTCGACTTCCTTGAAACGCTCAACACGGGACCACTGGTTTTGGCGTGGAGCCCGCTCACGTACTCGGGGTAGAGGTGCTCACGTACTATAGTGCGTAGAGGTTGATCGTGGAAACTTCTGACTCGAGCACGTTATGCGAGTCAGCAATCAGGTCGTCAGACGCGATTGACGTTGCAAACATCATCAGTAAACCCGACTTCTGCAGTTATTTGCCTTCTCCACGATCTTCGTGTATTCGCAAAAAAGGAATCTTCCCCCGTTGTCTTTCTGAGCCCCGGCGAGGCTGATCGCGGTATTTAGAATGAGCTGCATTGGGATATCCGCACTTTCCTGGAAACTTTCTTCCTCGAAACGATTTTCGTCGACTCCTCCTCACAACCCTGAGCTAGAGACATTTCCGTCTTCCATAGGACCAAGAGCAGAATAGAATGCGCTTATCGGCGGCGATGAACGATGACAGGGCTGAATCCTCGGCATTCGAAGCGACGGCATTTGCAGCGAATACTCTCTGCTTGAAGACGCTGTATTCTTCAGATGTCATCGGCTGCCGAGCCAACCCGAGAATTAATATCGAGTGGGAGAGAACCCATTTTCGAATCCCACTTTCTCTCGATTTCTTTCTTCGGAAACAAGGGCGTCAACATCCGTGGGGTTCCGCCATCTCTCGAAATGACTCTCCGTGGATTGTCCGTACTCCGTGATGACTGATGACGGTTGTGAATTTCCGAGTGCATTGCTGAGCCGGATGCTCGGCCTGACTGATCCATCATCTCCAGAATGAGGAAACACCAGCGATGTTTCATCATGGGAGAGTCCTCAGCCCGCGCGTCGATGAGGAAAATATGAGTCCAGACCAGAGTTGCTTCATACAAGGCTCAGAAAACGTTCCAGTCGGAGATCAACAGTCGTCGCGTCGATCTCGAGGCTTGTACTTGTTGCGGTAACCTAATCGGTGCTTGCACAGAATCCGTAGCCGACTCAATATACATATGCTCCTGTGAGCATCGGGAGTATCGTATGTATTTACGTTGGCTTGGACGTAGCACGTCACCTTCGAATTATTATACAATGAATCAACTTCCGAGTGTTCTGCCCATCAAAGAAACACTCCGGTCGAAATGTGGTCAGCCGCCTCTTTGAGGGACACTGTGTCCAAAGCCAGGTCTGTCAAGACTGCCCCTCGCGCACTCCTCCCTCCCGCGAGCTCCCTCGCCTCATCGAGCCTCCACATGTCGTCGAATTCACATGGATTTCATGACAAATTACATGGAGGGTTGCACCTGAGACGACCGAGCTCACGCTCTCGAGAAATGTTTCTGGGAGAGCACCACTGCGACGGAGTGATTGATCTCTCAAGCTCCGAGTCCCGGGATCTGCCGCATGTGAGCTGTCTCGCGAGAATAGGAGTTTCGTTCCGATCGGCGATACCCCCGATTTCCTGGAGACGGCCGTCAGCCGGTTCGGCTTTTCGGGCAGAGACCTGGGCAACTCAACGACAGGCGGATTGAACAGCACGTCCGCTCGCGCAAACATGGCCTATATCCCGATTGAGTCATGAAGTTCCCTGGTAGATGTCACACACGAGCAAGCTCACAGCTCACAGGTATCGATTCGCAGGTCCTTGACATGGAGAGAACCGACCGAATCTCAGTGGCGATTCTCCAACTCTCGGAGAGTTTTGCATAATTCTATCATTATCGTTAGCGTGAGGGTGTTGTGGAACTCAGCGTTTCTATGTGCCTTCTCCTAGGAAAGTCATAGAGCCCGATTCTGCAAGAGACCTTTCGTTCTGGGCGAACACCTCTCGAAGAAACGAAAAAACCCGAGGCCAAATCGTTCGAAGGATCTGAGCGTGCGGTTTTGGAGAGCCTTCGAAATGAAAACTTTATGGTGTTTCGTGTTCGTCAGTGTTACCGTAGCCGCCCCTCTCGTTGGATCAGATTCCGCAGCTCGGCATCATCGGAGTAAAAGACAACTCGGTGAAGTAGCAGTTCAGATCAGTAATGTTCTAGCGGTCTGTATCATCAGTTCTATGAACTAGATCTGTTCCCGGATGTCCTGTGGGCAGTGTCTACTCCGGCGAAGTTTCTCACACTAATTTTTCGATGCTCAGTTCCTCGTCACGGTCGGAGCTCAATCCGTCGCACAGGTGGGCAGATTGGGTCAAGACATAATCGGCGAGAACAGCGGGGGACTGCTCGCTTTACTAGAGTCTCTATTCGTCGGGGTCGAGGTGAGTCGAGGCAAAGACATTCCCCAGCCCTCACGGCGAGCGCTAGGAACTAAAAATTGTTCAAAAGTCCTTGATATGTTGATTCGCTCCTCCCCCGCAGGTCAGCAGCGATATATTACGAAACTTCCTAAATTCAATAATCGGAACTCTTGAAACGGTTTTGGGAACACCCGACAGAGAGGAAGGTCTTGTCAACGGCAGCGGAGGTTCGAGGAAAACTGAAAAACTCGGAACTCTGAATCGGAATGGAACGACGAAAGTTTCCGAGCGTCAGAAGATTTCCCCCACGAAGAGTGGCCAAACAGGGGTCGCTCCGAGCAGGATGATAAGAGCCAATATGAAACAGATCAGGGAAGCTCAGAGGCGGTTCTGGACCTCAATCCTTAATGGAGGCAGGGGCGCTTCCGTCAGGAGTAGGGGACCTTCTCAATGATCGTCAGCGACTACATGGCTTCTGGTAAACACCGAGGTGTATTTTCGAGTTCATACGTAGGAGTGTGCTCCTGACATCGAGCAGTTCTGGAGGTCCATGTCCGATCCCAACACGCTGGAAAAAAGGAACACATAGTTTCTGCTCACGGGCGAAGCGATCCCGATGCTTCATTTATTGACGGTCCTCGACATGCTTGCACCAGTCGATCTCTATAGAGAAAAACTACGCCTCGAAATACAAGTGATTGGATTCAAAGCCACAATACGAGCTGTTCCACAACTTCCACGAATCTTGCTTGATGTTTGATGTGTGTAACTACAGCATCTTCACCTTTCCCTCTCTTTGCACCACTCTCAGCTTACGCCTCTCCTGAGCATTCCGGTCTTGTCCCAGCTGACGCAATTTTCCGTGGAGTTCTTTCAGGAAGTGGAATTATTCCTGTCTCAAACGAAGTCTGGACGGACGGACAGCGAGCCCGTCTTCCAGCATGTGAAGCGAGGTAGCCAGCTATGGAGTCTGCGGAAACTTCAACAAGGAGTCACAGCGAAGATACGCCAACGCGAGCGGTTCCTAGCATATCAAGACGTTAAGGGAACGGGTGAGGTCACTGTAGTCTTTCACTCGTGACCCTCTTGCTTTGAATCAGGGGGGCAGTCCGAAATTCGAAGAATTTGCGCGAACAGCAACCCAAATGCCGGACTTCAGTTGGACGATTCCGAAACCATGGTCAAGCAATTTTCGTATTCCTACGCAGTACATTAAGCCACTTTTCCCTCTCGGTACTCAGGTTCTCGACGGAGACCCATCTTCGACCTCTTGATTGCTGTAGGCGTAGACGATCGGTCGCCGGGGGGCTCCGTCGTCGAGCGTGAAATTCCACAAGAATCCCGTCATCCACGATGGGTTCCGATCCGAGTACGAGTCCAGCGTTCTTCAAAGTCTTCTGTCGCGTTTTTTTCCATTCTTTTACCAGTTCACCAAGAAATCTGTCGTTTGCGACCTTCCGTTGTCAAAGCTCGATTGCACGGGGTTAGATCGCGCGTTGCTGTTCCGCGGCACACGTCTCCATCATCTCCGGCTCCCCCAGGGGTCGTCGATGGCTGCAGAGCCTAGTCTACCTCGCGACCTCGAGGGAGACCTCTCTAGATCCGAGTCCTAGGGATGTACCGATGGTCCTTAGGGTACCTCTCCAAGCAGACCGGTCTCTGAAAGCAATGATGTTTAGGATTTTCTTCGTTTTCATCGTTCCACAAAGATGCGCCATTCCAGCTTAATACAAGGGTCCGCTCGTCCCAGATCAGTTGCGCGAAAAAAGTTCAATCAGCAACTCCCCGGGCGGTATTGTATATAACCTCTCCGGCGCTGAATCATGTGTAAAATTCCCGTACTCCCCGCCTGTCAGATCCGTCCACCCTGCCGTTTATTCTTCTCCGCCGAGCATTGTTCCGCGTGACCCAACGCTGCTGACCTTGGAACCCAGAACACCCACGCACTTGACCAACGACCAGTCGGTGGGCCTGCGTTCTACCCTCAAAAACGACCTGATGACTGGAAAGTGCGCGTAAGTGCTTAAGACTCACTTGCGACGCTCAGACCGTAAACAATGGCCAGGTGCCAGATCAGAGAACTACGACCGAGTTTTTAAGTCCCTCTTGAGATCTCTTGAGGGTAATCAAGAAAAGATTCGCCCGCAGACTAGAGGGATCATCGTGTTTCTATCATGTTGCCGAATTTTCCATACGTAGTCTATCTGACGAAGCGATCCGAATGGGAGGAAAAAATAAATCCTGTAAGGAATCTCTCTCACCCTAGACGCAGTCCCGAAATAATGAGGTGGAGCCACTCCCCGCCAGAAATCACTGGGAGCCTGAGCGCTGCGCCACATGCCGGCGATCTCGAAAACCCTCGGAACATAAGATGGGTGGTAAGGGACGTGCCGGCGGATGCGTGCCCGGGCCCTGTCGATATCCGCTTGGATTTCTTCACGCAGAGCGCTGCCATAGAATCGGCCTCGAGGTGAAGCGCCGTAAGCGGTCGACATATAGCTTGAGCGGTAGGACATCTTCCTGTCAGGCGAGAATCGACTTTAGGTTTCGGCGAGCGGACCAGGAGCAGGTCGGAAATCCGTGCAACTCTCCGAAGTTCTAGAGCCTAGACACCGAAGCGAAGACACCAATGATGACGAGGTACAGGGTAGATACTCACAAAACGGTTCAAGATATCCGAGCGGAAGATTAGTCGACTCGTGGGAGCTCGCGGCTTAGAGTGACTAGTCTTGTTGGCCGTGCGGTTCTGAACGAGATGACTTGCCTGGCATCTGACGCCTTCTCACCCGCCTGCTGCGCTTGACGACCGCCCTCCACAGATGCCATTGAGTCAAAGAAGAAAACTAGCGACTACAAGCCCGATGAAGTAAGCCACGTCATCGAATTCTCCCCGAGACTTCACAAACAGGTTCACCGAAGCTATTCTCGGAACGCAATTTCGGACTGCGGGTCGGCTATTTCCTTCCATTTTGGAGAGTTCGAGTATCCGATGATGTTCTCTCTCGTATAGTTGAACTTCCAGACCGATCCATCGAATAATAATTCATAATGCGTGGGATATGTTATCATTATCTATTCGAGCCGGTCCGAGTTCTCAACGGCATGAACTTAGAGAAATAATCGTATCGAGGTGAGAATGAATCCCACGGGAAAATCGAAAGCCTGGGAAGGAATGATCGAACACAACGGGGAGATTTCAAAAGGAAGAAATGGAACGAGAACCAGCTGGGCCGAACTCGAAGTGACGGAATCAGGGAGATCACTCAGATCTGAATTCCCGATCCAGATCTAGTAGATGCAGGAGACGAGAACCCATGGCACACCTACGACGTACTTCAACAATGTTATCCGGAGGTTGATTCCGGATGAGTCCGCTTAGAATGAGCGAGATGAGCTCGCTCGGAATGAATTATCCATAACGTCGGTGCCTCTCGGGATCGATGAGAGCGGGGAGCCTCACTTTGATAAGCCGCAGAGATTTTTCCGCGGAGAATTCAGTCCGACGCAATCGCCGGAGGAAGAAGCTCTCGTGTCCTCATACGATATTTATTCATTTCTCGAAAAGGAGTTGATATCTTTACAATCGTTGCACGACACCAATTCCCAGGGAACTTTACAACAAGTGCTTCTCCTCTCGGGTTTAAAACACGACCCAGGTCAAAAATAAGCCGATCGGCTAGCGATCCTGTCTAAGAGGCTGCTCGGGCATCCCCGAATACATTCATAGTACAGCCTTCAACAATTGAATCGGAAACTTCACGATCTACTCGGTCCCCGGAATCCTCGATGAAGGATGACCGAAGGGTTGAAGGACAGATGATTCCTCCTTCTCTCTTGAAGCGGGAACTAGCATACAGCGGAACTCCCTCCCTAGTTCCGCTCCTCGGTACAGAACGAGCGCATTGATCCTGTTCCCTAGAAAATACTGGCGAGCTCATTCTCGCAAATCCCTGCATGTTGAATCAAGTCAGCTTGGTTTTCGAAGGGCTGCATGCATATGGGACATTTGCGTTCGTCTTGACGGGACATGGCGGTTGCGCCGGCAGCGGCGAAGCCGGACGCACCGACGGCCGCGGACGCGGCTGCGCCGCCAGCTTGTTGAACGGTGTTCACTTGAAGCTCCTGGAGGAGACGCATGTTCTGAGCCTGGAGATCCTTGATTGCTTCGCGTAAGGAACGATTATCCGCCTCTAAGCGGAGCCGGTCAGCGGTGGCGAGGTTTTCCGCCGCTCTGTCGATCTGTAAGGGAACGAATCTCAGTAAGAATCGAGCATGTTTCAGAAATGAGCTCTCCGGTCCCTTGACATCATCAATATTCACTTGCTGCATATCATCAGTGTCGATCACTTACGTCTGATCGTTGAGTCGGGGCATCCGCTCCCAGATCGACAGGTGGCTGATAATTACTTTCGAAGTTCTGCCAAGTTTCCAAGAGACTCGCGTAGTCTTTCTGAGCTTTCTCCCGAAGAGATTGCTCTGAACGCAAGGCCATTCTCAAAGCCTCTTTCTGGGAAGCCTGCTCGCTCTGGAGGCATTCGAAGGCAGCGATGTTCGATCTCAAGGTTTCGGCTGTCTTCGCCTCGAGAGCTTTGACTTCGTTCTCAAGCCTCGTCTTCTGCTCCATCGAAACGTCCAGTTTCTCTCGAAGACGATCTTTCTCAAGATTGGCCTGAGTTAACTTCTCCGCGATTGCCACCACTTTTTGATTGAGTGAAGCTTCAACCGATAAGCGTCTGGCGGCCTCCTGATCCGAAGAGGATTCGCTGCAAAATTCAGAAGAGCCTTAGAGACTCTGTTCTCGCGGATGCCTTCCAGGAATTGAAGCTCATCACGACCCCTCTCGGGCACTGATGTCGATGCATTCGCAGGTGCATGTACCTAGTCTGTTGAGATTCAATCTCGGCGATTTTCCTCTGGTTGAGCTGCTCTTCGAGAGCCGTCTTCTCTCTGAAGAAGAAATGCACCCTTGAGTCAAGCTGACGATTCAAGGACGCCGGCTGTGGAGCCGGGATTCGACACCAGATAAGAAACGTCGACATGCTCCGCATACATACTCATTAGCTTTGACGAGTTCCTTTTCAAGTTCGTTCAACTTCTCTTGCAATTGACCCGGGAGCGGACTGCAATATCAGTGAGGGTAAAACAGGGTTCCTATTCTCGAGGACCTCAGGGCGTAGGAAAAAGCGATTGAATGTCAGACTCACTCTTCCGCGTGTTTCTCCTCGATGTTCCGGAGTTTACTCCTGAGCTCGGTGAGTTCAGCCAAGAGTTCGGGTTCGGTGTCGAAAGCTCCGTTTTCTATGCGAACATAGGACGACTCTTCAGCTCTCTGACGTGCTTCCTCGGCCGTGCTTTGCCAAGCAGCGAGATCTTCGCGAAGGGTCTCCAGCTCTTTCTCGAGTCTGGTATTTGAAGTCTCTGTGGGGCGGCAATGCTCTCCGTGAAAATCATATAATAGGGCTGGTGCTCCCATGCCGGATATCTTCTTGGTGGGACTACGGTCCCATGAAAAAAATCGAATTACGTACTCGTTTCGTGTTCTCTCATGACGGCTTCTTCGAGCTTTACTTGAACATTCTCCAACACTGCATTCAGAGCCGCGTTTTCTTCTTGCAGCTTCAGGGTCGACTGTCTCGCTTCCTCGAGCATCGCGGCGTCCCTAAATCCAATGAAGATCTTGGTCAGAGTCGATATGAAATTTGCAATCCTCCCCTTTGGATCAGCGCCGACAAGGCCCGCGTAATAGAAAAAAAATCAGCCGAAACGCGTGATGACTCACTAGGGGAGGTCACCGATAAAGACGCGACGGCAAGCATCAAACGCAGCAAACAAAAATATCTCATCTCGCAGGAAACAAACGAACCTATCGTGACACTTCGTCATTTGCTCCTTATACTCGGTGCAGAGTTGAAGATGCTTCCTCATGGCCTGACCATCGTTCAGGGCCGTTTCTGGAATTCCGGTTATTTGTCAGAAGAAGAAGGCGCTCCGGATTCCTACTCCGGTGATATTTTGGGTCTTAACGAACTTTGAGGGCAATTCTAACGAAGATGGAGACTTACGTTTCAATTGCTCGTTCTCTCTCGTGAGACGTTCGATGTCGTCTTTGAGAGAGATCGAATGTACTCCGAAGGAATCCATCTTGAGTTCAAGTCCGTCCAGAACGTCCCCTTCGGATAATTGAACCACGGGACTTTCACTGATCACGACGAAGTCTTGTTCCGAGTTGTGAATAGATGAGCGGCCGGGGATTTCGATAGAAGCCGACATTGCACCCTGGTGATCTTAGGGAAGAGAATGTTCTAATGACTCTCTAGTCACTAAGCTGTCACCGAAAGCACAATTTCGCATGGAGGTTCCGAGCGTCGCTCTCAGGGACGCCACCTCAGCTTGGCGACGGGGGATTGCTCGAAGCTACACACAAACTCTGACGTTGTTCCTCGTCGCTAGGCCCTGGCAACAGTTCCGAAAGCTTGGATCGGAATGAAACGTTCCGCAATAACACGCTAAGACTGTATGATACGAATGAGTCATCGAGGTTGGGTGAGAGAGAAAGCTTCAGGGACGGTGAGGAAATCCACCCGGATCAGATGTTGTGACTCACTGAGACGTTGCACACAGAAAAACTTGCTGACGGTAGCCCATGCATCCACAAGGCTCCTTGAGCTCAATTCCAGCATGATCGGTGTGATTTTGAGTCAATGATCGTCCCGGTGTCATTCAAGCACCCTGAATACTCTTCGCTGTCTTGGAAAACTTCCGCAAGTTCCGCCCAGACACCAATGCTTCTCCGTTGAGTCTTTTCGGTCCTCCGCGTTTTCGTGCGTATTGTTTCGGTCGAATACGTTGACACTCACCTTATTCGGACAGGGAACTGAAGATCATGAAAGAGCGGGTCGTTCCCGGGCGTGAATCTCGAATGTAGTTCCCGTGTCACAGAGCGAAGCCCTTGCGTTGTTGTAGACGCAGCCGCTGCGAGACTCTCACGTCGACGAGAAGATGTTATGGCAGTCCAGGCAGTTCCCCCGGATTTACTGTCTGCTCTCACGAATGGGTGCATTCTTCATCTCTGTAGAGGGCGGGCGGCTGACCAGGTCAGCGAAAATAGTGTAGACCCGGGCGATGAGTTCGCCGACTCTGCGGCCCCAGGATGCGCCGAGACAGGACCAGAGGATGAAGGAATGGCTTGATGGGAAATGGGAGATGGAAGCTCGATCCCCCACATGGGAAGTCTGATGGATATCTCTGCAAAATCTATTCCTTCGAGCTGTACGGAAAATTCTGTCGCGAACGATTGTTCCTCGCTTACTGTCATCGCAAGTCGGCGACTCCGTCTTCGATTTCTAAATGGAGTTACCAGTCCGAGCAGGATGTCCTCTTCAGAGTCCCCCGCCCCCACCTCCCTCCAGGACTCGATTCGTTAATCCGAATAGTCTAGGCCGACAAACCCCGCGTCCACGCTGCCATTATGCATATTCCGGCGCATGATTCGAGAATCATCGGAACGGTCGATGTTCTCCTCAGGGCTCAACCCTTTCGAGGGTCTGAGGAGGCTGTTTTCCGTGAAAATCGCAGGAGAACCGAGTACAATGGGAGGTGAGTGATGAAAGCGGGAACATGGTGAGTGCGATCCTCGTCGGGCGAAATGGGGATTCTGAGCATCGCACGCAGTCTCGCGAGCAAGATTGCACGTAAGACTTCGTGCGACCAGCTTGAGAAGGCTCAGCGAAAATCTCTCCCATTGCCCGCAGGGATTCGTGGCTACTCCGGGGGCTGAACGAATTCCCCTTATCCGAGAACGGAGCGATCAGGCGAGTGCGTTCATTCTCTTGGTCTCTTTTCTACGGTTCAAGGAGAGCGGAAAAATGCACTGGCTTGTTCCCTATAAAAGATTGAAGATCTTGAGGACCTCACCAGCGGGTGGAGAAAACGTCGCCGCGCGAGAAATTTCTCGAGGAGTTCTTGAAACCCCGATATGGCTGTCGCTGAACAATTCAAGAAGGCTGCTGGCCTCCGTTAGGGAGGAAATGATTGTTGGTATCACGGGAAGGGCGCCTCAGCGTCGGTGTTTCGGAAGGCTCTGCGACATTCTCTATCCGCGTTAAGCGACAAAGCATCGATAGGAGTAAGATAATCGGAAGCTGCGGAGATCCTCGTACGAATCCACTCGACGCGATCCTGGAGCAGCGCCGAAAACTGCGACTTTGTCCAGCATGCCGAATGGTGCCAGTCAGTCACGCTCGCACCTGCCGCCACCACGCCAGCAAAACGAAACTGGGGAAAATTACCTCTCTGCGACAATTGCACGAGAAATTAGCGACCGAAAACTTTCCGGGGTTGACCGTGACTCGAGACGGACAACTGCTCATAGGTTTCTACACTACGGAGTTCTACCTTCTTCCGCTCACCACTTCGCCGCGTCTCAGATTGCTGGGCGAGGCGGAGGTGGCGCACGCTGATGCAATGTAGAAGGTCGCACCGAAAAAATATGCAAGCAGCTCTTCATTCTCCTCGGGAACTGGAGTTGATACGGGGGCATGGTTGCCTGTGCATTCATGAACTCCCCCTCATGAATGGTCCGCGTATCGATGGATATTCCAGAACCTTAGGCTGGCGTCCCCAGGGCTGGTGGTTCCGGCAAATATGGGCGATGGGAACTCGGCTATGCGGCGATCTGGTTGAATCGACATCCCTGACGCTAATCTCTACGGTTGCCTTCTTCACTGTTCGCAACTGCTAACGGGGAAAGCGAGCGACAGAGCTATCGGCCTAGCAGCAAGACTTTGGAGACCAGGTGTAATCCAGTCAAACTTCTTGTCTTCCGCAGCCCTGTCCCCGCTCCCGGCTCCCCTAATAGAGCCAGCTTTCCAATGCTTACGATTAGCCGTCCGACTACCTCGTCAACCGCCCGCCTCCTCCGGAGGTGAAGAAATGCATCTATTCGTGAGAGTGGACTGTAAACACGGGGTCCTAATAATGCATTGCATGACGCACAACGCAGATCGATCGCGCCCGGAAGGGCGCGTGTGTTTTTGACGGAGATAATGACAGCGATTCGCGCAGCGTCAAAATGGCGACACCACGCTGAATCCTCGGGAACGGTCGTTCTTGGGGGTGCCGGAACGAAAGCGGAACGATAGTGTCTGTTTGGAACCCGCGCGGAGCTGCCCTTCGTTGCATCCTGATATCGGGCTCATGGAGACGTCTCCTCAGCTTCCGATGGCGCCACGCGGCAACTTCTCTTGTAAACAAGAGATCCCCAATCCCTCTCATCCTGTCTGCCCTGTATACCCGCCCCCTCCCCCTTTCCCTCTCAACCCCCAACGTCGCATTGGGGGAGGACCAGTCTCTGATTGCTCAGAGAGCAACACACCCGGAGGCATTCTTGAGAGTATCATGCGGAGGGAAGATCCGGCGGAGGAACCAACTACGACCATCATCGCGATGGAACGAGGAGGAGGGTATTCGAATCTAAAGCGCCTCCGCCAACTCGGATCGAATCCCTGGCTGAACGTTTGGCCCGCAACCTTCCAGATGGGAGTGGTCCCGGCTAGGCCTTTTCGTCGCTGGGGGTCCGCTCGTCCGAAGTCGGAAGGAGGATCTCGCCGTTCGGAGCGTTTCGGAGTCGTATCCGAGTCCGAGGGGGACTTCGGGAATCGGCGCATGAAGAGTGCACGAAATTTATCTCTTAAGCTCTGTGACTTCAGATGGGGCAACGGAGGAGAAATGTTGCTCATCGGGTCGGTTCTTGGGAAATTCATGGGAAATATCACAATCAGAGCGGCGTCCGCAGCTCCGCACGACGGCAGTGTGTCCACGCGGGACTTCTCGCTTTCGTGGCAGTTCCGCACGGATCACAATTGGCCTTCCGGTGGGATTGGTCGGTTGACCACGGTCCGGAGTTGATTTTGCAACATGTCGGGATTTTGCCCCATCTCGAACCCCCAGCCGATTTCGCTGACATGTCGACGACGAGACGTTCCGCTGCCGGTAGCAGATCAACGGTTGCGATTGAGTGCTCGATCTTGGCAGCACAAATCGAGATTCACCTCGGAGATGTTCGGGATGGGTCCGAACACCGGTACCCGTTCACCCCATCGCGCATAGCCGCCCCTTTCACGTGAATCGATCCATGAGGAGGATGATGAATCGCGGAGCTCCGTATCCTGGGGGTGAGAAGGAGAATCTATTCTCCACAAATCCTGGGCCCAAACACGAGCGTCTACCCCCAGATCCCTCGTGAGAGAGAATGAGATTGGAGGTTAGTTTCCTTTCTCCAGACGTCTGATCGATCGCTTCCCCCTCGAGCTCCAAAGCCCATAAGACTGTCGAGTCGTGAATCGGGAATACGTCCCGAATCAAGAACTCGTAAGTTGTACGGTCCTTTGATTCTCTTCGAAGACGGGAGATTCATGAAATCTTTTGATTTCGAAGGGGTCGGGTGACGCTGTCCGGAAGTTTTGCAAACTTCGATAAGAATCTGATTCAGAGACAAGGCTAGACCGGAAGGTCAAAAACTATCCGCCATGGGTAGGCACACTGATTGGATCGGAAGGCCATCTCCGGGGTGGATGCATGGATACCGCAATCCTGTGGCTCCATCCCACTTTACTGGTCCCAGACCTAAACGCGGAGAGACTTTCGACCCGTTGCTCGGATAAGAGGACTGCGGGCTTCGGTAATATCTAGACTCTTGGTAACGCGGCGCAACAGGTTTCCCCTCGAATTCCGGGCCACGGCGTGCCGATGTAATAACATGGATCAACATTTTCGGGGAAAACTATCGCCTCTCCGGAACTTATGAATCATTCCATGACTTATGACTCTGTTCGGTAATGTTCCGATCATTGGAGACTTTCTGGATTGAGGAGCATCCGGGATTTCTGTCGATCCGAATGAAGTCATATCGAGTCATCATTAAATTCTGTTTGATCCGATCAGCGTGACTTCTGGACTCGTATGTCAGACCTTCAAGATTGGCATTCCGAGAGTCCTCAGATGTGAATATGTCCACGCATAGAGACAAGTTGATCCCGCATCTCTCCCCGGACTCTCGCGAAAGCGCTGGAGGATGCGAAGGTAATTATGCGGAGGAACTTTCCGATGTCCACTCGAGTCTCCACCAAGAAACAGAGTCTGGAAATCCCGATCTCGAGACAGATCAGCGCAAACGCTTCACCCTCGGCAACATCCGTCGAGCTCCCTGCGGAAGATCAAAATATTTCTTCTTTTCTCTCGCGCCTATTAGGGTAGTAGTACCTAGTACCTCACATAGTACCTGTGTGAATAATCAGAATCTTGGGAGTCCCCGAATCAATAGCTCTGTGTGAGCCAGAGATCATCGTCATCAGCGTATCTCGGACATTCGTCTGCAAGAGCTCATGAGCGAACTTCTTTGCGGGATCAGTCCCCAGCTTGCGTTAGATATTCAAAGTATCCACCCCTGCCGTCGGACATGCGCTCATTGTTGATCATCTCCCGATCTCTTCAGGACGTCGCTCTTCCGGCTCGCCGTTCATGAAGTCTCAAGTCTCCTGATGTTGTCCATGCCGGCGTAGTCACACTACTCCCCGTAAACAAGCGCAACAACAGGTTTTCACCACCCCAAAGATCACTCAGCTGTTTCTGCTGAGGAAATCGAAGCGCGCAACCTCAGTGCGTTTTGTTCTCCCAGGACCATCTCGGCTGATTATCTCTTCCTGTGAGGTCAGAGAAGCCGCGATTCCATCGGGACGGAAAATTCGAACGTTTTCCCGCCCGTGCGGAGTTGACCTCGATCAGTTCGCTAACGGAGAGCCGGTGAAATGCCCAAGAAGAAGACCGGTCAACGGAAAAAAGCAGAGAAGCAACGGGTGCGTCAAAAAGAGATCCGCAAACGCGATATCGATCTCGCTGAACACCCATGCAATGCCAACATGGAATGCGACCACTGTCAGCGCAAACAGAAGAATCGGGCATTCTGTTATTTCTGCTCAGCCTTACAACGTCTCCCAATGTGCGCGAAATGCGGCAAGCAGAAATGCATGCAGAAGACCGGCGATTGTATCATAAAGCACGCCGGTCAGTTCACGACTGGCTTGCAGATGGTGGGAGCCATCTGCGATTTCTGCGAAGCCTGGGTTTGCCATGGCAAGAACTGCCTCAGTGTGCACGCGTGCACCTGCCCCTTGCAAGATGCGGTCTGTGTCGAGTGCGACCGTGGGGTGTGGGATCACGGCGGAAGAATTTTCCGTTGCAGCTTCTGCACGAACTTCCTCTGCGAGGACGATCAGTTCGAGCATCAGGCCAGCTGCCAGGTGCTCGAATCCGAAACGACGAAATGCCAGTCGTGCAATCGCCACGGAGACCTCTCGTGTCTCCGCTGTAAGGTCTGCTTCTGCGACGAGCACGTGAAACGAAAAGGTTTCAAATACGAACGGAACCAAGCGATCCCCTGCCCGAAGTGTGGATTCGAAACTCAACCCACAAAAGACCTCTCGATGTCTACGCGCACTCACGCCTACGGTAGGAAAGCGATCGATAACGACGACGACGAATGTGGTTACGGAGCGTCCGGCTACTCCGGTTATAGTGGGTATGGAGACAACTTCGCGGACGACGATGATGAGGATGGTGAAGATTGGAATGATGATGATGACGACGACGACGACGACGAAACTTCATCGGAAGACAGTGACGACGATTCTGACGAGAAGCGTGGCGGAGAGTCGAAGAAGGAGCCAGAGAAGACCTAGTTCAGTGAAATGGAATTAGCTCTTGAGCATGAGCCAAATTAAACTAGAAATATTTTTACCGATCTCCTTCTCTTCATCGTTACTCCGTATTCGCCCAATTTGCAAAAACTGAGCTCAACTATGACGTCGCCTCAGCCTTCACCTCGTAGAATTATTCCGAACAATTTCCGAAATATCGATCAGTCTAGAGTCTAGAATCTCATTCCGTCGTTCCCGGAATCGGGAGAATGACGATCAGCTGATCGTATGGCGATCAGCTGATTGGCGGTTGGAGCGGTTCGCACATGACATGCGAATTAGCATCAATACTATCGAAGTTGTTCCGCGCGACGGTCGGTGCCTTCCTTCCGGGGAACAAAAATGTCATAACAGTCGACAGCCCCCGTCTGATCAGGCAAACGTCGGGACAAATTTCTTCGACCAAAGCCGACTGAGTCCCGAAGTACTCGTGTAAGGCGATAGCTGCACGAGGAGCGTCTCTCTGTCCCTTGGTTGGGGGACCGGAGAGAGACAAAGAGCAGGTAGCGGAGCGAGCAGCGAATCGTACTCTAGCTCCAGGAGCCTTTCCGGGACCAGGTTCGCCTACCCCAAGGCCGAGCATTCGGAAAATATCGATCCAGCATGGATATCCAGACATCGATTCCGAAAAGCTGATTTGACTGGAAGCTGTCCACGAATCGATTCTCGAGCGGGTTCCGCGAGAAACGCTCTCTACTTCCATCTCTCCGCCAAGTAGGGATCGAGATTCCTAGGCAGCCACAGGTTGACTCCGGTGGTATTCCGGAACGGACTGTACTGCTGCTAAATGCCCGAGTCAGCTCTCGGCCGGTAAGAAAAATAAACAGACACGTTCTCCGCAGCTGGAGAGACTGCAGCTCCAAAGGAAAGACGGTGATACGGATATTGGCTCGGAACGCACGCCGACTCGATCCTCTTCCCTCGCAAAATCGCGCGACGGCTCTCGATAGGAACGTTGAAGCGGTACGAGTGGAGTAGAGCTGTATGCCAAGTCGCCAGGTACAACCCGCCGGCGGGCCGGTCTGCCGCCGATTCAGGGTAAACGAACTCCTCTCCCGGAGCGAGCAGGGGGAAGCTGAGCTCTCGCGGCAGAGCAGAGCATAGAGCCCGTTGCTTGCTTACACAGTGCTTGTTGAGAGCTGAGGATTCATAGTCGGCGACAGAGCAACTCGTCCTCTCGACCATCATGGCGCTCTCAGGATGCTACAGATGTCTCAAGTGTTTAATGGTTGTGTTTAACATCCTCTACTGGGCGCTCGGCCTCAGTGTCATCGTCACGGCAATCGTTCTCCTGAGGAATGGGGACAAATATCTCATCAATCAAGGTGAGCTTCGATGTGCACTTCTCCCGCACGAGAAATTTCCCAGAAGATCTCGGATCCATCGACCATGCTGGAAGAAAAGTCTGTCTCCGAGTCGCGACTCGTGGACTACTTCCCTGTCAACTCGGAATTCCGGGAGCGCAAATCATCGCGTCGCTGTGCGCGGGAGTAGTTGCAGTACTTCAATCTCACCTAGAACTGGAGTCGATCGTCCAAAAACTCGCTCTGGGTAGGATCCCCATCCGTTTTGAGATGGTCCGACACATGAGCCGGAGACTGTGGGCTTTTGACAAACAGTTTAAGCCGGAGTTTCTGCCGCGCGGCCTCTTTCTTCGCGCATTATTCTCGTTGGAAAATTCTTCCCCGAGAAGATTCCCCAAAGGAAGCTCGAGATTCGCGGAGATGCTCCCGTCTCTCCCGAGCTGCGAAGTCCAGATGCTGTTTATCCCCTGGATCGTTGAGACGGCTTATATTTAACGACAGGCGCTTCAGGAAGACACTGAAACGTGAAACCTGATTCACGTGGATTGAGAGATCAACTCTCTCCGACGCCTGAACATATCTTCCCGCGACTGCTTGGTGCTCCTGGAGCGGAGATCGATCTCGTACACGCGCGATGTAAACCTTGACTGTCGATGGACGTTTCGCGCGAGTTTCCCTGACGTGCGCATGACACGGCCGGGTTTCTACGTTTTTCTGTCAGATTCCTATGCACATTGACAGCAAGAGGATGGACGATGCTGCCTCCGTTGGAAGCGGGGGGGGCGGATGGCGGACATATCTTGAGGGTCTAGGATATGCAGCGTCATCGACGACGATTCGTCGCCGGTCTCTCTCGTGTGCAGAGACATCGGAGTGCCGAACTCGTCCATGGAAATTCATTAGGTATATGTTATCTCTGATGATGCTCTCAACTCATCTCATAAGCCATCAGGATGCTCCATGAGCGATCCAGAGCCCCGTGTCCCACTAGAAGTAGAGAAATCAAAGAGGACTATGCGGGCTCAAACTGGGAGAACCCAAACAGCCGGAAAAACAAGCAACCGGTTCTCCGTACCAGCAACTCGGGTTTGCCCATCCTGGCTGTGCATGGCATAGCCTGACACTAGAGCCGGTGTTGGCAGTGGTGGTCGACACGATGTCCGTAATCCCGATCCACTCTGGGGTCAAAGTACCCAGGCAGGGCCGGAGAGACGGCAGGCGACGAAGAAGACGGCCGCCGCGACCGTAGCGAGCGCTACGACGACGACGTCGACGCCATTCCTGTTTTCTGTTCCTGTTCTGACTCGAGCGCCGGTCGATACATGTGAGACAACTCGTACAGATGTTGCATTCTCTTCTCACGACAAGACCGCGTGAGGAAAAAGAGACAGCTCGCATAGCGGTCGGCTTATCTTTCTCGATTCGTGCCGTTCTCGGAGTCAGCCAAGCAAAGAAACCGGCAGACAGGCATTCTTAATTCACCATGGTCCCGAATACGGTTAATTGCGCTTAATTTATTTCAATCTACCTCATGTCGACAATTGGCTGTATCTACATAGTTAGAATGGCAAGCTGTTTCTTGAGCATGTCGCGCGTCATGTCGTCTCGTTCGACGCGACATCACATCCCCTCCGTTCGTTTTCACAACACCGGCTCCCTCGAAGCGAGCGGGCGAATGAACAGGAAATAGATCTAAGAGCCTGGCTGCGACTAGAAGCAGATTTCTATCACACGTCCATCCAGTACTGTTCCGTCGGAACAGTTCCAGATACGATCTATGGCCGTGCAGTAGTTGTTTTGGTTTTGGTTTTTCCTCTCGAGCCAAGCAGCTCGAAACCGTTGGAGTTGTGGTTGTCGTATGGTTCGTCGTTCGTTCGGGGAGTCCCCACTCATGGTTGTGCATGCGTGCATGCACAATTCGTCCGTCCAGTTCGCCATAAAATGCTGAACTTGAATGACTCTAGAAGGCTGTCCACGTAACTGCCACTCCCTACTGGTGTTCGCTTGACTGAGGCAAAGTGGTGCCGTTGTTAGTTTTCATCCGTTGCTAGGAAGCTCCCAACACAGAGCAATTTCAACCGGGCACTCTACCCGAACGAACCGTCAACCTCCCTTCTGAATGACCAGAGGGACGGATGGACGGAAGGATGAACGGATGGACGGACGACAAATTGGAGGAGAATATCACGTAGTCATTAGTTCTGGTCAGAGGGATCCGATGACGTCGAGTACTCTGTCAGCGCGGAGTCGTCGTTCTGGGAATTCAGATTTTTTTCTTTTCTCCGGCATCCTGCGATGCATCGAACGGTTTCCGATAGCTCTACTCCTCGTTACGGGAGCTCACAACAGCGAGGACTGTCGAATGATTTTCGTGAATACTAGGAGAGGGGAGGGTTCAATGCCGATTCTCGTCCTGGAGACCACGACTGGGACCATAGAGATCGATATCGATCTTATGGGAACCTTTGTCGATCCCCACGGAACCGCTCATGCGAGCCACGCACGTGCCCCTTAAAAGTTTTCGCTATTCGAAATCTCGCTTATCGACACATTCTAACGGCTCCTCTTACGAGAGTCTATCGCTCAAGGCCCCGAATCAATTTTGCGATCGGTCTGTTCGGCCTCAAGAGAAATCGACTGCGGATTCCGTGAACCGCTGCAGTTGTAATCTCATTCTCACTTGGGCGACGAATGCACGAACTCGCTCATTCCCTGACAAGAGATTTCCGCCACATGCCCACACTACCAGAATGAGCCCTGCCGCGGGAAGGCTCGTTTATTTGTAGCTTTACAGCGGCACTTGGATGAGAACGACTGTCGTCGCGCGTGGTTTTGGGCGCCGGCTGCCTCTAGGCAGAGACGATCTGCTGCCGCTTGTTGTACAAACACCGAGGGCTGTACGCTCAACGAGCCTCGACAAAGTCTCATGGTCTGAATCACCATCATCGTTCGAATCGGAAACTCATGAGCACTCCTTTCGGGAGTCCCAGCGACAAGCTCACGGAACATAAAATTTTCCGGAAGGAGTTCCCTCCTGCCAGGTCGATGAATGCTCGTGGAGTATATCGGAATAGCGACTTCCAATCCAGAAGCAAGTTCCAACTTTCTGCAATCTGCCGCGTACAGGAACGCCGAGAAGTTCCAGAGAAGATTGTTCGAATGGAAGGCATGCCGGCCGCCGAGCTCATCAAAGCCTCATCAGTGTCTGCGTGAAGTACTTCTCGTTCATAAAGGGCCGCGTGGAGCGGCAGACTAGTCGTCCGAACGAACTTTCGGGCGAACGATCAAGGAATACCATTGACTGCTTGCGGAAGTACTGTCTCATTGACGCCGCCGAAGCAGTACAGTGTTGTTTCTGCTTCCCCACTTCAGCTGACCGAGCGCTTCTGTCAGAAAGCGAGCCTTATTTGGCCAGAGGAAAAAATCATCGTCCGATTGATTCGGAGGCCTCGACCAGAGCGTGGAACCTGTTCCGAAGCTTCTACTACATTAACGCAACGCGTTAAATACCGAATCGCTATTATGTTTGAAGAAATAGCTCCTCCTGTTTTTGTCCGTATACTGCCTGCGCCGGATTCGTATACGGCAAATCAATGCCGCTCTGGGTTCAAGATCCGCAGAGAGAACCCGCTCGCTGATTCCAACCGTCTCGGAACAGAGATCATTGTTCGGGATAGCGACAACGAAACAGCGAGAAACGACAGTGTCTTCCGAACATCATCTACCGCGTTTTCAAGGTTTTACATCCGAAATTCGTCTCGGGAATCGACGATTATCTCCGCGAGCCAGCGGGCCGAGAGGAATCCGCGAATCAAAATTCGAGAAATCCGAAGTCTCTGCCGGAGGAGCTGAAGTTCGAGTCGGACCGACGGAAAAGTCCTCGGCGGAAGTTTCTCTAACGATGCAACCGTATCTCTGTTCCGAACGGCGGCGTTGAGTTTCGCTTGCCGTCGCTGTTGTTGTCGTCGCTGTTCTACGAGCACGGCGCCTCAACGGCGGATCTGAACGACTCCCAGAACTTCGAAGGCGGTGTCGACGGCAGCAGGCTGACTCGCTCGACGCCGTCGTTGCAGGGCCAGTCAAAATAAAACGTCGGCGGGGACCTCGCTGCCCGTTCAACGAGATGTTTTTTTCGCTGTTGTTCTCGTCCACCGTTGGCTGGCTTCGCAATCGCTGAACAAAGATAAGCGTCACCGCCAGAAAAGTAAGCGACAGAAAACGAAGAAGACAACGAACAGCGTTATGATGGGTGTGGTGACATTCGGACTTATGTCACCGAACGGGAGGCTAACGCGTATCGAATATGAAGTTCTGTTCCACACCGATTCACGCGATGAATTCGTTCGTAGAACCGGAACGTTGCTCATACAATGCCGTGATGATGGAGTATTGCTCCTGGGTAACCTGACCGCGCTAGCTCGTTTCCCCTTTTTCTCTTCAGAACTCAATGACTCCGCCGGTGCTCCCAGACTTGAAGAGGAGTCCACTCTTTTTTGCCTGAGGTGCATTGTACACGATCATAATACTGCTCGGTCAGACGCGTCTGAGGAGGAGCAGCTGAAATTTGCTCCTGAGGAAAACGTCAAAGGCATTCCTCACCGAATGAGTCAGAGGCTAAAGAAAGAATGCACGCATTCGGATGTCAATGGAAATATCTCATCGCCGCCTTGTGTTTATTTTATTTTTATCTCAACCGTACGCCTCGCTCCTATTCTCGTTGGCAATTCATGATGAGCGGGTCGCACGCTTGAAGTTGTCGCATACTTCGCTTATCGACGCCTTGCGATCGGCGCTGTCAGACGAGCGAGCCATCGACATGACCCGACTACTTCCAGGGTCCCGACAAGGGTTTCATCTTTTCTGTGCGAAGCTTAGCCTCGTTTGGTTAGTTTGTCTGCCTATAGCCTCTTGATCTGTTCGAATCTTCGCTTATCCGACCGCGACCGATCGGAGCTCCGCGTTGAATAGATCGTGGAATAGTTTCAAGAAAACAAACAAGCGATGTGCGATCGAACAGCCTTTCCCTATCCCCAGCGACTGATCCGTCAGCTAGTTTGGCGATACTCCCGCAGTCGAATTGATCGCGGATATTCTCGCAGACACCATTTATCTCTCTGGATGTCGAGGTTTCCGCTTCTGAATTATTCTTAGGCTGAATCGGGCAACAGAGAATTCCTATTGAGTGGATCCGGTGCGAGCGGAGTAAATTCGGAAGAAACTTTCGGAAAGGATTCGAGTCGAGCAAGCCTTGATCCGAGCGCTGCTCGGGGCGAACCCGAGCGACCGGTGGGGCGGCGGGAGTCATTATTCGGTTCTCAAGCGTCGGAAGATGGTGGCGACGTAATCGGGCACATCTCCACAGAAGAACTACGCGAGCCGCCCTGTGGTTTTCTGCTCGAGTAACCTCGAGCCGTCGCGTCGGCCGTCCGAGTGCGGACCATTGAGAAGACCCGGTGAACAGAGTTCCGACCATGCAGCGACCGTGTTATGATTATGCTCTCAGAGAGATTGCGGTAAGGCGCGCTAAACGGTCAGGTGATAATGTTTTCGAACGGATTCGTCGTCGTTCGCGGAGATGTAATTCTGGAATCATCAGAATTCTGCAGAATGGAATTTGCAGCCCGCACCCACGGAAGCCGCAAGCTCAGGTGTGCATACCATCAGGACGAGTCTCAGATTCAATGAATTTCGCCTCCGACGCTGACGAGGCACAACGAAAGAGCTGTGAAATCTCGCCCGACCGAAAAGTAAAGTTCCGATGCAGTCTCATCATATTTCTCCGTGAGGAGAAAATCTACACAAAATAATGATTGAGCTTCCGACGCGCTCCCCCGTTCTGATCCCTGGGGAGTAATTCGCTCGGCTGGAAAATTCAATCGAATCACACGAAACGGCCGGCGACACGATATATGTACGCTGTGAGTAGCACCGTGTGTTTATATGCCGTTGGTTAATGAATGGATCTCTAAGGATCCAGACACCGGAGGCCCCACCAGGACCGAGCTGCTGCCGCTGCTCGGTGCATACAAACGATCTCTCCGTCACCGGCTTCCAGGCGGAACGTGCGTGGGTTCCGGAGCGAGCCTGTATCCAGCGACGCGACATTTTCTACTCGAGCAGAGAGAAGGCAAACCGATTGAGATTCACGAAACTTGTCCCGAGCATCCGATTGACGCTTGCTTCCGATTCTTCCCGGAAATCGTTTTTTCCGCGAAAGTTATGAATGAGACCGAAAGGATTGGATTCTGACAAGTTCCTCAAGTCGACTAGATGAGTACGAGTACGGAAACGGCTACCCGGGGAGCACAAACCACGAGGCTCCTGGAAAATTCGCTCATTCAGACGAGCAGTGCTGGACGGCATGAGTCAGTCTTCCACCAACGAATTCCCTCTGGCGATTCTAGTCGCTCGCCGGCGGCGAAGCGGCTAACTCGCGAAAGGAAAGATTCTGAGCGCGATAGAAATTCTCGAGAGCATCCGTGTCGCTTTCTCCCCTCGCGAAGAGACGCGTAGCTTTAGTTTTGGGTTATCTCTTTATTCTTCTTCGCGAGCGGGTATCGGCCTCCCTCCACTTGGATGTCCAGCCGCCCTCGCTAAGATCGATGATTTGTTCCTAGAGCAGTTGCTCCGACTCAGTCAGTAAGATCAACGTTCGACGCTTTGGTATCTGAATATTCCAGAATGGAAGAATCTATGAGCAATCGAGTAAATAAATCAAGCAAGCAAAGGCGTGAAACGGGCTGTCTCCCGAGGGAGGGGTCTCCCATAGACTCTTCTCAGAAAGGAAGCGAGCGCCGTCGGACAGCCGGGGAAAAATCTCCAGATCCTGTCGTAAAATTCATGCACACGATATAAGGATGGCGGGTTCCAGCACTTTCGTGGGTTCGGCTTCGGGTTTGATCGCGTTTATCATGCTATTAATTAAGAGGGAGCCGCCACACGATAAGCTTTCCGTCCACCCTCGTTTGAGCACATATACCTCTTCTCATTTTTTTCTCTTTTTTATGCACATTCCGAGGGGCATCTCCTTTTGTGTGACAAAAATAGACCAGAGAGTCATTCCATGGGATCATAGTTCGTTCCCATAGCTTTAGGTTGTTGGCTCTGCCAACGGAGTCCCGAGAGAGCGAGACGATGAGCCCACGGACCACGTGGAACATGTGTTCCTCGTAATGACACTCTTCTTGCGCTGGCTTATCTTGCTTTCTCTCATGGAAGAAGAGGGAGTCAGCCAGCACCCTTTGTTCGTGTGCTCTGTTCGTGCTGTTTTCCTCCTCCAAGTTTCTTCAAGTACTCGTCGGTTATCGCCTCGTCATGTGCGTGACTCACACAATTATCGCGAGGCATTCATAATTATGCGAGTGAAACCGTTATCCTTTGTTCATAATTCAACAAGCGAGGAACTTCGGCGGAATAAATATATGTACGACTCTATTTACTCTCCGACCGCGGTCTTGGCAACAACAACAACGATACCAACGACGACCGACTGGACGACGATGCGATAACAACAGGTCGTGAGCTTCCGCGAGCTGCTCGTTGTCGGCGGGCAGACTCGGTGTGAATGCACGCCGAATATGCGCCGCCTGCGTGCATACTTAAGCCCACGGTTGACCTACCGGGCCGCCGGGGCAGACTGTCCGACGACCCGCGGTACGGAGCGGCGGCGAGCGTCGTGTCCGCGTTCGTTCCACACCCAAATAGGATAGGGTGGAGCTCTAATTCGGTGGTGGTTGTTGTTGCTGGTCGTGCCGTAGTTAGAACGCCTGTTGCTTGAAATCATCCTCCGGATCATAGGCGCTCACGTCACAGGAGGAGCTGCCGTTCAAAACGCTCAGCGGTAGCTCTTTCAGATCCGTGAGGAAATCGGTGACATTTGAACATGGTCACGCACCGCGCGAGTGTAACACTTTACCATTCTCACGAAGGGCCACCGAGTTACTCTGGCCGTCGCATGTGCGATGGAGTTTTCGGTAAAAATCATACGCCGCCAAGCGTATCAGACAGCGTCGTGATATCCGAGTAAGAGAAATCGCAGAAACGAAACAGGCGAATAATTAGCGTCGATAAACGATCAACGCGCTCCAAGCAGATTCCGATTTGAAATAATCGGCGAGAATCGCGTCGCAATAATTGTTGCAGTTCAATCGCTTCGCAAGAGTACTAGGGATATTCTAGGATAGGATATTTGAAACTGATGATTGATACGTGGTGTCGGATCAAACCACGGCTTATCTTCAGATTCCTTTGACTTGGGAGGAACATAAGTTACGACTTGGGTCGGTCGGATTCCTGAAATGTACGCCTTCGGCACACCTCGGATTCTAATCAATTATTCTTCTCGATTTCAGGTGGAAGCGATCAAGTTGTGCAGGAGTTCGTGGTCGCAGTGTATGCACTCTTCGCAATCGGATCGTTTCTAGTGATCCTTGGTTTTCTGGGATGTTGCGGAGCGATACGAGAGTCCTCTTGCATGCTCTGCACTTTCTTCGTTCTCATGCTCTGCACCATAGTTGTCGAACTCGGTGGAGGTGCTCAGATATGGAGCCAATCTGAACCGATCAAGAACTCGGTGAGTATCCATAATATTCTTCCCAGTGGGGCCGCCAGCGTTCCTTGAGGAAGCTCGACTGAAAATTCGAACAAACATGCTCCTCGGCCTGCCGCTTCCATCCCCTCGATAAAATTCGATTCTCATTCCATTGCAGATCAAGAAACAGTTCTCAGCCGTTATCCAGGAGGAGTATTCCCCTACGGATTCCGACAGCTTCGTCAACCAACGCATCGACAAGTTCCAGAGGGACTTCCAGTGCTGTGGAATCATCGACCCCGACGACTGGGCCAGGTCGAAATACAATGGATTCACAGGTAAACTCGGGGAACTCGAGATACGTCTCGATCGCAGAAAGATAGCATTAATAGGGATTCAAGCTTTCGGGGCCGGGATGAGCTCGAGCAGAGATCCTCTCGACTTCAACCCACGTGGTGTTTCCTCGTAATTCTGAAACGCCTCGTTTTTCCAGGACCCCGAACTGGTTTGAGCAATCTAGTCGGAGTTGTATCCGAAAGCATCGGTGCCTACAGGGTTCCAGCTTCTTGCTGTGTCAGCGATAACCCCACCGTCTGCGAAGCCGCTCGCAGCATCGAAGCCATCGGATCTGTCACTAACGGAGTCCACAGACAGGGATGCCTCTCGGCTGTCTGGAACGGACTGAAATTCTACGCGAGCTACGCCGGCGGACTCATAGTCGTAGCCATCGGCTTCGAAATTATTGGACTCGTTCTTGCGTTGCTTCTCTGCTTCGCTGCCAGGAGGGATCTCAAGGACTAGGTGCGACCGTCTCAGGAATCAGGCCTCTAATCCAGGCATTGAAGTCGTTTGTGACACCGCGTAGCCAAAATATGATCTGCGGATCGATCTGCATTGATTGATTGATTGATTCATTGGTTGGTTGGAGGGTTGATTGATTGATGCTTGGTTCATTGATTGATCGATCCATCGATCTACCTACCTATCTATGGACAAGAATGAGTGTGGAATGAGCCGCTGGTCGGCGCAAATCGCAAAGTGAATTCTCACTCCTGTCGAGGGGAATGACTTCGGAACGACAGGAGCGATTCCCACAGTTGGATACTAAATTGGAATGAGCTGTTCGACGACAGACGACAAGCCAACTACAAAAGCATTGAGAAGCGCACGGTCTCCCATTCGACCGCGGTTATATTTTGGCTCCGAAAAGGAATGGGAAACCCCCTCTCGATGAGAGGAAGGTCTGCCGATTCCTTAGTGCTCGAGATTAGCCCTCCAAGCTTAAAGTACGCCGTCATAACCGTCCGCGAGGTTCGCACACCTCACTTCAGACACATCTTCCGATTCGTGTACATATACAAAACCATAACATATAGCTGCAGTTAGACGCCAACGAAAGATAAGTCGATGTGAACATATACATTGTGAATGGTCGAACGAACCCCTCTTCGAAAGGATGGGGTATAGCCAAATGCTCCGAAGCATCCATATTGGCAAAGTCGTTTTAGGTCACCGAATATCTTTCCGAAAGTCTATCTAGCTTACATTATGCTCAGGCCGAAAGATGCAGCCGGCAGCCGTTCAATTCAAGCGCTATCATCGGCTATTCCAATTGTGACACCCCAGACTCGAAAATCACTTGCGGTCCCCGTACTCGCTCTGAACGCTGCACGATTCTGCTCTGGAGGCCCACGGTAGCCCCATGTCATAATCACCTAGCGATATCTAGCCTCGGTACCATTACACAATTTGTGCCCATAGACTTCTCTAAATGCTGTTACCTATTTATCTGTTAACGGAAGGTGGAGTCGGTTGAAAGAACGCCGGTCACTGCCCAAATGATTGAAATACGAAAAACAAAACCTAATAGGAAAAAACGACAGATCTAAATCGAACAAACATCAGTTCAAAAGCATAGCGATCCAATAAGCCTATGTGAAGCAAATTCCATCTCTTCCGACGTCACGAAGAAAAATCCTCCTACATCTCATGCTCATCGCTGGCTATATATCCGTGTAATAAGCATCAAGTCGCTACGGGACCGATTTAATCAGCTTCAGAGTCTTTCGACGATTTCAATGTAATTGAAAATTGTCAGAATCCAGGGAGTGAAATCTCGGATTCATGAACTGAAACTTGCATTTCTTCACGAGTGCATGGACGAGAGGAAATTCCATGCACTGAACCACGTCGGAATGTTTCTCGTATACATCGGATTCTAAGTCGACAATGAACAAAAAACGATACCCGATAAAGAGTAACTTAAATGAATATTGATGCTCCTCCAAGCCATATTGAATTGAAATAAACCCTACTATGTAAACTTAACTTAAGGAAGAATCTGAATCGTCCTGACTCTTGTATAAATATTTGATTCGATCGCTCATCGCATTTATCGCTCAGGGGGCTGAGGAGATTCCCATGCGTGATTCGGATCGACTTTGCGCGAATCCCAGCCTAAGGTTCCGGCCTGAGCTACAAGTAGCCAAGTAGGTACGGCTCTTTTCTGTTTCAAGACGTACCCTCCACAACCCCACTCGCCGGGACAGCAGTCCTCCTTCACACCCGATCTATCCGATGCATGGTTAGGCCACGAAAGCCTCGCCGCGGCTGCCTCGGACTGGATTGAGTCGTCTGCGATCCCGACTTGGATGGTAAACGGAGGAGGTTCTCAGTGCGCTAGGTTGATCAAGTCATATCTGTGACGAGGGTCGCCTCAGAGGAAGGTTCCCCTTGGAGCAAGCCCGCCAGTCCGAGGATGTGACATCGCCATCAGCACGAAAGCAAAGTACAGTCGTGTAGGCCATGTAGCATCGGGATACCGTTCCCCATGCCTCGTAGCAAAAACTGACCCTGGTGCCGTGGAAATCGAATGCGGCGCGAAGTATCGGGGACGATCCGGGAGACAAAGGAGCTCCTAGAGAATGACGTCAGTTAGAAAAGTTGGGTAGAATATCGGGAAGAAGGCGATAGAATTCTCGGCAGCATCGAGGAAAAGTCGGCGTCAATGTCTTGGACAGGAGGAAGAAAGCCCCGTCGTACGTACCGATCGCGGTAGCCCATTGCCGACTTGACCGTCGTAGATGGACCAAGGTGGATTTTTTCCTCTCGGGCCGGTCTTCTTCAAACCTATCTCAGATTCGCGACGGCAGAAGGACGATTGGAGGCTGTTGAAGGCTGACTCCATGGCTGTGGCCTGCGACAGTCTTCGAGCGGCGATAGCCCCACGGAACGCTTCGAACACTCACCGACCCATAGCCAGAACACGTAGAAGATTGACCACACCACGCGGATTTTCGGAAGCGAGCCGGAGTCATTTCCATCCGCCATTTCTTTTTCGAACATTCGAGACGCGAGACGTAAACTTCCAGATATGAACCAGATTCTGGCTGATTATTCTAATGAAGGTTCTCATCGAGCTGCTGACGTTCATTCAGCGGAAGAGCTCTGGTTCCCCTACAGACTCAATCACGATCCCTGATCGACCCAACAGCCCGAATTATCTCAGAATACGAAATACGAGGAGAAGCAGCTGCTCATTTGCCAGAATCGAGCTATAGCCCCCTCCTCCTCGCCTTCTCCCGGCTCTGAAGTCTTGCTGGTCATGTTTCCAAGACTCTTACTTGTTCTGAGATATAGCTGGAAGTCTAGAGTCGAGTGCTCCCCCCATCGGATGAGGGACGGTTCGTGCGCTCCAGAGCCGTATAAAGCTCTGGAGTCATCTCTGAGAGACTGTGATGAACATTACTCTTTCAGCCACATCTCTGGAATACCATGAAGCCTGTACCTTCCAAGACAGCCGTCTCGATACCGAATCGGGAACCCCTCTTGTCGGCTCGGATATCTCGAACGAGCGAAACTCTGTCGAAGGAGCTAGAAGCTCAGTATTCCGTGCCTTTCCGCTCCTCCGCAGCTGAGTGTTAGCAGGTATACAGATCCCGGTCAGTTCGGAAGCTCGAACTTCATTTTTCTGGAGGGAATCATCTTGTCACATTCATCGCAAAAAGTCTATAGAAGGATGTCGTTGAGGAAACAGCTTGACGGAAATGTCTCATAAAAACCTCCAGTCCGCTTGATGGTCTGCGTTCCTCGAGAAAGGTCTGGATTCCGTCGCTACCCAGGCAAACCGTCGCCCCTCGCCGCAATCTCGACCCTCACTCGTCAAAGAAATTGACCTAACAAAAGCAAGCGACATGGTCCGGCTCGGAAGTTCAAATTGGATAGTCGATCCGACCACGATCCGACGCCAATCCAGTGGAGGTTCGTCTCCGGAAGCCGCAGGTAAGCCTTCGCCAATTATACCGAAGGCTGCCCCTGCGGCTGAATGACGAATTCGAATTTCGCAGAATTGTCGGATATTCGCTCCGACCTCGCGTCGAATTTGAGGTTCAACTGTGTCATTCCAGACTCCGGAGAATATGTTCATCATCGGCGACCTGCTGCATTCTGCCTACCGCACTCTGCAGGAGAACACCGACCCTCGACTTTCGGAATGGCCCTTGATGGGATCCCCCGTACAAATACTGACGATCGTCACAATCTACGTTCTCTACGTCAAAATTCTAGGACCATCGCACATGAGCAATCGCAAAGCGTACCACATCAAGCCCCTGATAATCGCTTACAACATGCTCATGGTTGTAGCGAACGCGGCGTTCTTCATCATCGGAGGTAGGCAGACTTATCTCGGCGGTGGATACTCATGGTTCTGTCAACCCCCGAACAGCGGCTCACAAGCTCAACAGATGACTGTGATCACTATCGGATACTACTACATGATCATGAAGATCGTCGAGTTGATGGACACGGTGTTTTTCGTTCTGACCAAGAAGTTCTCTCACATATCGCTGCTGCACGTAGTTCATCATTCGTTGGTCGCCTGCACCGTCTGGCTCGGTATGAATTTCGGCGCCACCGGTCAAAACGCTATGTTCCCGCTTATAAACTGCGTGATCCATTTCATTATGTATGGCTATTACGCGATGGCTGCTCTGGGTCTCCAGAAGTACCTGTGGTGGAAGAGATACCTGACGCAGATACAGATGCTGCAATTCATCGCCCTCATTGTCCACGCATCCATACCCGTGTTCTACGACTGTGGATTTCGGCCCGTCTTTGGATACATCGTAATTTTCGAAGCGTGTCTATTCTTCATGCTGTTCCTGAACTTCTACATCAAGACTTACACGAAGAAACCGCTTGCGACCAGAGGTGGAAACACCCACGGTGCCTCCACGTCGAAGACAATAAAATGCTCCTGAGCCTTGATTCGATATGAATTACCTACTCAGCCGAGAACATCAACGATTACACCCAACAAAGACTTCGAAGTTCTCCACCGATGAGGTATTGGAAGCTCATTTCGTGATAAACTCTCGTTCGTTATCAAAGCCAAAATATCTGTTAATCCCAAGTTTGTTCCTAATAAATGTATGCGATAAGGCACCTCGGCACCTGTGCAACGGTGCTCCTGATATCCTGAGGGAGAAGCGGAGAAGACGCGCCGGGAGCACGGAGCAGCGGCCGACAGAGAAAGCACAAATGATCACGCTCGACGTGATTTTCAGAACTTCCGCTGGCAGCGTTTGTTCCGGAGTGACTGAATCAAGCCCCGAGACGCGCAAGTTTAGCTTAGGCCAGAGAGAGTCGAATCGAGTCTCCTTGCCATCTGTCTTCCAGAGGAACGCCATAGCCCGAGAGACAACCTGGTCGTGTGGTGCTACATATGCTTAAACCTTCCACTAGAAATCCCTGCGGCAAGAGGTAGTATGCCGCTGGTCGATGGTTGCGTCGAATATCGGCCGACATACAAGCGATCGGAAGCGAGCGCATCGGAAGTCTGAAGAGACAAAAGACTTCGACTGTATGTAGGAAACAACGAAGATTCGCGCGCGGGCAGAAACGTCTCGGAAAGAATACAGCCGCGGCCCGCGAAGCGAGCGCTCGCCGCTTCGGGATTCTAGAAATCTTCGGGAACTTTCGGCCTGAACAAGAGCCAGGAGCAAACCCTGCGTCAATCCAGGCGCTTTAGACGTAGGCTCCGCGAGCGAGTTAGCGGCGATGGGAATCGCGCCGGAGAGTCCCAGCGGGCAACTTCCGAGGATGAAGCGATTCGGCGGCGGACCGGCGGATTCCGAGAGCTCGAAGGCGAGTCTCCAAAAGAAATTCTCGGCCGTCCCGATTGTCCCATCAGACGAGCCGCGTCGCCGCGTAGAAGACGCGAAGAATCTGGTGGAGTCCTTCCTGTCCGTCCTGATCAAACGAATCGAAAGTGAAGTCCTGCTGATGGACGGTGTTGGCACGCTTGGCTTCATTGGTCCGCCGGGCCTCCGGGACGAAGCTATGCGCGATCAGCGTGAAATTCGTCAGCTACTCTCGGAGAGTCACCCTCCGACTTGGAAGGTACACTCGATTCCCGAGATATCTCATCGACTAGACACCCACGCGTCTTCTTAGTCATGTCTATCCGATGCTGTTCGGATCGGGAAGAACTCTCGAAAATGAAAGAACTACACGTCGATTGCAGATCAAAGGTCACCTCAGCATTTTGAAGAGTGAACTTGTTCGCCACCGGAAATATCGAGAAGCTAACAATGACTTGCTCGTCCAATACGTTGAGCACCGGCTCTCCAATGGTCTCTGCGGAGGCCTAACGTTCCGAGTCAAGACTCTCTACGGAACCGGGATCCGATCAGGACCGTATCGAGTCACCCTGAAAAGCGGACAATCCCTGTGGTACCAGGATTTCCGAACTCACGAGGGAACGATCCGAGCAATTGCCGAGGGGGGTTGTCTCCGAGTTACGCCAGGGGGGAGCATCGAAGTCATCATCCAAGAAGTCTGTTTCATATCGAGGTTCTCGAAAACTTTCGCTTCATTTCTTTGTCCGGCTGTGGAAATCGTGAGAGCGATCGAATTCCAGTACATTTCCATGACGAGACCGGACAAAGACGGTGTGGCTAACAAACGATTCGTTCTCAAGCTCAACAGTCTTTGGAAGCCTCCGACTTCGGAAGAGATATACGGTCATTGATCTAAGTCTTAGGCTGGAGCCTATTCTCGACCAAAATTCGGATAGTAATAAAGCGTCGACGAAATCACCATGGAGGATGCTTGCATCGGTGTGAATCCAAGTATGAGTTCTGGCACATCATATACATGCGGGTGCGACCTCTCCTCGCTCCCTCCTCGCTGGCAGTATCACGCACCCTCCTTCCCACCGGAGTCCGCTCCAAAAAATGATGAAGCTAGAGAAACGGCACGGTGTTCATTTTCTGCTCCAATATGATATATGGTTAGCACCAGCAGAGTGCCTCGAGAACAAATCAATAATCAGGCTCAATAGCGAGGCTTATAGGCCCAACTAGCGAAACGTGCCATGTCTGACGAGACGACCTGGATTGCTGGGATCTGATTATCTTTGGTTTCCTTCTTCTTCAGCCGATTCCCGCCTGCCGACACTAAGCGAACCCTGACATCGGCATAACTCCCCGGTCGTTTTCCAATGATGTTCGCTAGCGAATAGCGATAAGACCGGATTCTATGAGGCCTACCCGAGACTCACGAGCAAGCATGATCAACTTGGAGCAAAAAGAGCGAGCATGTAAGTTACTGGGTATCATGTCGCCCATTCCCACCGCCATATTCATTCATAAGCTGTAATGTCTTTGGCGTTGGCCATAGGAGCGACGAGGTGCAGTGATACTCTCGCTGAATTATTTTACTTTTCAAGCCCCTAATTCTAGTTTCATGCTGGATGCGGAAAATCTTCGGATCGCAGTCGTGATTATTGTGACCGGAGGGACTTATCTTCCTCTTTATGGGAGTCTCCCGCGGAGCTCCATGCGGAAGTTCAGCTCGATGACTGAGATCTGGTTTTCTTAGAAAACATCGGTCACAAATCCTGACGCGGGACACAAGTTGCAGCAGCTAGGTGCCAAGAACGTGTATCACGCCATCTGGCTCTGAGTAGCCGTGATCACGCCAGCTCCCGCTCCATCCTTGTCCCTCCCGTCTCCAAAAAATTCAGGGCTCGGCCGGAGCAACTACACAGACTCTGTTTGTTCGGTGTTCCATAAGCAGCTGTCTGAGGCTTCCATACTATGGAGAGCTGCGTCGCTCCAATATCCAGCGTGTCAACATCTCGAACTATGTGAACAAGGATTTGAAAAATCGTTTCCTTCCTCGGCAACGATTCGACACAATTTATATCGATCGGCCACGTTCTATTATCCATTATCGCTCGCTCACGGAAGCTCCTGACGGAAAGGATTCGTTCCTTGATGTGTATCATAAGCTACACGAGGTCGAAGGTTAAAGACATTGAGAAACCTTCCGAATGAATGACCAGGGATTCTTCTTGAAACAATCAAAGAGTCAGTCAATGCTATACCGCGGAATGTAAGTGGTATTCTCCAATTATTTGTCCATCTTCCGCGCATGTCGACAATCTCGTCCCTCCATATCCTCCCGGCGCGAGGAGAAGTAGAGCTCCGTCTAGCTCGTCCCTGGACCTGTCGAACCCCCTGTTCGTCCACGGAGTGAAGCGCCGTTAAAACGTGAGAGTTCGGTCGCTGTATCCGAAGATCCCCGTGCACAGAGCCCGCCTCTCAGTGGGTCGCCATTGACGCTGTTCCCCTGAATTGCCCAGATTTTCGGTTTGACGCAAGCAGCGTCAAAATTAGCGACACGAGCGATGAGCACTGCTCTTTGCTCTCGGGTGACCTGTCGAGGATCTAAAATGAAAACTCAGCTTCGGAAGGACACGGATTGTTCTGCTGCAATTGTAGGAATCTTAAAAACGCAACAGAAAAAGTATCCGTCATCGGAATTCTCGGCTTATCGAACGCATACGAAAATGACAATACGACAGCTCGACCAGGCTTTTTCTTCCACCATTTGAGGCGTTCTATCTGTTTGTCACAGTGGCAAAGGTCGCGCGCAGCGATTCCTTCTGACGACTATTCAGATTCTGAGGCTGGAAGCATGGCTTGGAGCGAATCCTTTGTCGCGGAAGATGGTTAAAAAAAAGGTAAAAATTTTTGTTCCCAATCGGTGGGTGAAGGGTTGAGCTTGTTCGGTCAAATTCCTTGACCGACGATCTTCGGAGACGGCCTTATTTACGAGGGACCTATCACCCCATCGTTGGCAACGACGGTCGGTATAATCGGAGAAGTCATGGGTCCCACAAGAGTTTTGCCTAAACGGGTCGGGGAAAAAGAGTAGGCTCAAGAATCTCGGGAATCGTCAAGCACCTAGAGGGACAAAGGCCATGACTCGCCATGATCAGCTTATCCATCATCCTCTCGGACACCATCATCGACGCCCCCATGACCTCGATCATGTTTGGCCGCGGATTTCGAGACTGCCATCGGAATGAGGGCCCTAAGCACAGCTGTTGCCTAGAACAAAAACTCAGGCTGTTTCTACCAGAGATTCCCTTATTTTTCTTCAGAGACCCTGCGAAGCACGCCGGCCTTGGCTCATAACTATAACCACGGACGGGATGCTTCCAAAACATGCTTAACACGATCGGAAGGCCGCGGAGTCAAAAACTCTTTCAATGGAGGTTATCCAGCTCCGGTTCGGATTCCGTCAGCGTTCAAAAGCTTCATTCTTGTGCTTATTATCGCATCACAACAATGATGGGTCCTCATTCACACAAAAAAGTTTCGGGAAAAACGGATTGCTTCCCTTTCGGACCCACGGAATCGATCCGCCGAGCGTTGCTCGCGGGAGCCCTAGCGCATGACGCGAGAAGTCTAAAGAGTCATCTTCGTACCGTGCTCGATAATCGGAGCGGGCGACCGCTTCCAAGCGCCTATTGATAGGTATTGCCGAACTTCTTATCTTTGCTCGACTTCTGCTATGGATTCCTTTTGGGGCTTATTGAATGCAGATGTGACATTCCGGGAGAACTACGATGGAGAATTCAAGAGCAGTGGAGTTTCGCGGGATTGGAGCGAGCACCCGCCGCGGGGAATGCAACACCGAAAGGCAGAAGCAGAGGGAAAGCATCGAGCTCGACGTCCGGAGCCGGCCCTTCAGGGATACATCGCACGTCGGTCACAGACTAAGAACTACTCACACATTCGCGCTGACAGATACTGAATGGACCTTCGCCTTGAGGGGGACGTTCTTTTTCCGGAGGTGCAGCCCCCTTCCTCGTCGACGAGTTCAATTTTTCCAGAGCGCTGGATGTGGCAGGCTCAAACAGATCCCTTGGGTCTTGGGTGATGCTTGAATACTTGCACGGAAAGCG